ATGGGCAGGACTGCAGTACTTTGAGCCAGGATGGTAAATGGACTGCAGTAGTGGTAGGTCAGTGCCACAAAAAGTAGGCGAACCAAACTTACCTGCATTGTATCGGCGGAAGTGGATCCAACTGGAACGTGTAAGGAGGTGACAAAACTGCAGTGCTGCAAACGTTATCTCCAACTGAACTCCCGACAGTTAATATGTTTGTCGTCCCCCCCGAACCAAACCGAGTAGCGTCAGACATGACGAGTAGAAACGTAGTTCCCGTCGGCAATGGCAATTGCAGTATCGAAAAAGAGCCTTTGCCATTGCTGAAGCCCGATGCTGGTACGGTATAATTCTGATACGTTTGTAAAGACTGGAAAGCACAGAGGTTAGTGCACAATTGACGCGCTTGAGACAATAGCGCCGACGAACGGGAGCTAAGAGTATTTCAAATGGTGCTTGCCCACCTGACGACCCCGATAACATTCAGCGGGAGCGTATAAAGTGTACTAGATATGCGCTTACCAGTCCATGAAATGTTGAGAGGGCCACACTGAGTGGGAGTCCCAACAGTCACACTGAAAGCACGAGCAACAGAGAGACAAGAAGCAATACAGGTAAAGAAGCGAACGAAGTGCATACTCGAGAAATGAGGAAGACAAGCGAAAGATGTCAAGAAGAGACGCAAATGCAGTCGAGTGATACCTTGCAAAAGAGGAATGGGGCAGATTCGAGGTGGGGAGATTGCATCCTAGATAACGCTGACACGCCGAGAATCATCATTATATAGCGTTAGACAATGACATGAACCTGTCAAGGCTGTTCGTGATCATCGATACTGCACGGTACCGCCTTCTGATTCCTGGGGTCTGACATTCTGCATTCCGGTGTCTTTTCTACCGTGTGGCCAGCCAAGAGTGACTCTGAGTGAATGCACGAAGGATGTGACAGTGGTGTGTAGACCACCTCTATCGCGAACGCCGCGCAGTCACCAGTAGTATATGGTGCGCTCGACCGTCTCGACGTAAGAGAGAAATCCATTCGAGAGGGGATGGGCAGGCACCGACTTCAAAGTTTCAGTCTATCCAAGTTTGCTGTGAAGGTTGCCTGCCAAGTGCTAACGGGTACAGGGCCAACCCGATCAGCGATAGTATGTGGGAAAAGTATAGCGAACCAAAATTCAGTTCTCGGTCAATTTCAGTTCCAGCTCGTCCATGTCCCTGGTCTCGTTGTCCCTAAATCCCATGCTACAATATCATTCTGATGCATCAGAACAGCAACTAAAGACTCAGACTTGGGTGCCTGTTCTTCAAGCCGTTAAGTAGCCTATTTTTGTTATGCATCAAATGTTTCAAACATGACGCAGGTCGGGAAATGAGTACTGAGTACTCGGAGTAACAGCATCGTAATGCGGGAAGAATACATCCTCCGAGGATCCGACAGTTCATCGAAGAAATTTACTCAGCCTCACGTGTCATCCTCTGTCTTCTGCAGGGATCATGGAGCAGAGACTCTAACCGTCAATCTTCTGGGGTTTTGAGGTAGTACCTCGCTGACTCGGATTTCCTTGGCTATCCGATGACATTGACACTAACACTATCTTGGTGCTACGAGTGCTACATTATTGCCAAACTCTCCGCTCATGCGCCCTTGAAACAGCGCTGGGTCCTTCGAGACCCCCGGGGGTGCCATCTGCATAGGTAAGTATTTTCACGAGATTGCACAATTACCTCATTCAGAACAAAGGCTTGACTTATGCGTGGCAACACGTGGACTCCTGGTCTAATGCTGTCGAACCAATCGCAATGCAAGACAAAACCATCTAGGAGCGCTGGTCCGCAGTCGAGATCACGATGACGATGCGATCATATGCAAGTCTCAAGTCTAGGGGGGAACTAAGAAGACGATTATCACCTGATGAAAAGGGTTGAATCTACGAGTAACAGACTTTGTTGTGTCATTCCTGCCGACTGGCCGAATTGACCCATTGACCCTCAAGTTTGAAATGCAAGCTTCAAGGTTTCACTAGATTCATACTACGCCACGAAACGCTTATCAATGATATCGCCTTACCGAGGTTCGCATTCAGAATAGAAAGCCGACTGGAGGTCGAGAGTATAAATAAAGACCTCCAACATTAGACGGGTATAAATAGCGTTTGCATCAGTCGGGCAAAGGTATTTACACCCCAAACTCTACTATAGACGATAGATGAAGCTTATAACAAGATCGTGTCCGAGTCTACGACCCCAAGGGACTTCACTCCTACCATTTATGTGAGCCCCTCAAAAGTGGGTGTCAAAGAGTCGCTCCGCACAATCCAGATGATTGTCTGGATGGCCGAACACGCCTTTGATCTCATGAGTCCAGTTGTCGAGTAAGTTCCCTTCTACGGTATATTAGGAAGCGCTCTAGGATGTTTGTGTGGCATCGTATGGGCGGGAAAGTCGGTACTAAGGAAGGCATCCGTATTTTCTGTAAACATCATGAAGAGGAACGAACGAAAAGAATCTTCTATATTTGGCAGACTTGGTCTGAGTCAGCAGCCCCTCAGTAAATCAGTTTAGCGATCAATCGATCATAAACCCACTGCGAGAATGATCCCAGCGACACTACTGTCACAGCTGCCCCATGATGTGCAGGTGTGTTTTGCGATCGGCCCTTATTTTGCCGCCGTAACCGATGTCACCCAGAGGCTGGTCCGAAGAGTGTTGAATCGTTCGGTTGCAGACTTTAAGAAGCTGTGCAATCGACTTCCAGATTGCTCCACATCTGAGCTATCTATCCTGCAGCCAGTGTTCTACGTGTATCTCGACCCAGACCGCATTCCTGCACAGTCGACCCCAGCCGCTACCGCTGATATCCAGCTCGCCTACCAGTCACTTCTCGCGATTGTTGCAACTTTGCATACCAATGGTTCTGGCATTGACTCAGACTCGGCAGGTTCAGAAAAGTATCATCTCGTTTCCTCCTGGAAACGTGTTGTTCCCTGGCTTGTCTTCTTTCATGACCAATTCATTATGTGCAGAGCCAACTATCGACCTGTCGACAAGATGGCTGCCATCAGGCTTGTCGCTAGTTTGCTATTTCATGTTTCTGTCATTGAGAGCGACAGCACCGAAATATCAGTGCTTAGCACTCCCGTCCTTTATTGCCCAATCGCGGAGTTGTGGTTGTTAGCCGTGAACACCAAAGACAGAGATGTAGTGTGCTTGTCATCGCGGGCCGGCGCTCGCACCACTTCTTTTCGCATTTTCGGCACCTTTGTGATTGCAGAATGTATTTGCGACAAATCTTTTTTGACCATACTAGCCGAAGTATCAGGTGGCGTCGACGCCGTCGCCTCTGCAGCTCTGAAGTATGTCAAAAACATACGGTCGATGGCTAAAAACCCCGATATAGCCTCTGACGCTTTCAAGCTCAAGCTGGTTGTATCAATGTTTTCGTGCTGTGTTGCAATTATCTTATCGACGAGCATGCACGATGCTGCGATGCGGGAAGCATACATCCTCCGGCAGTCCCTCAAAGAGGTTTTCTCGACTCTCCGTGTTCTCCAGTCTCTTCCTCCGGGCAGAGGGAGCATGACGGGGGCCCTCCGCTCAACTATTCCGTACATCCGCCTTCTCCTTGAAAATGCCGACGACCCTGTTTCAGTATTCCATCAAGCCCTTCGTGCACACGCTGTCGAGACCATGATACATATAAGTCCTTCTGAACACCTGTCAGTGGATATAGTGGGACCGGGGAAACCTCATATGGCCAATGAGGCTTTTCTTAGGATCTTAACCGATTACACTCTTCACGACAAAATCTTGTCCTACGTCTCTGAACATGTGGACACCTGGTCTGATGATCTCGGACCAATCATGAGACAAGACAAACCCCTCTGGGATGTCTGGTCCGAACTAGAGCAGAAAATACGATCATATGGGATACTTAGGTCCAGGGCAGAAATGATAGTGTGGCCATCACTAAGTAAAAAGGGCTGGGTTCTACAAGTCAGTCATAGACTTCATTTCTTCAGCTTCGTTCCTGCTGATTCGTCGACTCAGAACTACCAGTGTCACTGCGGTAGTACTGCGGAAGACATTCGTCTCAGGCAATGTGCGGGATGTCAGGTTGTACGGTACTGCTCAAAGCGATGCCAGCGTAATTCCTGGTATAGTCACCATAGGTTAAGCTGTGAATTTTTAAAGGCAGCTGTCGGCGAGTCTTTTCGATGTTAAGATATGCGTATTATTTTCACTGACAATGTACCCAGGCTCATCGATACCACACCACGTGAAACGTAGTCTGCGTCTGCTAGCCGCTCTAGAAGTTGGCCATAAGCAGCGCAAGTGGGACAATATTTTGAGATTGGTCGTCGCTGCACGGTATGAATATCCGGAAGATCGGGAACGACTCGTGGTCGAGCTAGCTCTTGATAAGAACGAAGAATTAGTTCGACCTCTTCGAAACTACCTCTTCCTGTTCGATGGCCTCTCTGAAAATGAGGTCGTGGACCGCTTATCATCTTGGCCAGATTCGAGGGGCCAACTTCAAGGACTATTCCTTTGTTCAGTTATCACGATACACGATCGATATGCGGCACGGCAAATTTTATTCAGTCCGTGTATTGCATTAGATATGGAGATAGTGCCGCAAACGTTCAACGGTAACGTTCAGGATGTGTGAATTACTGTACATTTTTCGGCAGGTCTCGCTTGTGTTTGTTCTTTGATCTGCTGTATCGGTTCTGGCTGCCAGCCCCGAAAGGGATGACGCAGTCATATCACTTCTGATTCTGGTACGAATGTCAACGTTCATTGCTTTCTCCAGTCGCTCTGTTTACCCCTCACGCACTGTATATGTAGTACAATTACATTAGGGCTATGTGGCCTGTCATCAGCTTAGCTTCATCTATCGTCTGTAGTAGGGTTTGGGATGGTCGTGTAAATATCTTTCAATGCGCGACTGACTCGGACGCAAACACTATTTATATTTGTTTACACTTATACTTCTTGATATCGATAAGCGCTTCGCGCATATCCAATCCAGCGTATGAACATGAGGCCTCGAGGGCCGAAGATTGCCGCATTAGATCTCAAGTCCTTTAGCTACGAGAGACTCGGTCACCACCTGTCATCCCCCATTTCTACTGAGAATGATCTCAGCGATACTACTATCACAGCTGCCCCAGGACATACAGGCGAGTGTTTTGCGATCTATCCTTACTAGGTTGTTGGTATCGCTGCATACTGATATATTATACAGAAGCTGGTGCAGGGAGTGTCGAATCGTTCGGTAGCTGACTTTGAGCAGCTCTGTGATCGACTTACAGACTGCTCCGCACCCGAGCTATGTATGCTGCAGCCAGTGTTCTACATACACCTCGACCCAGATTTCATTCCTGAAAAGTCTACTCCAGCCGCCATCACCGATATTGAGCTCGCAAAGTGGTCACTTGTTGGGATCATGAAAACATTTAACATGTGTCCTGGCGCTGAGCCAGAAAGATATCTGTTTTCTGCCTGGAACCGTGTTACTCCCTGGCTTGTCTTCTTTCATAGCCAGTTTATCATGCGCAGAGCCAACCATAGGCCAATTAGCAGGAGGCTAGCCGTCGACGTGGTTGGCTGTATTCTGCAGCATGCCAATAACATGATCACAAGCGGCGGGGACACAGTATTGATCACCACACCCTCCATTTACCATCTGCTCGTAGAGTTATGGTTACTCGCCCTCAAAATAAAAGACGAGGATGTGCTGATCATTCCCCAGCATCCGTGTAATCAATCGATCTATGGCCCTCAATTCGCTTCTCTTGAAATTGTCATCCCATTGGTGTTTTCAGACTGCACGAACTACAAAGCCTTTATGACAACCGTGCTCGAAGTGTCAGGTGACATTGGCACGGTCGTTTCTACAGCTCTGGAATATGTCATGCACATGGGATTAATGGCCCAGGACCCTAATAAAGTCACAAGCCTTCCAACATCACTCGGCATGCTTACACACACGTTTTCAAATTGCGTTATTGTCATTATTGAACTAAGCAAGCACAGCGCCGCAATGCGGGAAGAATTCATCCTACGACTATCCGTTAAGAAGATTTTCTTGATTTGTCGCATTATCCAACTTCTTTTTTCTTCTGGAGAGAGCATGGATCCCACGTTTGGCAAATCCACACTCGTCCAGAGTTTCTTGTACCTCATTGCTCTCCTTTTACGTGCGAATAACACTGTCCCAGTGTTACATCAAGCTCTTCACTCATATGCCTTCGAAATAGCCATGGGCATCCAAGGACCCGCTGTGGAGGTGGATCTTCGTGATTACAAGAAAAGTTTTCTTGTGATCTTAGACATTTTCCTCGTCTACGACAAAATCTTGACCTACGCGTACAAACATGTGGATGCCTGGTCTAATGCTCTTGGACCAGATGTGTTACCAGACGAAACTATCCGAAAGCGTTGGTCTGCAGTTGAGACGAAGATACGACTATATGCCAGTCTCAAGTCTAGGGAGGAAAAGATAAGGCGGCCATCACCTGATAAAAAGGGCTGGATTCTACGAGTTAGTGACTGACTTTGTTGTTTCGTTCCTGCAGGTCAACTTACCCAAAGAACAGTGTTACTGTGGTGATACCACAGAAGATACTCAGCTTAGGCAATGCTCGGAATGTCAGGTTGTGCGGTACTGCTCAAAGCGATGCCAGCGTGATTCCTGGTATAGTCATCACAAATGGAGCTGCAAATTTTTGAAGGCAGCTGTTGGCAAGTCTTCGATTATTCGGCTCACATCATTTTCATTGACAATCTGTCCAGGTTCATCGACATCGCACTACATGAAACGTAGTCTCTGCCTGCTATCTGGCATAGAGGCTCACATGGTATTGTGCAGGTGGTCGGATATTCAGGACCAGGTAGCCGCTGCGCGATGCAAGTATCCAGAAGATCAGGATCGACTCGTTGTCAAGATCACTATAGATAAGGAAGAGATATCAGTTCAACCTCTACGACAGTACCTCTTCGTGTTCAATGGTCTCTCTGAAAATGAGGTCGTGGACCGCTTATCGTCATGGCCAGATCCAAGGGGCCATCTTCGACGATCATTCTTTTGTTCGGTTATCGCGATACATGATAAATATTCGTCACAGATCTTATTCAGTCCACATACTGCATTAGATATGGAGACAGTACCAACGCTCAGCCGTAACCAGCAATGTATGTGAGCTCATGTTGCTCAGGTCTTGCTTGCACTTGTTCATCGATATTGATATTCTATATTGGGTCAGATCTAGAATCGCGAAGGAAGAAATATGAATCACCAATGGATGTATGTCTTCGCTCTACGCAGCACTCGCATACAAAGCTGATCCTACATTGCATCGTCATAGCGCGGATGAGACTGAAATCAGTGGGAAGTTCTGAACATGGATTAGTACTCCTGTAATTTTTGTTGGGCTTTAATTTTACTACGACTGTTCTCTGAGACTCCGACGGATCCCAAACAAACTTGAATTCACCACAAGTCTGTAAAACAGCTCCAGATGTGTGTATAGATTCGGTGTACGTTGGTACGTAGGAAAAGAAAAGATTGACAATGGATGCTTGGTTGCGGTTTCCTCACGACTGAAGCTGGTCATTAATCGATCTGAAAAGACTTCACTCTGAGGTAATATGTATCTAAATAGCTCCAGTTGAATTGTACTACATATACAGTGCGTGAGGTGTAAACAGGGCGACTGGAGAAAGCAATGATTAATGAATCTTCTTGCTACTATCAATCAGAAGTGATCTGACTGCGTCATCCCTTGTCGGGGCCAGCACGACCCGATGCAGCAGATCAAAGAACAAACGCATGCAAGTCCCGCCAAACAATGTACAGGACTTCACACATCCTGAAGGTTACGGTTGAGCGTTTGCGACACTGTTTCCAAATATCTCCATATTCAATGCCATACACGGACTGAATAAAATTTGTCGTGATTCATATCGATCGTGTATCGTGATGACCGAAAAAAGGAATGGTCCTTGAAGTCCTTGAACTTCCCTAGGATCTGACCAAGACGATAAGCGGTCCACGACCTCATTTTCAGAGAGCCCATTGAACAGGAAGAGGTAGTCTCGAAGAGGTCGAACCGATTCTTCGAACTTATCAAGAGCTAGCTCGACCACGAGCCGTTCCTGATCTTCCGGATATTCACACCGTGCAGCGGCGAACAATCTCAGAATATTGTCCCACTTGCGCTGCTTATGGGTCACTTCTAGAGCGGCTAGCAGACGCAGACTACGTTTGATGCGTTGCGGTGTCGATGGCCCTGGGTAGATTGTCGGTGGAAACAATGCGCATATCTATCGAGAAGACTTACCGACAGCTGCCTTTAAAAAATTACAGCTCAGCCTATGGTGACTGTGCCAGGAATCACGCTGGCATCGCTTTGAGCAATACCGCACAACTTGACACCCCGCACATTGCCTGAAGCGAATGTCTTCTGCAGTACCATCGCAGTGACACTGGTAGTGTCAAGTCGACGAATCAGCAGGGATGAAGCAATGAAGTCTGAGACTGACCTGTAGAACCAAGCCCTTTTTACTCGGTGATGGCCACCATATCGTTTCTGCCTTGAACCTAAGTGTCCCATATACTCGAAGGGCCTGCTCTACATTGGACCAGAGATCCAAGAGGCGTTCATCTTGTCTCACGATTGATCCGAGATTATTAGACCAAGCGTCCACATGTTTACAGATGTAGGATAAGATTTTGTCGTGAAGACTGTATTTGAATAAGATCCTAAAAAACGCCTCGTTGATCCAACGAGGATCCATCTCCGCTACCTTCTCCTCCAGGGGTCCGTAAGGACTTATATGTACCATTGTTTCGAAGGCGTGTGCACAAAGAGCTTGATGGAGTGCTGATACAGGGTCGTCGCCACGTTTAAGGAGAATGTCCAGGTACGTAAAACTTGAGGCAAGGGCCTCCGCCATGGCCTCTCTAGCCAGAGGAAGAGACTGAAGAACACGGAGAGCCCCAAAAATGTCTTTGACGGACTGCCGGAGGAGGTATGCTTCCCGTATCGCCGCATCGAGCATGCTCGTCGTTGCAATAATTCCAATACAGCACGAAAACACTGGTACAAGCAGCTCGAACTTGAAAGCATTGGAAACTATGTCAAGGTCCTTAGCCATCGACCGTAAGCTCTTGAGATATTTCAGAGCTGCAGAAGTGACGGCGCCAATGCCACCTGACAATTCGAGTAGTATGGTCACAAAGGATTCATCCTGAACGCATACTGAAACCAACATGACGCCGCAAACTCGAAAGGAAGTAGTGCGAGCGGGGCCGGACGGCGACGACAGGCACACTACATCTTTGTCTTTGGTTTTCAGGGCCAACAACCACAACTCTGCGATCGGGCGATAAAGGGCAGGAGTGGTAAGCAATATGGTTATGCTGCGCTCGTCGCCAAGAGTCGAGACATAAAATAGTAAGGTAGTAACAAGTCTGATGGCAGCCGTTTTGTCGACGAGTCGATAGTTGGCTCTGCACATAATGAATTGGTCATGAAAGAAGATAAGCCAGGGAGCGACATGGTTCCAGGCGGAAATAAGAAGTTGTTTTTCCGAACCTGCCGTACCACCATCGATACGGCCCAGAGTTGTAATGATCGCGTGAAGCGACCTGTAGACGAGCTCTATATCAGTGGCAGCGGCTGGAGTTGATTTTGCAGGAATGCGTTCTGGATCGAGATGTATGTAGAGCACTGGCTGCAGGATACATAGCTCAAATGCGGAACAATGTGGAAGTCGATTGCACAGCTTCTCAAAGTCTGCAACCGAACGATTCATGTACACTCTCTGAACCAGTTTCTGAGTGACACATCAGTTATGGCGATAACAAACTAAGGATCGATTGTAAAACATTCACCCGCACATCCTGGGGCAGCTGCGACAGTTGCGTTGCTGGTATCATTCTCGGTAAAATTGAGTCACAGTGGTCAACTACTTAGCACCCCGGTCCCCGCTCACTCAGACCGTTGGAAAGACCATAAAGTTCGATCGTTCTCCGACATTCAAGCGAAGTACGGAGTTTGAAATTTACAGTCTCGCCGCGTGCCTGAAGTCAGGCCTATGCACACACATGGTTCTTATGACAATTCACGATGCAACACAATTCAAAGATCATGGAACATTCCCTTCGAGTTCGATACCCTCAAATCTCCCAGAGTACCACTCACAACCTAACGCACGCACTTTCCAAATACGAAAACCTAAATCAAGGTCCCATGATATCGTCGATGTCATTCTGAAGACATCTTGGCCGCATCCACATAATCGCTTTCCAAGCCCTGCTACATCCCAGAGACGGTATCTCCCGCCACTCAGCTACTTCGAGAGATCGACCGTTCGCTGTCTCAAACTCGCTATCACATCCACTACTTGAAATCAAACAACAGATGCTCGACTCCTGCACTATCGCTGGTGCTGGTGCCTGCATGTCCGTTCCTAGGTCACAGGTGCGTCACATCAACGAGCCATTTTATGTTTGGTGTACCATGCTCAGACTTGAGTACCCTGGATTCCCTTGACTCCCCAGAGGCGCTGGGTCTCGGCTACAGAAAGCACGCAGGGGCATTCAAACTTACTACTTGTGGTTTTTATATCACGATGATACATGTATCCCCCGATAACACTTCTGTAATAATCCTGGACACGATTGAGCCATTTGACATGAATCAGCTGAGAAAGACGTTGAATGAGCGAGGCGAGAAGATAAATCGAGGACAGGTTATTGAGGAACCAAGGCTGTGCACTGTTGCTCAACTTGGCTCTCGCGCCCTCATTTGGTTAAGCAATTGCGTGAATGATCATTATCAGACAGGAAAGAAGAACCAATATTAATGGTTGGTGCAAGTGTGTGTGGATAGCTAGTGCCAGTATAGATATTCAGGATATTCATTTTAACAGTGTCAGTAACGGTATAGCAAATCACTTGACTAAATAATACAACAAAAACTTTGTATGTCTCCTTGAAATCTACTTCGGAACTTCGATCAATACTTTCAAGAAAGTGGTAATAAAGAAAAGCAAATTTTCCTGCTCTTTGGAGGGCACTAGACAACCGTGAACTCCACCGATTATCACACACCACTTCCAGTCGATATTTCCACTCGCTCCTGGAAAGCGATTGAGGTCATACCAGTTGCTACGTCAGAATCGGCCACGAGCTTAGCGTGGTATTCTCGAACACCAAGGATCAGGCGCGGTCCCAACACAGACAGCTGCACGACCTGCGAAATCTGAAGAAACCCAGAAATAATCTGAGAGGGCAGGGAATTGCTCTGTAGAAACGATAAATTGTGGTAGCGTGCATAGGCAAGTGAAAGATTGACATACTGTGATGAATGTTGGATAGAAACCAAGAATGAGCTGGAAGCAAGAAACAGTAACAAAGCTGCCACATCCGACCCTTCAGTGGAAAGAAGGAACAATGATCACAATGAGCTTACCTCGCAAAGTAAACGACGTGAGTTTTCATCAACACCGTGAAACAGTCCTCGATAATCCCTCCTGTCGAATGTTTTCGCAATTCACGGAAGTGTTTCACCACAATCCGGGCTGCGAGACATAGTGCGATGGCCTCCCACACGGTGGTGAGTATCCAAGCAATGGCAATTATAAATACGACATCTTCCGTATAGTTAATCTGGCACCGATAAGTACCGTAGAGAATGAGTTCCTCTGGTATCAATCAGTCTCGTGCACGTTTATTTTCATTAACAATTAAACGTACCCCCTGAAGTATGCATCGTTGTCATTATGGCGACCACTGCATCGAGAGTGTTGACAGCCAGGAAGGTGACAATGAGAAACATCAGGATCTTTCTGGATCCTTGATACATCGCATGCAACCGAGTGATGATGATGACTTGCACCATGTTTCAGTCAAGTCAATATCACTCGGGTATCGCAAGTGCAAACCTCACCCCACAGCATCGCAAATACCACAACACCCGTCCAAACACATACGACGTAGACAATTTTGCCTGACGAATCCAGTCAGCGACCAGCCTGGGGTAGCAAACTCCAAACAGACTCACATCTGTTGCAGTATAGCGTGGCAGTCATTAGTGAACCAAGAAGTTAGTAAAGAACCACACCCACTGCTACAAGGCGCTACAGTTAATTGGAGGGGAATAGTAATAGGTATCTGTGAAGAAGACTCACTGTATCTGTCATCCAGATGGTCGGAACACTGTCTGAATGCCGTTGGTCAGAAGAAGCAAAGACAGCGAATGTACTAAGGGGACATGCCCAGAAAGATCAGGCTGGTTATGAGAGATAGACGATTAGCACAACACCGATTGTGTAGTCTTCCGGACATACGCAGCGTATAAGATTCCAAGGTAACGTGCCTAGGATACTTTTGAGTCAGCAAAACATAGCACTGCGACAAATGAACTACATACACCGAGATACATAACTGTCATTACAGACCATCGTTGTCTCTGGAATCAAGTTTATTTTCATGTGTGTTCCTCTGACACCAGACCCTACTCACCCATATCAATTCCACCTATGAAGTCATTCTCAGCGAGATGGCTGCTCCGGTCATACCATCGACATACCTCTTGTCCGAATGTAAGTGCTGAAAATAATTGTAAGACGTCAGCAGTCTTTTAATGTTATCATGCTCACCCCAATCATACATCACTGCAACCAAGGTGGCGACTGCGAAACCACAACCGAGGTAGACTGAGTCAGCTTCAACATCTGACTGCTCTCCACGAACCTACAAAATAGCTGCCCAAACGATCTGCATTGATGACCGACCACCAAGCGGGATCATTTGAGACTATGATCATATTGATAGAGAATGGAAGTGGGTGAGAGGCGAACTTGATGGACGTAAGACGATGGCATTCGTGCTAGTTATACCACAATCCGGTACGGAGATCAGCGAAACGAGATCGGGGAATTCGATGATGACCGTTCCTGCTTCGATTGGTCGAAGTGGATTTTTTTTGCATGAGGAAAGATAAATTAATCCAGGGGATCATCGAGGATGTAGGTCGTAAAACATTTGAACCAGCAAAACACTTGAACTCCACAAAAGGTCAAACAACATCAAGAACTGTTTGTGATCTTGTCCCCTTGTTTCCGATGCTATTCTCGAGATCTTTTTGCTACATGTGCATCAGCAACCAAGTATTACTTCATCTGTTTGATACATACTGATCACGGTATGACCATCGGAAAGCTCGTCATCTCATCTCTCTTCGCCTCTCCAGCACAGGCCCGGAGAGCATAACAGCTCATCCAAGGTCACTCAGCAAATGCACATTGCGCCGGCATGACACCGGACCAGAAAAGTCAGCCGTCAAAAATAGGGAGATTCGCATGACGAAATAGATTCGCGTCCTGCTCTGGCTACCAATACCTCTCAGCGAGCATACATCTCAGTGTCTCATCCCACCCTTAGGTGATCTATCGCTTCATGTGCTCCCTCTCGCTCTCTGCCTCGAAAATAGAGTTATTGTATCATCTGAATGCCAGAAATGGTGAGCCCAGAATGTTTGATTTGTATCTTGGAGTTGATGCGGTGGTAAGAGGTTCACGAGAGACGTGAGATTCCGTGATTGATGAGTATGATGAAGATACAACAACACCCATATTATCAAGAGAGCGTTGAGAAAGGAGATAAAAGAAAATCATGCTCAGATGCACAATGGTTGAAGGCGGCAACATCCTGTTGGCACACGATCAGAAAGTGGGAGATTTGAAGAAGTTGAGGCAATAACTCACCAGGCCATACATCTGCCAATGCACACTATCAACGCTCATTCCAATGAAACCCGATCCACACCGTGCCACACCGAATCCATCATGCAGTTGATGCCCTCCTGTTGACTCACATTCGCAGGGTAGCCTGAGTGGGAACGTGGATTGGAAACGCCGTCCATATTTCGCATGAACCGGCTACCATAACGACGCCCGAGACTACACCGACACCTCAGGACTCCGACTGTTGAAGGATCAAAATCTGAGAACGCCGAGAATGCGCGGCGAGCGGATCTCAGAATGCACAGGTTGTGCAGAGGGGTGATGCAGTTCGATGGGAAGATAGATAGTGGACATCTCGTTTCAGGGGGCGTGCAGGATGATAGATTGATGCAAATACAATAGAGCACTGGGAGAAAACAAAGTCTGACGCTCATTGTGTAGTCGATGGCAAACTGATGGCCATATAATTTCCGAAATGAATATCAGCAGCGTCTCTGCCTCGCTTCCTTCCTCTGAGGGCTCGAGCCTGGGAGCGTAGCGAATGCGAGAATATGGTAAGGGCCTGGGGTGACTGATGCAAACTCAACGTACTAGTGGACGTTTTCAATGGGTGGGAGAAGTGGTATAGACTAGGAAAGTGCTTGCCTATAATACAACCCCATGAACGAGTATGATTCGGAGTCGATGTCCTCATTTATATCACTGTTAGAGTTTTGTACATACTTGAGAAATGAAACAAGTGAAATGGCACAACTTACTTCCCTGGAGTCCGGACAGTCAACGTACGGTACACCTCAACGCTTCGCCTTCCTCCCATGTCGCAAGTCCTCTGTCCAGGACAGTACTCCAGGGATCAGTCGCCGAGTGATCACTGATGTGTACTTGCTTGATCTCCTTTGTCGGTGAAACCCCGATAGAAACTGATGCAAAATGCACCATACTAAATCCTTCACAGTTAGCGCCATATCCAAACCAACCCGAGACAATCTTACCGTAGCATTCGACTGTGGCTGCGTGCAGCCTGTTGTATTTTCCAGTCTGTTCAACTTGTCCTGAAGTCAAAAATAGGTGCTCCTAACAAGCACTGAGACTTTCAATTGTGTATCAGAGACTCGGAATGATCAAAGTCGTGAAAATAAGTTCGAGGAACAAGGCAAGAACGTGTGAACAAATTTTGTGATAGTCAGGGCAGACACTCCTGGCGGCGGGCTATGATACCAGGACAACAAAGTTTCCTAATTGCAACATCGCAGGTAAGTAGAGGTTTGAAGTAGCTCCAATTGTAAATGCTGTGCGGTCAGTGTTGAAATATTCAGCAAACAATTGACTTCAAGATTGGCCACAAACATTTCGGCAGCGTACAGACTCGTACTTTGTCAATTCGGCTATCAGGCTGGCGCTGCCATCTCGTTCTCGGTACGCGATCAATCGTGATGCGGAAAAGAAAATTTTGACAATGAATATTTGAATGCTTGGCTGCAGCTTCCTCACGACTGAAGCTGGTCATTGATCATGTCTGACACAGGGTCTACGATCCAAAAGACTTCACTCTGAAGTAATATATATCTAAATAGCTCCAATTGAATTGTACTACATATACAGTGCGTGAGGGGTAAACAGGGCGACTGGAGAAAGCAATGATTAATGAATTGTCGTACTACTACTAATCAGAAGTGATATGACTGCGTCATTCCTGTCGGGACCGGCAGCACGACCTGATACAGCAGATGGAAAAAAAAACGCAAGCAAGTCCCGCCAGACGATGTACAGGAATTCATACATCCTGAGAGTTACGGCTGAGCGTTTGCCGCACTATCTCCATATCTAATGCAATACGCGGACTGAATAAAATTTGCCGCGACCAATATCGATCATGTATTGTGATGGCTGAACAAAGAAATAGTCCGTGAAGTTGGCCCCTCGAATTCGGCCAGGATGATGATATGCGGTCCACGACCTCATTTTCAGAGAGCCCATTGAACAGGAAGATGTAGTCTCGAAGAGGTCGAACTGATTCGTCATTCTTATCAAGACTGAGTTCGAGCACAAGTCGTTCTCGATCTTTTGGATATTCGCACCGTGCAGCGGCGAACAATCTCAGAATATTGTCCCACTTGCGTTGGATATGGCCCACTTCTAGAGCGGCTAGCAGACGCAGACTACGTTTGATGCGGTGCGGTGTCGATGACCCTGGGTACATTGTCAGTGGAAACAATGCGCATATCTATCGAGAAGACTTACCGACAGCTGCCTTTAAAAAAATACAGCTCAACCTATGGTGACTGTGCCAGGAATCACGCTGGCATCGCTTTGAGCAATACCGCACAACTTGACATCCCGCACATTGCCTGAAGCGGATGTCTTCTGCAGTACCATCGCAGCGACACTGGTAGTGTTAAGTTGACGAATCAGCAGGGATGAAGCAATGAAGTCTGTGACTGACCTGTAGAACCCGGCCCATTTTACTCGGTGATGGCCACCATATCGTCTCTGCCTTGGACCTAAGTGTTGCATATGTTCGAATGGTCTGCTCTACACCGGACCAGATATCCAAGAGGTATTTCTCTTCTCTCACGATTGGTCCGAGATTATTAGACCAAGCGTCCACATGTTTACAGACGTAGGATAAGATTTTGTCGTCAAGACTGTATTTGAATAAGGTCCTAAAAAACGCCTCGTTGATCCTACGAGGATCCGTCTCCACTAGCTTTGACTCCTCCAGGGGTCCGGAAGGACTTATATGTACCATTGTTTCGAAGGCGTGTGCGCAAAGAGCTTGATGGAGTGCTGAGGCAGGGTCGTCAGCACATTTAAGGAGAAAGTCGAGGTACGTAAAACTTGGGGCAAGGGCTTGCGCCATGCTCTCTTTGCCCAGAAAAAGAGACTGAAGAACACGGAGAGCCCCAAAAATTTCTTTGACGGACTGCCGGAGGAGGTATGCTTCCCGTATCGCCGCATCGAGCGTGCTCGTCGTTGCGATAATTTTAACACAGTGCGAAAACACTAGGACAAGCAGCTCGAGCTTGAAATTATCGGAAGCTATATCAGGGGTTTTAGCCATCGATCGTAAGCTCTTGACATATTTCAGAGCTGCAGAAGTGACGGCGTCAATACCACCTGACACTTCGAGTAGTATGGTGACAAAGGATTCGTCCTGAATGCATGATGAAACCACCAAGGAGCCGAAAACTCGAAAAGAAGTGATGTGAGCGGGGCCGGGCGACGACGACAAGCACACTACATATTTGTCTTTGGTTTTCAGGGCTAACAACCACAACTCTGCGATCGGGCGATAAAGGGCAGGAGTGGTAAGCAATGTAGTTCCGCCGCGCTTGCCACTAACCATTACAACATGCAGTAGTAAGCTAGCAACAATCCTGATGGCAACCATCTTGTCGACGGGTCGATAGTTGGCTCTGCACATGATGAATTGGTCATGAAAGAAGATAAGCCAGGGAGCGACACGGTTCCAGGCAGGAAATAAGATATTGCTTTTCCGAACCCGCCGAGCCAATACCAGAACCATCGATATAACCCAAAGTTGTAACAATCACGAGAAGTGACTTGTAGACGAGCTCTATATCAGTGGCAACGGCTGGGGTTGACTTTGCAGGAATGCGGTCTGGATCGAGATACATGTAGAGCACTGGCTGCAGTATACATAGTTCGGATGCGGAGCAACGTGGAAGTCGATTGCACAACTTCTCAAAGTCTGCAACCGAACGATTCATGTACACTCTCCGAACCAGTTCCTGAGTGACACATCTGCATCAGTTATGGCGACAACAAATTAAGGATCGATCGCAAAACACTCACTCGCACATCCTGGGGGAGCTGCGACAGTTGCGTCGCTGGGATCATTCTCAGTCACGGTGGTTCATACTAATCGATCCTGATCACTAGCACCCGCTGACTCAGCCTGAGACCGTTGGTAAGACCATTTATAGAAAGTTCGATCCTTCTCTGACATTCAAAAAACATTCGGATGCCTACTCGAGGTTAACGCGAAGTCAAGTTGAGTACATTTTTACATCCTATGATACCAATTAACAACAAAGCCTCCTAATTGCAACATTGCAGGTAAGTGACTCCAATTGCAAATGTTGTGCGGTCAGTGTTGAAATAAGTATGTGCACTATGAGAGAACAATGGATGTACCACTAACAATTATTTTGGATGATCAGTACGTGCTACGACTGCGTCGTCCCTATCGGGGATCGACCGGTCCCTTCAGACCAGATCCACCTGACGCAATACTAGGGAAGATCAATGAACAAGCACAAGCAACACCGGAGCAACAGAAATTCACGCACATTACTGACGCTTACGGCCCAACTTCATCTCCATGTTTAATGCAGTACGTGGGCTGAATAAGATTTGTCGTGAATAATATTGATCGTTTATCGCAATCACCGAACACAAGAATGATCGATGGACCCTTGGTTCTTTCAAGTTCCAGGACGATAAGCTTTCCACGATGTCGTTTTCAGAGAGCCCATTGAACAGGAAGAGATAGTGTCGAAGAGGCCGAACTGATACATCAAGCTTATCTACACCGAGCTCGACCACCAGCCGTTCCTGGTCTGTCGGATATTGTTGTTGCGCAGCGGCGACTAACTTCGGAATGTCGTCGTCCCCTTGGCATGACATCTGTCTGTCTTCTAGGGCAGCTAGAAGGCGGAGACTACGCTTCACGTAGTGCGGTGTCGATGAGCCTGAATAGATTGTGAGTGGAACAATGTCTCTGAAACATCGAAAAGACTTACCGACAGCTGCCTTGAGAAATTTGCAGCTCAACCTATGGTGACTATACCATGAATCACGCTGGCATTGCTTTGAGCAGTACCGCACAACTTGACATCCCGCGCATTGCCTCAGCTGAATGTCTTTTGTAATGCCACTACAATAACACTATTTTGAAAAACAAGTTGAATGATCAGCAGGAACGAAACAACGAGGTTTGTGACCTACTTTTAGAAACCAGCCCTTTTCATTGGACAATGGCCGCCTTATCATTTCCTCCTTAGACCTGAGACTGACATACGATCGTATCGTCCGCTCCATTGCGGACCAATCCTTCCAGAGGTTTTCGTCTTGTCTCGCGATCGGTCCGAGAGTGTTTGACCAGGTGTTCACATGTTTGCAGGTGTAGGTCAAGATTTTGTCGTGAACAAGATAATGGTATAATATCTCGAAAAAATCTGCGCTGATATTATGAAGATTCGCTTCCATCTTCGCGGGTTCGAAGGGAGCCATACGAACCGCTATTTCAAGGGCACGTGCGCGGAGAGCTTCGTGGAACACTGAGACAGGGACGTCGGCACGTTCAAGGAGAAAGAAGAGGTACTGGAAACTCGAGGCGAGGGCTTTCTCGGTGCTCCCTCTGCCAGGGATAAGAGGCTGCAGAATACGGAGAGTTGAGAAAATATGTCTGATGGAGTGTCGGACGATGAATCCTTCCCGTATTGCACCACTTTGCATGCTCGTTCCTGTGATAAATCCAACACAGGTCGAAAACATTGTTACGACTTGAATCAACTCGATCCGGACGGCCTCGGAGGTTATATCAGGGTCCTTCAAATTGGTCACTGATGCTATGGCCTTGACATACTTCAGAGCTGCAGAAGTGAAGGGGCCAATGCCACCTGACACTTCCACTAGTGTGTTCACAAAGGATTCGCTGCGCATGCATTCGCCAACCAAGAAGATGGTGACAAGTCGAAGAGAAGTGATGCGACCGAGGTCATGTAATGGCATTTGAATGTTCAACACATCTTCATCTTTTGTTTCAATCGCTAACATCCACAACTCTGCGATCGGGCGGAAAAGGATGGGTGTAGTGGCGAGTTTTGAGTTCCCGTCAGAGTCGCGGCCAGCAATCAAGCCGTGAAAGAGCATGCTGGCAACAAGCTTGATGGCAGGCGTCCTGTCGATGGGTCTATAGTTGGCCCCGCACATAATGAACTGGTTATGAAAGAAGAGGAGCCAGGGAGCAATACAGTTCCAAGCGGAAAGGAGACATCGTTTCTCCGCATGAACATCGATGTTGCTCAAAGTTGTGACAATCCCGATAAGGGACCACTGGGCGAGCTCAATATCGGTGGTAACGGCTGGAGTTGACTGTGAAGGAACGTGATCTGTGTCGAGGTGCATGTAAAATACAGGCTGCAGTACCCATAAATCAGTTACAGAGCAATCTGTAATTCGATCGCAGAGCTGCTGAAAGTCTGTAACTGAACGGTCCAACACACCCCGGGCCAATGTCTGAGCAATATACCGGTAAGCGGCGATAACAAATCAAAGGTCGATCTCAAAACACTCACAAGTATATCCTGGGGCAGCTGTAATAAAAGCGACTCCGCTGAGATCATCGTCACTTAAAACGGGTGATCACTGCGCACTGTCAAGAGTTGTGGTCTAATCTCCTGTAGGAAATAGAAGAAAGATGACCGTTTCTTCTTATTCAGACTATAACGCGCTTATCATGATATCGATGGGGCCTAGATCTTATCAAGCTTCATCCTGAGAAACATTTGAAGCCGAGTTGTAAGCCAAATGAAGTTCAATTACTTTATAAGATGAATGTTTATGACTCAATATCTTTCAAGCTTGGAGGTGACCATTGACGACACCATGAACTTCTCGCAGCTGCAACGTCGAGACCAAACTGCAACATTAGACAAGTAAGTAAGTATAAGTGTATTGTGCGTGCAGTGCAGAGGTGTGCGTGGGGGTAAACGGAACGAAGGCATGGTCAATGAACATAGCAACGATAGATAATCACTACGTGCTATGACTGCACCGTCCCCGTCCGGGGATGAACAGTCTGAAGGGCCCCGTCATGCGGGTAATGATGTGATTCTGGACTATGCAAATGATATGATGATGTTCCAATCATGATACCCAGGATGATGCCATTAGCAGTCCCGTTGAGCGCGGGAAAGTCGGTAACCCGTTGCCAGCGAATGTGGGTAGGAGATAGTGGGATGAAGCCGCTTGACGTGTATGACAGCTGCGTCCGTCAAGATAGGAGAGTAGCATGGAATACTAATTAGGCATTTGCAAGAGTCGAAAGCCTCATGCACCCTGTGGCGTGGGCTGCTGCATCGGCATTTCTCTTGCCTGACCTTGAATGTCCTGCAAGAAGCGCATGAGATCATAATTCTCTTCTTTATGAAAACCACGATCATGGCAGCCTCATGGGCGCACAATCAAGAAATCGAGATCAGCCAAATTAGAGACTCACCATCCTTGGCCTTTTAACGGGTCTTGGACGGACACCATTCGACCCCGCACGGACACCAGCCACGCCTATCGACATGCTCGCACCATTTACGCTCGGGTTGGGTGGTAACGCAGGACCATCCTCGAGTTCACGCTTCTTTCCTCGCATGCCGCCGAGGGCGGACGTATCTATCCGTTGCGACGCGGCACTGCTCTGCACAGCTGATCGCGGTGCAGCGCTTGTCGGTGTAGTTGTCCGAGTTGATGCTGTAGGAGGCGGTATGGTTACAGCAGGAGCATGAGGCTTTGAATGAATGGGTTGCACTTGTGATGCTGCAGGCGGTTGTTGTGCGGATGGTTGACTTGGATTTGATGGCGCCACTTGTGGCGGGGGGAGTGTGCCGGGTGCGCCGGGTATGCCTCCTGGTACAAGACCTTGGGCTTGAGCACGCGCGAGTTTTTTGAGCTCTTTCTGGGAGCAGCAAAAACATGATATCTAAATATCAAAGCCTGTAGAGATGAGAAAGCCGCACGTACACGTTTTCTCCTGTCTTCCTTTGCCTGTGCAGACTCCACGACCAAAGTACCCACATTCCACTGGTGCAATATCATCAAGATACGAGTATGGTATAGAGAGAGAAGAGCGCACCCCTTTCAGACCTTCTGCACTGACAGTGAACGCTTCCCTTTGTGTCCGTTCATCGAACTCTGTGATTGGTATGCGTTGCTTCGGTGGAACCTGCATCATCGTAGTAAGGTAGTCGTCTTTCTTCATCGAGTGCTTCCCCGGGACGCTCTTTATGAGGAATCGGTAGGAATTCTTTTTCATTTTGTCATCACTGTCTGGAAGCAGGGCGCCCGGTGTGAGTGGTGGTACAGAAGCGTGTGACAATGGCATCTGGGAGGGAATGGATGGGCGGACATGCTTGTCATAAGCGGGATGAAGATTAAAGCGACCAAGAATGTCCTGTGTGCTTGCAAGGAATGTTCGTGGAGGAGGATGTGCTGTAATTTGTGAGATTAGTCGGGTGTGAAAAGTAGTAATCAAACGCTATAAGAATGAAAACAACTAGTGATGCCCGTACCAGCTGGTGGTGGTAGAAATACGAAGTTATAGTCTTGAGTTATCGTTGACGGGCCTGCCACGGCGTTCTGATTTACGTCGTCCTCGACGTCCATGTCGAATAGCGAGGTGAACGAGCGGAGATCAGAATCACACTCTGAAAGCGCGTAGGTCGTAGGCTGCCTAAGTTATCCGAGGCAGCGCCACAGATCAGAAAAGCAGCTTGCTCGCGGATGTCGCCGTAATTACCGACGATGAGCAAAGACTGTTGGTCGCCGTCGTCGTCGATGGCAGGGACAAGGGGATCCGACAAGTTTAAGAGAATATGAATCGGCAAAGATTAGTCAGCAACACGTGGTCACGGTGTTGGCGGGAACGAAGTTTTGAATCGATATTATCACCTTGGGGGCAACAACGTCTATATCTAAGACTAAGTAGAATCTCGCGGGCCTTGTGGACTGCGACATTTGTGGACTAAGGTAAGCCTTATTCTTGTTTACTGCCAGCACATGATACACATACATGGATACTAACTTTCGCAGTAGATTCATGATGACCTCGCTAAACGATACACAGAAATCGGGAGGACTAAAGATATGCGCTTGGAACCGCGCATGAACTGCCATGAAAAACTTGGTGGATACGAGATGGGAGGCATGCAATACGACGCAATGTGCCGCAGCCTCCATAATGTCACGGTCGGGTGCAAGACCATGCGATTCAACGTGTATTCCTGATTAACACTAGTACAGATTTATATGATAAGTGCTGGATACTATCCGTACCTGAACAAACTGGCAGTTGGAGATAATATGACCGATGTTCTGATGGAAGGTCCCGGAGGATTTGTTTGTCAAGAGAACTCGACGACCTTGAGCGCAGATGACAGTGCAGGGACGAGACATCGACATCGATCAACCGGCAAGCACCATTCCACCAAAGCGCTTGAGCCAGGCGTCCAGCCTCTCGGTCTCAAATACGCAAACCCAATCCTCATCTGCTAAAGTCTCTGCTTCCCCCTTCCACACGTATGTGTATGCATCCAACTTGCTTCCATCGGCCATATCCACTACAACTGGGGTTCGTTCGTACGAACTACCCTCGTAATTATCCAATTTCTTCCACTCCGAGGGGCTGGTGGGAAAGATTACATATCCATCAACAGTGCGAGTGTCATTGCTACGGATGAGCGCAGGATAATCACGGCGATGGACGCGGCGCCTTTCGAAACCCGTTATTGTCCCAGGTTTACGCTGAGAGAGGACGTCTCCCGCTTTCGACGAGTCGCCCTTTATTGCCCAGGCCAGGAGAGGGGCGGCCATTAACGTCCCATAGACAAATATTGGTGCAACGGGGCTGTCGGACGCAGTAGTAGGGTCCATCGTCTTGTGAAGAGTGATAGGTGATAGAGATCTAGCGATTTCACCTTCCGCCGTAATACGTTACGGGCGTGGCTAGTAATGCAACATCAATATCAAGTCCACCTACAAATCAGAAAATCATTACCTGGGATAGTGTAAAAGAACAAATTGAATAGTCAGCCCCTTAAGTTTCTGGGCCTGTAGTGATAGTCACATGATGACCGCAATTCTAGTGACAACTTGTCCTAGCTGCACAGGGGTCAATTAGCCAAAATCAGCGATTCCCACACCTTGACCAGTCTTATGACCATTGTGCGGCCGCATTGCTCTTACTAGAGATTACTGAGTCCTGACTATTCAGTGAAAGATACCATGCGTAGTATATGGACCTGGATGAGGTCGGGCCCAATTCAATCTGCTATGGGGTTTTCTTCTAATACTTACTACACGAAACTTCAGTAGGTTGCAGGAACCTCGACATTGTGGAGAGACAGAGCCACGTTCAAACCAGGCCGAATTCACTGTGCGTGGTGCATATCACGAGAGTCCTTTGTGTATCTACATACCGTCTTCAACAGTTCCAAGCAGTCGCTATAGGCCTGCTAATAGGCTGCTTGCTGTGCTTTACGAACTTGTACTTTGGATTGCAGACAGGATGGATTAGCATGTGAGTGTCGCCAAGTAACCCACAAGACAAAATAACTGATACTTTACTCACGAAGGATGTCACTTCAGTCCGCCTTGATTGGTTTCTTGCTGTCTAAGATGCTCCCGACCCCACTTTCTCCACAAGAAATTATTGTAGTGCAGACTACTGCAGTTGCTACTGGCACGGTGGGTCGTATTCCAATCTCCTTCATATTCAGCTAACCACTTCCTTTACAGATGCCATTAGCAGCGGGGTTTGTTGGAATTTTACCTGCGTTAGGTCTACTCGAGGAGGAAAAGGATGGAAGCCCACCAATTCGTCTCTCTTGGCTTGCTGCCGTAGGATGGTCATTCTCAGTCGCATTTTTCGGAGTATTCTTGTCACCTCCCATAAGAAAGCAAGTTGTGCGTATTGTAACTCTTCTTCATTGAAGGCCAGTCTGACGCTGAAAAGATCATCAAAGAGCAACTGGCATTTCCATCTGGCACAGCGACCGCTCAACTAATTTCTGTCCTACATCGAATGCCCCCTCCAGATACTACCTTGCGACGCCGTTCCGGCTATAGGGCGATTGATACAGAAGACTTGGCACAAACTGCGAGCACGGACGAACCTGGCAATCATCAAGAAGCCTCCGCAGAAGACGACTTTGACGAAAGAGGGGTTGTTCAGCGAGAAGGCTGGGAAGATCTGCTAATGAGCTTTCTTGCTTCCGGGGCAATGACTGTATGCAGTGCCTTTTGCTCGCTATATTCAACTCATGTCTATCTTCAAAGCTTGCTGCGTACTTTTTCCCGATTGTCTTCGCGATTCCGCTATTCGGGAAGTACCTAGCCCGAGAATGGCTTTGGTCTTTTACTCCTAGTTTATCATATGTCGGTCAAGGTGTGTGTGTCTTTGTCTAGTCAAGAGTTTACTAAGACTTCACGAAGGCATTATCATGGGTTTCCCAACTACCTTGAGCATGAATCTGGTAAGTCTGATTCTCCACTTACGTAGCCGCCGTTAATTATCCACGTCAGGGCATGCTTGTGGGTTGGGGTATCTTATCACCCCTGTCCAAGTACTTTGGGTGGGCTCCTGGTCCAGTCGGTGACATGTCTACGGGTGCGCGCGGTTGGATCCTATGGGTATCTCTGGCCATTATGTGTGCCGACTCCTTCATTTCTCTCCTTCCGGTTGTCTATGAGTATTGTATCAAAATAGTGGCTTGGTATAGACCAACAAAGCCTGGTGACGATACAGAAACGCACGAAGATCTTGAAGTAGAAACTGCTGACCGACTTGTACCAACGAAGTGGGTTATGTACGGTCTTATAGGCAGCATATGTGTGGGGACAATTTTGGTTTGGATCGTGTTCGGAAATGATGGTATCAAACCATGGGCAACCCTGATTGGTTTCATGATGGGTGGATTACTCAGTATCCTGGGGTACGTTTTTCGACCCGATGGTATATCTCCAACTGATCACTCCACTAGGGTGCGGGCGCTGGGAGAGACTGATTTGAATCCTGTAAGCGGACTGGGGAAGATCTCTCAACTTCTCTTTGCTTGGATACAACCTGGTAACGTGGTTGCAAACATCATTGCCGGAGGTGTCGCAGAAGCTGGCGCTCAACAGTATGGTTCTCCTTCACTATGTTAGATATGCGCTGAAGAGTAACCGCAGAGCTGGAGACCTTATGCAGGACCTCAAGACTGGTCATTTGATACGTGCTTCTCCGAGAGCCCAATTCTATGGCCAACTTATCGGATCATCATTATCAATTATTGTTTCAGCGACTGCCTACACCCTGTACCAACGAGCATATACAATACCCGGACCTTCTTTTCCTGCACCGACTGCGTATGTCTGGCTCAGCCTGGCTCGCCTCCTTCGTGAGGTTATATCGTTGCTGGCTGGTTCGGGCCGCTGATATATTACTTTTGGCAGGTAACGGGCGACTTCCTCAAAATAGCGCCTCTTATATGGTGCTATTTGCAACAATCTTCGGTGTCATTGCAGGTGTCAAAGTCATGGCTGCACAACGCAACCACCCATATACAAAGTGGATCCCTTCCGGGATTGCATTCGCCATTGGCTTTCTCAACACGCCTTCTTTTTCTTTGGCACGTCTGATCGGCGGGATCATCGAATTCGTGTATCACAAGCGCGTTGCAAAATCCGGAGGCGGCGCGGATATCAGATTGATCGTGATTGCAAGTGGCTTTGTGTTGGGCGAAGGAGTGATCAGCGTAATTTCGCTGGTGCTGAAAACATATGGAGTGGGCGTGGTAAGTTGTTGGGGGTGTTCTGGAGGCGTCTGTGCTGGCTGCCCTGCATAGGATCTAGACTAGGTGCGGATGGGCGCAAGGGCGGGCAGTTGTTTTTGTAGCTTTCGTATCACTGCAACGTTCGACATGCTTTGTTTTTTTGGATTTAAGTTTACTTCGGTGCACCAAAAATCATATGCAATGTTGCGATTATTATAATATGATCGACGACGCTTTGAACCAGATTTTCTTGCTCCATGCACAATGCCCGACACATCGAGTATACACAGAACTGGCGGGTGACATATGTACACGCTCCAGGCTGGAAAGCAATTGAAGTCATGCCCAGTTCCTGCATGGCAGTCAGCTATTGCAACTTTGCAAGAGCCTAACGTGACATTCTCGAACGCGGATGATTAAGCACAATCCCAGTGACACAATGCTAGATTCCTCCTATGAAAAAAAACCCTACAATTTACGTATACAGATCTACAAACACCTTTCGAGATCGACAATCTAATGTTAGTGTGCAGTTCTTACGGGGGCATTATATCATCCTAGAGTACAATCATACCTCATAGCGGCGCACCCGGAGGGGTACACTACATCCAGCCTCAGTGCTTCCAACCACGCTCGGTCTTGGTAAAAGCCCTAAACTCTTCACGATCTGCACCTCAGCCCCATCTGCCATCTCAAACACGAAGTGCCGCACAAGGATGAACAGCACAGTCTGGGAAGAGATGACGCCCAGTTAAAACGAATTAAGACCAATACCCTTGCGCAGCTGCTTACCTTGAACTGTGCCAGAGCAAAAAGCCTCCCCGGGCACATCCGCGCGCCATTGCCGAAGGTCATTAGATGACGATAGCCATGCGGTATATCTCCAGCCCCATGCGTGCCTTCGTCCTCATTGATCCATCGGGAAGGTTTGAATACCTTTGCGTCAGGCCCCCACATGCTAACCGAGCGATTGAGCGCGGCGAGCGGGATCACGACCTCTGTCCCTTTCGCAATGCATACATGGTCGGTAACTTTACCGTCAGCTGTGTACAGGGGCTCGCTGAGTGGAATGACGTCGTCTTCCGTAACCTGTCATAGGTTAGTTCGAATGTTTGTGTTGATTTCTGTCGAATACGAACCGCTCGAGGGACTTCTACGACGGGCGAGTGGAGGCGAAGAACTTCATTCACCACAGCGTTCAAGTAGGGAAGCTTATTCGCGAGGTCGTCGTACGAGGGGGTTGACCCGAACCCTAGACACTCGTCACGAAGCTTCGTTTGGATGTCTGGATTCCGCCCGAGTTCTATAAAAGCCCACTGTGGAATTTAGAAATGCAGTTGGAGCAATAAATAGTTCAAAACCTACTGTAAGGCTGACTGATAAAATGTAAGGAATGGTGAGTATACGGGTCTTTTGCTAAACGAATATATATTACCTGCCGTGGTCTCAAAGCTGCCAAGAAGTAGAATCCGCGCCTGACGGAGATGGAGATTAGTGTCGTATCGTTCAGAAGAACTCAATGATTTGCATACCTCGTCTAGTACCTCTTGCTGAGTCAATCCTACGGTCTCGCCAGATTCTTCCGCTTTCACTACAAAACAATTGTAGCGTTCGCAATTTTGGAGAAAAAGAACAAACTCACGGAGCAAACCCAGACATGATTTATCTCTCTCGTCAATGCCGCCAGTCTCTTTTTCCTTGCGCCTCCGCGATAGCATCTCCTGGCATATTTGGCCGACGGTCAGGTGCAACTTCTGGGAGAACTTTGTGCGAGGCCATGGTAGCTTCATGATGGGAGGAAAGGTTTGTCCGAGGATAAACAAGCTGTGGGAAGGGTCGACGGATGCGCTAAACGCATTCAGGACGTGCTCGACGTCAGAGCCATTTCCATCGAGTGCGCCGAAGTCGTGGGACAGAATGCCTATGCCTGCACTGTCGAGCCTACGTAGTGGGTGTTGGATTAGACGGCAGCCTGGAGAGGAAAGGATATACGTACGAGATGTGATTCATCCTACAGAATGTCTGAGTGCGTGAACAAGATATTTTGGAGAAGACAAATACCATTGTTGAACATCAATTACAGCGCAATCGGTTCCTCTGTTTGATTCTATCTCAATATCCCAAGCGATCACTGCCTGTGACCTATTACGAGCACAGCGACGAGTGAACTACGAATGCCTCACCTTGTGGGCGACATCTTGGAATACAGAAGTCAAGCTGCGAACAGCAGCTGCGCTAAAAGCAGGGTTGAGGTTCTTGCGTTGCCTTATAAAAAGAGATGCATTTAGTTCGGCACGACCTGAAGGTCATACTAAATTCTTACCTTTTGTGACTTTCACCATCGGCCCCCATCACTCCTCTCCCTATCTGTCAGTTGCAGAAGCGAATTATCATCTTGGAGTTGTGACATAAGGCAAAGGGACATACTGCAATCGGAAGGATGATCTTGTTAAACGGAGTATGGTGATATAACCACGTGTCTCTGGCATAGAAGTGAGAGATTGCTTTTTGGTCCCATAGCATGAGCCTATATTTTCCCAAGGCGTGCGGGATCTTGTACACTGGTCCGTACTCCTTGGCCCAGGGTTCGTACAGTTCATTGGTAATGTTGGAATCTACCACTGTCTTGGCGAGGCCAAAGATCAAACTTGTACCCTGAGGCCCTCGTATGCGTGTCGTTCGTTGTGTTTCGGCGACACACTCGCAGAAGATAGAGTGTCGCCAGTATAAGGACAAGGATGCATGTTGTTAAGACTGGCAGGGGCCGTGCGAGGCAGAGGTCCTTGAAGGCAAGCCAAACGTCCATGCCGCAAATTGTAGTTGGTTTGCGATAGACCCGTGGTTATGAACAATGGATAACTGCTTAAATATCATTTGAGCAGTTACTAAGTTCGCCGCCATGTAGTCCTGAACCGAATTTGGGATGCAAACTTTTGTAAATGGGGCCGCCGTTCAGTCGGAGGCCAAACATATGAGCGGTGGCCATGATGCAAGACTTAAACCCTACCCGGACTGGCCATGGGTCTGATCAATCTGTCAAAGATGGCCTGGGATGGGGTACGTAAGTTGTAGCTGATTGATATTTGTGGAGAATCCATATTGCTGTGCTGATAAGCATTGAAGGGTACGTGGCTACAGTCGACTAACGCATGCCTCTTGGGATAACCCCAGAGGTATAGCTTATTAGGGAGTATGGGGTATTCAAAAGAGCAAGAGCCCTGCAAGATAACTTGGGAAATCCAAAAATGTATGTCATATCAGGGAGTATGGGTTATACCTGGTATGGGTTAGGAGGGCGTCGACTGTAGTCGTATTTGAAAGCACCAGTGACCATCGTGCTTGGAATGCAGGACGGAGTGTCTTCCGTGGTCATTGAGGCCTGACGTCTCCCTCCCTGCTAACACATACTTCCGAGTCGTTTGCTGAGCTAGAATTGCATAATTCAAATTAAGATAACGACGACACAACAAAAGGACCAAACTGTATGTGCATAGCTTGCAATTGGCTTGGAGGGGAGGTCATGTGGTGGAGTGGATCCGTAATGAAATGAACATTGAACTTGCCATCCGAAGTAGGAATAGCAGCATGTCACCGAAGAGCTCTTCGTATCCGAAACACGCGGATACAATTTCTGAAATTCCCTTATACGGAATTAATACTTTGTGCCTGCCCGGGTTATCACTCCGGCTCCCACACTGGCAGCAAGGTACTCGCTCACCGCACCGTCCTTGCATAATAAGTCCATTGCACTTTTTCTTGGAAATGATGTACAGAGCATTGTAGCTGCACTCCCTCTAATATAGGTAGTATATATATAAGTTCAGTATTGAATGAGGCCAAATGTTAATACTTTGAAACTAGCAAATTAGGACACTGGTACCTTGTTTTCGCCACGGCTTGGCAGCAGGTCACACTCTACCTCGCCGCGAGGCTTACTGGTACTAGTAAGCTGTAAATGAAGCAAACCTTGCTCCGATTTTCGAACGCCGACCCCCAATCGACGAATCATTGTCCTTGCATTCGCAACTTCATCATAGTCGGTACAATCGGAAAACTCTACCGGCCTCTACCTCAGCTATCTTCTGCCCTATCATCCGATAAAGTATAATGTAAACCATATTAATGGTAACATTGGTCAGTAATAAACCTGCTTAAAAACAACATTCGCGTCATGGGTCAACTTCGGGGATGTAGCGGTCAGGAACGCACTATATGAATGACACACTAAACACACCCCTCAGAGTCAATTCAGCACTCCAGAACTCCTTACGATCCCTTTCCAGCTCTTCCAAATATAACTCGCAAACAAAGCCGTCTCGTCCAAGACCTTTCCCGCGTGCTTAGTATTCTCAAGGAGCGAATCCAAGAATACCGGTGCTGTTTTTGGGGAAGTCAGCTGGTGCAGTTCAGCGGCGAGGTAGATGGCGGAGATGGTTGCTCGGCGGGTGTACCAAGATGACTGGTGGGGGCGGAATTGGTTGTTAAACACATGTGAAAAAGTGTCAAACCTCTCGCGCATCGCTACGAGCGATCCAGCACGCCTGGTTAGATACTTGGGCAGCGTGTTTGATTATCGGCGCAGGGTCCACCGGGAGCAGAGGTAGAGGTAATAAGGGAGAGGAAGCGAGGAGTGCAAATGCCTAGAGTACCAAGCGTAAGTGATTTGCATGATAGCGAGGGAAAACATCATCTTGAATATCTTCGACGAATAAAATATGAATTACCTCTGGAAGGTGCTCCAGCACTGATTCGTTGCTCTTCAGCCCTCGCCTTCAGCACATCTCCCATTCACATCTTTTCTGTCGCCTCTTCCTTCATCCTATGCCTTGCATCATCAAGCCACGCATGCACAGGCCTCCTATATGCATCATCTCCTGGGCCAAACAGCGCAGTCACGTTCACGTCTGGGAGAGGATGAGTTATTGGTGTGGGTAGGGACAACGCCGACAACGATAGAGCTTCTCGGATGAATCCATGGGTTTTGATGAGCGGAAGCGCAAGTTTGGCACTAGAATGCAGATCTGTGTCAGAGCTTTAACGTTTAGCTACGACCAGAATATCAAGCACGTGACTGCAGGAAACGGTGAGATACTAAACTTTTAGGGGAGCTCAAAGTTGAACCAACGTTGGACTTCCGCTTACGTTTATGCTCATTGCTTATCATTGCTTAACATCTCAGACGTAGTCAAGACTGGTTACGAGTCTACTCAGAGTGTCCATTTTCTGGATGCCCTCGTCAGAGTCGGAATAGACGTTCGGGTCGTGCCGGATAGCCCTGTCAAAGGGTGATCAGCACACATTTATCCTAGAATGCACATCGTTAGGTACCAGTGGTTGCCAAAGACGATAGCGCCCTCTGGTATGTAGATGTCCTTCTGCTCAAATAATGGATCGGTTTAGGAATCACGCCAAAGCACAACCAACCAAGTTCAAGCTCAAGACCGTTGATGTCAGGCTACTTGGCTCCTGCAGTAATGCGGTCCTCAATAGTACCAATAAGTACTGCAGCAGCTACACTCTTCGCTCTCCAAATCAACAAACGATTCTGACCAGCGATCCCTGTGCATGAGCTCTGCTTCATCGCAATTTTCGTTCTCGACCAGTCATCGATCCGAATGGAAATATCTAGCCCCTTCGATCCACTATCAGTACTAGTGTGCGCTCCCTTACCCACGCCATGTTGGATTGTGCAAGCTCAGCTCAGTTATCGCTCTTTATCTAGACCGAGCTTGATGACAATGTGTCTGCTGCTTGGGACTGTCTCTTTGCACAATCCCTTCAACCTTTCCTTCAAGTTAGCTCCCAGAAGTAGCATCGCAGGAAGTATTGTGTCGTTCAGATCCATGATCTATCTTCGTTTGTCATCTGGGTTATTAATAAGGTCGGAGCTGTCTAGGTGAACTCTGTTCCAGAGATTTCGGAGCTCGTGGCGTCCCAACCACATCGATGCAGACAAGTCACTCATACAGCCGAGTGAACGATAAGGCACTACCCTTCTCAACTTCTCACTCAACTGGGTTCCTCGGACTCCACACCAATCGACCTATGTCGAATCCTTGCTTTACGCTCTTGAAGGACAGGCACAAGATTATCGCACTCAACCAACTGTAGGTCTTCGAAGCTTCATCCTCGACAGACCACATGAAACCAATCGCACTGCGAAGTCCGGAGAATTGCATTGCCGCAGCGAGATGGATCGATTCATCTGGACTCTTCTCATCACCCACGTTAGTGCGGCAAGCCGATAGGGATGCAAACTATGGGTTCTGCCAGTCGAATCGGATGATGTCCTTGATCATCAACGGCCCATCACGCATTGCGAAGGAAGATTCAAATGGTCATCGTCGATTAGGCATTCCGTGGCAGGCCAGGTGAAGCCATTGCTTATAGTTCAGGGCGTCAAATGCACCCTTGACCATTGCGTCGCTGTCCTCGAGCCCCGTGAAGGACAATACGAAGGGCGCGAGACGCTGGGCGACAACGGCTAGCTCGGCAGTTACACATTCAAGTGGCTTCCCTCCATCGGTATTTCCTTGATCAATGGCAACAAAATGTCGCGGGGATGCACCCCGAGAAACCTGCCGTCTTGCACGAACAAGTGTCGCCAAAGTGGGGGTGTACGAGGATATGTAGATTTGAGACAGACTGTCTCTCTTCTTCTGGTAGGCACCTGCTCTTTACCGTTGTATCCCATTTCATCTATAATTGTAGGTATTTAATTTATCATTCTTACATTATGGCCTGACTCCCACCTTAAGAGTAGTAGCGCCTCGCTATTTGCATGTCATCGCAGGTGTCAAGGTCATGGTTGCACAACGCAGCCACCCATATACAAAATGGACCCCTTCCGGCATTGCATTTTCTATTGGCTTTCTCAACCCGCCTTCTTTTTCTTTAGCACTCTGACCGGCGGGATCATCGAATTTATGTATCACAAGCGCGTTGCAAAATCCGGAGGCGCGGATATCAGATTGATCGTGATCGCAAGTGGCTTTGTGTTGGGTAGGCAGTCGGTTTTCTGTAGCTCCCGTATCACTTTGCGACGCTTGACATGCATTATTTTTTTGGATTTAATTTTACTTTGGTGCACACAAAAAGCATATGCAATGTTGCGAGTAGTGTGATCGACGACGCTCTGAACCTAGTTTTTCTTGCTCCGTGCGCAATAGCTCAACACATTGAGTGTACACAAGACTGGCGGATGACGCATGTACATGGTCCTGGAAAGCAATTGAAGTCGTGCCCGGTTCCTGCATGGGAGTCAGCTATTGCAAGAACATGATCAAGCGCAGTCCCAGTGACACAATACTAGATTCGTACTAAGAAAATAAACCCTTTACAATATTTATGTATACAGACATTTTCCGAGATCAATTAACAATCCAGTGTTAGTGTACGGTTCTTATGGCGTCATTATATCATCCCGGAGTACAATCATACCTCATAGCGGCGCACCCGGAGGGGTACACTACATCCAGCCTCAGTGCTTCCAACCACGCTCGGTCTTGGTAAAAGCCCTAAACTCTTCACGATCTGCACATCAGCCCCATCTGCCATCTCAAACACGAAGTGTCGCACAAGGATAAACAACACAGTCTAGAAAGCAATGACGCCCAGGTAAAACGAATTAGGACCAATACCCTTGCGCAGCTGCTTACCTTGAACTGGGTCAACGCAAACAGCCTCCCCGGGCACATCCGCGCGCCGTTGCCGAAGGTCATCAGATGACGATAGCCATGCGGAATATCTCCAGCCCCATGCGTGCCTTCGTCCTCTTTGAGCCATCGGGAAGGTCTGAACATCCTTTGCATCAGGCCCCCACATGCTAACCGAGCGATTGAGCGCGGCGAGCGGGATCACGACCTCTGTCCCTTTCGCAATGCATATATGGTCGGTAACTTTACCGTCAGCTGTGTACAGGGGCTCGCTGAGCGGAATGACGTCGTCTTCCGTAACCTGTCATAGGTTAGTTCGAATGTTTGTGTTGATTTCTGTCGAATACGAACCGCTCGAGGGACTTCTACAACTGGTGAGTGGAGGCGAAGAACTTCATTCACCACAGCGTTCAAGTAGGGAAGCTTATTCGTGAGGTCGTCGTATGAGGGGGTTGACCCGAAACCTAGACATTCGTCACGAAGCTTCGTTTGGATGTCTGGATTCCGCCCGAGTTCTATAAAAGCCCACTGTGGAATTTAGAAACACGGTTGGAGCAATCAATAGTTCGAAACTTACTGTAAGGCTGACTGATAACATATAAGGAATGGTGAGTATACGGGTCTTTTGCTATACGAATATATATTACCTGCCGTGGTCTCAAAGGCGCCAAGAAGTAGAATCCGCGCCTGACGGAGATGGAGATTAGTGTCGTATCGTTCAGAAGCACTCAATGATCTGTATACCTCGTCTAGTACTTCTCGCTGAGTCAGTCCTACGGTCTCGCCAGATTCTTCCGCTTTCACTACAAAACAATTGTAGTGTTCGCAATTTTGGAAGACAAAGAACAAACTCACGGAGCAAACCCAGACATGATTTATCTCTCTCGTCAATGCCGCCAGTCTCTTTTTCCTTGCGCCTCCGCGATAGCATCTCCTGGCATATTTGGCCGACGGTCAGGTGCAACTTCTGGGAGAACTTTGTGCGAGGCCATGGTAGCTTCATAATGGAAGGAAAAGTCTGCCCGAGGATAAACAAGCTGTGGGAAGGGTCGACGGATGCGCTAAACGCATTCAGGACGTGCTCGACATCGGAGCCATTTCCATCGAGTGCGCCGAAGTCGTGGGACAGAATGCCTATGCCTGCACTGTCGAGTCTACGTAGTGGGTGTTGAATTAGACGGCAGCCTGGAGAGGAAAGGATATACGTACGAGATGTGATTCATCCTACAGAATGTCTGAGTGGGCGAACAAAAAATTCTGGAGAAGACAAATACCATTGTTGAACATCAATTACAGCGCAATCATCTCCTTTGTTTGATTCTATCTCAGCGTCCCAAGCGATCACTGCCTGTGCCCTATTACGAATGCAGCGACGAGTGGACTACGAATGCCTCACCTTGTGGGCGACATCTTGGAAGATAGAAGACAAGCTGCGAACAGCAGCTGCGTTAAAAGTAGGGTTGATGTTCTTGCGTTGCCTTATAAAAGAGGTGTATTCAGTTAGGCATGACCTGAATGTCAGACTAAACTCTTACCTTTTGTGACTTTCACCATCAGCCCCCATCACTCCTCTCCCTATCTGTCAGTCGCAGAAGCGAATTATCATCTTGGAGCTGTGACATAAGGCAAAGGGACATACTGCAATCGGAAGGATGATCTTGTTAAACGGAGTATGGTGATATAATGATGTGTCTCTGGCATAGAAGTGAGAGATTGCTTTTTGGTCCCATAGCATGAGCCTAGATTTTCCCAAGGCGTGCGGGATCTTGTACACTGGTCCGTACTCCTTGGCCCAGGGTTCGTACAGTTCATTGGTAATGTTGGAATCTACCACTGTCTTGGCGAGGCCAAAGATCAAACTTGTACCCTGAGGTCCTCGTATGCGTGTCGTTCGTTGTGTTCGGCGACACACTCGCAGAAGATAGAGTGTCGCCAGTATAAGGACAAGGATGCATGTTGTTAAGACTGGCAGGGGCCGTGCGAGGCAGAGGTCCTTGAAAGCAAGCCAAACGTCCATGCCGCAATAGTTAGTTTGCAACAAACCCATATAAGTTGTGAATGGGGATCAGTAACCGCTTAAATACCTTTTGTGCAGTGACTTAGTGTTGCCACTATGCAGTCCTGAACCGAATTTCGGACGCGAACTTTTGTAAAGGGGCTGCTCGACATATATGTAAGACTGGATTGGCCGCCGGTCAATCTATCAAATCGGGGGAATGCGTCAAACAATTTTCTTGCGACGGGGTACGTAAACGATAACTACACAGTCATGGTTCTTATTTGTGAAGAATCCATGTTGCTGTACTGACAAGCATTGAAGGGTGGGCCGTATTCGAAAACGCCAGCTAGTGACCAGCGTGCCATAAAACGACGCTATTGCAGGACTAACTTCGAATTTGACTCATTGATGATCCTCGAATCCACAGCGCCCTAACGAGATGAGAATTACGCCACTTGAACAGACTATACGTAGGATGAGATCTCCTAGACCGGGACTTGAAGCGAGGAAGCAGAGCAGCGGCGATGTGGTCATTGAGGTATTACTAGTACTTACTCGCCCTGCTAACCGGAAGAATCCCATCATTATTGAAGTCAGGTTGTTGGGTAGGCTGTGATTTTCGGTGTCAGCGGCATCCGGGGAGTACGACACCGAGTATGCCATGTTGCCCGCTTTGAACGGTTCTCTCCCGTCTCCCCACACGCATACCGTTTTATCCCATGATGTGGAAGCCCATGATCGTAAATGAAAGGACCGACTGCGTCCACCGTACCTACTGGCATTCGCAGGCGACGGGTGCGGAGATTGTTCGTGTATCACACTACGCGATTTGTGGACCGGGCAATATGGATGTGTATATGAGCTCGAAATTCGTGTGGTGAGCGATCATCGCACATTTCGGAAATGAACATTCCGAAGTGGGACCCCGTAAGCGAGGTCTGGGTCCAGGCTCAACCAAACTACGTAAGTACTGGTCCTTTACACCTATGCTTCAGCATCGCAAAAAGGATAGGCAGCTTCACTAGTATGTACCACTATTTACTAGCACCGTTCGTATCCGTTCTAAGATTCCCTTTTACGGTACATACTTTGCACCTCGCCGGCATCAGCCCGAGGCTCTTCTACTAGACGTCCATCTGAAAAGTCTGTCCTCAATTAATATCGGAGCTCGTAAATTTCAATAAACAACACGTCCTATACCTATCTTGTCTCGAACACATTCCCTTCCGAACTCTTTATCAGCCTTATAGACATGCTTAAGTACCACTGTTGAAACATTCGATGACAAGACAAGGAGGTGCACCAGTGAAGTCTATCAAGGTCAATGAAGTCAATTACGAAGCACTAAGAAACCGAGTAAGCTTCGACTGGTATAAGCTGTAAATGAAGACATCGTTCCACGTACGTTAGCCCCTAATCGACGAATCATTGTCCTTTCACTAGCAGCTTCAGAGTCGATACAATTGGTTACCTCTACCAGCCTAAACTAGTACCCTCTTCTGCCCCATAATCGGATCAAGTATAATGTAAACGATATGGTTCAGTACTAAACCTGCTTAATTAGAAACGACATTCGCGTCATGCATCAACGAAATGTAGTTTTAGAAACGCACTATAGCTATACGAGTATGCATATGTCTCGCGCGTGAACGACGCCCCGCACCCCTCAGAATCAAACCAACACCCCAGAACTCCTTACAATCCCTCTCCAGCTCTTCCAAATATAACTCGCAAACAAAGCCGTCTCGTCCAAAGCCTTTCCCGCATGCTCGGCATTCTCGAGGAGCGAATCCAAGAATGCCTGTGCTGTCTTTGGGGAAGTCAGTTGGTGAAGTTCGGCGGCGAGGTAGATGGCGGAGATGGTTGCTCGGTGGGTGTACCAAGATGACTGGTGGGGTGAAATTGGTTATAGATTAGTTAAACACACGTGAAAAAAAGTGTCAAACCTCTCGCGCATCGCTATGAGCGATCCAGCACGCCTGGTTAGATACTTGAGCGGCGTGTTTGATTATCGGCGCAGGGTCCACCGGGAGCAGAGGTAGAGGTAATAAGGGAGAGGAAGCGAGGAGTGCAAATGCCTAAAAGCACCAAGCATAAGTAATTTGCGTGACAGCGAAAAACGACCATCAAATTACCTCTGGAAGGTGCTCCAGCACTGGTTCGTTGCTCTTCAGCCTTGCCTTCAACACATCTCCCATTCCCATCTTTCCTGTCGCCTCTTCCTTCATCCTACGTCTTGCATCATCAAGCCACGCATGCACGAGCGTCCTACATGCATCGTCTCCTGGGCCAAACAGCGCAGTCACGCTCGCGTCTGGGAGAGGATTAGCTAGTGGCGTGGGTAGCGACAACGCCGACAAGGAAAGCGCTTCTCGGGTGAATCCATGGGTTTTGATAAGCGGAAGCGCGAGCTTTAAGAGTTTGGCACTAGAATGGATATCTGTTAGAGCTTTAGCGTTTAGCTACAAAGTTCTCGACCAAACCTGGTGGTGGTCATCTCATAAGAATATCAAGCACGTGACTATAGGAATAGTTGATGAACGTAGATATTCACAGAAATATGAGGTAAGGGTAGCGGGTGGTAATGTCGGTATATACGCGTACGCAGTCGATGGCAATACGAAAGCAAAGCGATGGGGTATATCCGCAAACTCAACAATGCAGCCTCAATCAATCAATCCCTTTGTCCTCAAGTACTCCCTATGTTCAGCGCGATGTGCAAGCACTTGCTTGTCGACCGAGCGTCTCCAGATTGGTATGCCAACCTACAGCCAAGCGTTAATCACGAGTTCAACCTTATTATGATAAGGTAGGGACATACAAGAGCGACTAAATCTAACACGAAATCGAGAGCAGCGTTGCTTCTAGGCGCAGAACCACGCGTTGAAGCTCGGAACAAGCTCGTAATCAGATCAGCGGTGATGTGTGCGTGACCTTTCTCAACACCTGATCAGGCCAAAAGTTGGTTTAAAGTGATGGTTGTAGTTTCACGAGACGACGTACCTGAGAGTAATCCAGCAGCAGCCTGCTCCGCTGTCAGACCTTCATCCGTCGACTCAATCGTTCTAGTGATAGCCGGCTTCGTCTTATTTTCTTCTTCAAACCCAGGGGTATACATTGTCGGAGGGAAAAAGATATGAGTATCGATGTCATACAGCATTAGTTCTGAATGCAACGAATCAGCCAGTCCTATCAAGCCGTATCATCAGCATCACCCAGAGTAAAGCAGACAGCCATCACTCACCACGCAGAGCGTGCTTTGCAGGCGAATACGAAGAATATCCAATCAAAGACATATATCCAAGCGTCGAAGACACCAGCACGATCTTCCCCTTCTTATTCTCGCGCACCATTTGTTTAGCAGCAGCCTGTTCATTGTGTGCTAAACGTCATGTTCTTGTCCGTGATCTGAAAGAGTTGAACGATCGACTCACGAATGCGGTCCACGCCTGTATCCAGTACCCGTTCGTCATTCCGCGTGAGAGGTCCTCTGGCTGCATTTCGAGGAGGTACATCGGCTTTGCAGCACCTGCGCATGCAAAAACTGCATCTGGGACTTTGCCGCCGTGGGCATCGCTAGCAGCTTGGAGAGCGGCAGTAGACTCCTCTGCAGTGTCGAGGGAGAAGGAAAAGGCTTTGAATACTTGGTCTGGGCTTTGGCGATTGGCCTGTGTACGACATTCAGAACGAACAGAGGATTTCATGTCGGATACGAACCTCAAGCTCTTTTAAAGCATCGTCGAGTTTGCTTTGGGTTCTTGCTACTATAGAAACGTGGGCACCTTTCCGCGCGACGAGTTTGGCGAGTGCAAGTCCGAGACCTTGACTGCCGCCTGTGATATAGACGTGCTGGGGCCGTGCGCGTGAATCACTAGATCATCGAGGAAGACTTGTTGGCTCACCAACCCCTTTGGACTCCATTTTTTCGACGAAAACATGAATGATGACGAGTAAATGAGTATGAGGAGTAACAAAGCCTTGGAAGCCAATGAGGTCCAGTCAAACATGTATCTTGAGTGCTTTCGGTTTGTTGGTCGTCATACACTGGTGGATGACGGAGTTAACAGGTATTGTCAACTAGGCCGCGGTACAATATTAGTTCATACACAGCCACTGATCGAACGGTTTGAAATTCCGAACCGGTTATTGTGCGCTACTAACTCATATCATCATCACACGTTTCACCTCCACGTCGTGTATGCACTGCACAAGGCTCGAGTAGGCATCCGTATTTTTTCTGAATGTCAGAGAATGATCGAACTTTCTATATATGGTCTTTCCAACGGTCTCAGTCTGAGTCAGCGGGTGCTAGTGATCAGATCGATTACAAACCACCGTGACTGAGAATGATCCCAGCGACGCAACTGTCGCAGCTCCCCCAGGATGTGCGGGTGAGTGTTTTGCCATCGATCCTTAATTTGTTGTTGCCATAACTGATGCAGATGTGTCACTCAGAAACTGGTTCGGAGAGTGTACATGGATCGTTCGGTCGCAGACTTTGAGAAGTTGTGCAATCGACTTCCAGATTGCTCCGCATCCGAACTATGTATACTGCAGCCAGTGCTCTACATGTATCTCGATCCAGACCGCATTCCTGCAAAGTCAACCCCAGCCGTTGCCACTGATATAGAGCTCGTCTACAAGTCACTTCTCGTGATTGTTACAACTTTGGGTTATATCGATGGTTCTGGTATTGGCTCGGCGGGTTCGGAAAAGCAATATCTTATTTCCGCCTGGAACCGTGTCGCTCCCTGGCTTATCTTCTTTCATGACCAATTCATCATGTGCAGAGCCAACTATCGACCCGTCGACAAGATGGTTGCCATCAGGATTGTTGCTAGCTTACTACTGCATGTTGTAATGGTTAGTGGCAAGCGCGGCGGAACTACATTGCTTACCACTCCTGCCCTTTATCGCCCGATCGCAGAGTTGTGGTTGTTAGCCCTGAAAACCAAAGACAAATATGTAGTGTGCTTGTCGTCGTCGCCCGGCCCCGCTCACATCACTTCTTTTCGAGTTTTCGGCTCCTTGGTGGTTTCATCATGCATTCAGGACGAATCCTTTGTCACCATACTACTCGAAGTGTCAGGTGGTATTGACGCCGTCACTTCTGCAGCTCTGAAATATGTCAAGAGCTTACGATCGATGGCTAAAACCCCTGATATAGCTTCCGATAATTTCAAGCTCGAGCTGCTTGTCCTAGTGTTTTCGCACTGTGTTAAAATTATCGCAACGACGAGCACGCTCGATGCGGCGATACGGGAAGCATACCTCCTCCGGCAGTCCGTCAAAGAAATTTTTGGGGCTCTCCGTGTTCTTCAGTCCCTTTTTCTGGGCAAAGAGAGCATGGCGCAAGCCCTTGCCCCAAGTTTTACGTACCTCGACTTTCTCCTTAAATGTGCCGACGACCCTGCCTCAGCACTCCATCAAGCTCTTTGCGCACACGCCTTCGAAACAATGGTACATATAAGTCCTTCCGGACCCCTGGAGGAGTCAAAGCTAGTGGAGACGGATCCTCGTAGGATCAACGAGGCGTTTTTTAGGACCTTATTCAAATACAGTCTTGACGACAAAATCTTATCCTACGTCTGTAAACATGTGGACGCTTGGTCTAATAATCTCGGACCAATCGTGAGAGAAGAGAAATACCTCTTGGATATTTGGTCCGGTGTAGAGCAGACCATTCGAACATATGCAACACTTAGGTCCAAGGCAGAAACGATATGGTGGCCATCACCGAGTAAAATGGGCCGGGTTCTACAGGTCAGTCACAGACTTCATTGCTTCATCCCTGCTGATTCGTCAACTTAACACTACCAGTGTCGCTGCGATGGTACTGCAGAAGACATCCGCTTCAGGCAATGTGCGGGATGTCAAGTTGTGCGGTATTGCTCAAAGCGATGCCAGCGTGATTCCTGGCACAATCACCATAGGTTGAGCTGTAATTTTTTAAAGGCAGCTGTCGGTAAGTCTTCTTGATAGATATGCGCATTGTTTCCACTGACAATGTACCCAGGGTCGTCGACACCGCAACGCATGAAACGCAGTCTGCGTCTGCTAGCCGGTCTAGAAGTGGGCCATATCCAACGCAAGTGGGACAATATTCTGAGATTGTTCGCCGCTGCACGGTGCGAATATCCGAAAGATCGAGAACGACTTGTGCTCGAACTCAGTCTTGATAAGAATGACGAATCGGTTCGACCTCTTCGAGACTACATCTTCCTATTCAATGGGCTCTCTGAAAATGAGGTCGTGGACCGCATATCATCATCCTGGCCGGATTCGAGGGGCCAACTTCACGGACTATTTCTGTGTTCGGTCATCACAATACATGATCGATATCGGTCGCGGCAAATTTTATTCAGTCCGCGTATTGCATTAGATATGGAGATAGTGCCGCAAACGTTCAGCCGTGACTCTCAGGATGTATGAACTCCTGTACATCGTTTGGCGGGACTTGCCAATTGCTTGCGTTTGTTTTTTCATCTGCTGTATCAGGTCGTGCTGCCGGCCCCGACAGGAATGACGCAGTCATATCACTTCTGATTAGTAGTAGTACGACGGTTCATTAATCATTGCTTTCTCCAGTCGCCCTGTTTACCCCTCACGCACTGTATATGTAGTACAATTCAATTGGAGCTATTTAGATATATATTACTTCAGAGTGAAGTCTTTTGGATCGTAGACCCTGTGTCGGACATGATCAATGACCAGCTTCAGTCGTGAGGAAGCTGGAGCCAAGCATTCAGATATTCATTGTCAGTATTTTCTTTTCCGCATCACGATTGATCGCGTACCGAGAACGAGATGGCAGCCTGTAATTGTGGTAGCTTGATTAGCCGAATTGACAAAGTACGAGTCTGTACGCTGCCGAAATGTTTGTGGCCAATCTTAAAATCAAATGTTTGCTGAATATTTCAACACTGACCGTTCAGCATTTACAGTTGGAGCTACTTCAAACCTCTACTTAGCTATACCTGCGATGTTGCAATTAGGAAACTTTGTTGTCCTGGTATCATAGTTGTCCACTAGGCCGCGGTACAATAGTTCATACACAGCCACCGATCGAACGGTTTGAAATTCCGAACCGGTTATTGTGCGCTACTCATATCATCATCACAACACGTTTCACCTCCACGTCGTGTATGCACCGCACAAGGCGTTAAAACTCGTGCTTGTATTTTGAGCGGACAAGGCTCATTCAACCATATTTCATGTCCCGCATCGCTTTGGAGAGCATCCCTGGTCTCACATTCTACAAAAACGCGCTTACAGCTGCGCGACGGACCAGTCCTATTGCTCAACTGGTATGCATTGGGAAAGCGTGCGGGTTGTATCAGCCAGATGTCGTGCGCTGCAGTAATATTGGAGGGTCGGGTACGGACGTTGATTGGAAGGTGAGTGTTCACTGTTAACTTGATAATTAGGATTTGAGAGACTGCTAGACTCTACTACGTAGTAAGCTCTTGTATAGTGAGTTTGACACAATATTTGCAGTGCGAGGCGGACCTACCGTCCTCTTTACGTTTCGGCCGAGTCGAGGTCTCTTGCGAGGGATGGAATGGCCCTGGCGATCCATACGTCATGAAAGGTCTGATTCTGATTCACCATCGAGTACTCGAAATACGAAGCCTCATTATAATCACACAGGATCCTGTTCCCTCGAATACAACCTCGTTCAACTCCCTGATGCCCTTCGCGCCGACTCTGACTCAAGCTGGTCTCGCTTCTACACCCGACCATGGTTCAACAGTAAGTCTTGCGCACGCTCGTCTATCAACGCTTACTTATTCCCTGCATACCCAGACCTCGATTATTCCGGTATCTTCTTCATGCTCGTATGGATCGTAGTCCTGGGCATGATAATGTACAGCTTTATCCAACCTTGCTTGCGGCGCAATACGTCAGATGCCAACCACACCAGCCCTCCCTCGTATCCCGGCGATAGGCAAGGCAGGTCAGGATCAGGAGGATTCCCCGGCTCTTATTATACTAGCCCACCCCCACCATACACCAAAGACGCGGGTTCAGGCAACAGCTCGCAGTGGCAGCCAGGGTTTTGGAGTGGCGCTGCACTGGGGGCGCTGGGAAATCACCTTTTGAATCGTCCGTCGGGGTCGCGGGAGTATGACTGGGAGCGGGAGAGGCGACTGCAGGGTAGTATCTCGAGGAGCAGACCTGTGCCTGGGTATGATAGTCAGGATAGAGGAGAGGGGTCGTCTGGTTTGGGTGCGATGAGGACAAGTACGGGGTATGGCGGTTCGAGTACTAGGTAATAAAAGGCCATATTAATTGTACAAAAAATAATCTATGATTGACGAGACTGAGCGGCCGCTAATTATGATTGGGCCCCGCACGTCGTTGTTATGTAAGTCAGCCCCGTACAAAAGGTAGTCAGCCAGTGAATCCCCTTTTCTTTTCAACCACCCAACTACCTCAACATCATGGCACCAAGTCCCCTGGCGGAATCCCTGAAACCCATCATCCTACTGTTCTTTCTGCTTCTCCCCTATGCAGTGGCGCTTCTGCCATCAATTCTGAAATCAAGATCTCACAGCACTGATCTTCTTTTTAATCTCGCCGGATTGATAACGATTATCATCATTGCGAACCTGTACTACCTGATCTCTTGGGCTCCCTGTTGGTTTGTAGGTCTTTATCAGATATATTTGCGAGGACTTGTAATGAACTCATCGCACAGGGATTATTGTCGCATGATTGGGGCTGTGCCATTCAGTTCTTCAATTGGGTGGTTCACCTCACGTACATGATCTCAATGTGTAAGTTTCACAATCAGTCCCTGATGTCGTTTAACTCTAAATATTATTAGCCGGCCTACAAATTTTCAGCGTTCCCATGGTAGCTGTGTTACTCCTGATCCTCTTCCCTGCCATGGAACTCGTATTCTGGATCCTGGTAGGTAGTGGGAAAGAGAAGGTTCATCTCCACGTCTATGGGGAGATCCATGACTGGATTGCACTCAAATGGGGTAACTTGTTGATGGGTAAGCACGCATTCTTCAGATTGGATCTTACTAACGAATATTTAAGTATTAGTACCAGGTTGTCTTGACCGTGTGACAAGTTGTCTGGCCCCTGTGAAGCAGATCGTCGTCGAAGCATTGGAGTGGGTGGGAGATGTGTTAACAGCCATCAGGGACTGCTTTCCTCGCCATCTACCCCAAGAATTTACTCTCGCCGGTATGGACTATCCACCCGCGTATTCGGTAAGCACCATCTATTTATGGCATCCCCCTACTAACTAAAATTAAAATTCAGTCTGTTTTTACTCACGATCTGGCATCTAGTAGTACTTCCGCAGACATGACCGGCGCGGTGGCGAAGGTCTGATGATTTTTATATTGTATTTTTCATTGATATGTATCTATACACAATTCCTACACGGCACTTCAACAAACTAGAATTTTCAAACAACTTCATATGTTATTCCAAACACTTTGAATCCTAGTTAATGATCAACATATGAGCACTTGAGTGTCTGCCTGCGTACAGGCTCTATAGTGCTGTATTCACTTCTCACCAAATTTACAGTTTGCGTCCACACTACCAGTATGCATCTGCTGGTACCTAAACAATTCTTTGTAATTTCATTTTTGATAGTCAGGCAAGCCGTTGTGTCTAATCGACAGCTTGCCTCACTAGACAGACTGGTCACGAGCTTCAAGCTTCATTAACATTCTCCACCAAGTAGACATCCGCACGGTCGGGATTCCCGCCGCATACCTGTCACTTCCATATATAGTAATGTTTGTTCAAGTACCGTTCTTGAAGCTTGAAGCTTGAAGCCTTCCAACCACCGCATCGCTTTCTAGTGTGCAGACTATTGTGTGCGGGCTGTTGCGAGATGCTCCATCAGTGCACAAGGCTACCGTTCTTCCATTGCGCAGGGCTAGAGTCCTCTTGAAATGCATGGAGCTCTTGTACAAGGATAGGAATGCTAACGATGGAGAAACTTCCTGGACCGCGGAGCACCTGGGTGAACTTGTTCATTGTTGAGGTATTTCTTTGCCTCAGTTCTGCAACTGTATGTTATATATTTTCCATTTCAGGGCCTCGAGCACGACTCCGCCTTTGTGGTATTCCACTCACACCACACCGTAGCGGTTCATCGATGCATCTTTGGTTGAGCTTCTTCGCGTATCGTAGCGCAGGGTTACTAATGACTTCGACCGTGTCATACCATGTAGGGGAGGCGTGCAACATCTTACACGGTCTCATTCCTAACTCTTCAATTGAAACGGATCCCAAGATGACGCGATCACCTACTCATGCGAAGAAGCTGACAAGACAAGAGCACGGAATCTTCTCACACCACGTCCGCGTAAAGGTTTGTTGTTCAGAATCACTTACCAGCTATATTACCTGACAAAGTTCCACGAGTAGCTTTCGAGAACGTGTCAAATGTCATTCAAAGCACGCCTCCGAAGGAGACTGGTGCTCAGAAGGTGGTGTTTGTGTTCGACCTCGAGATAATCAACTTCGTAAGCTTGGTCAAGATCATTTACTGAGCGCTGTTGATCGATCAAACAGAAATGAACATCCATTTGCTTGGACTTACCACACCAAGAATATTGAATCATTTCAAAATCCCGTTCCGTTCGAGTTTCCGAGTTTCGATTCGGACCACACTAGTGTACAGGTATCGCTAAAGACTACAGCTGAGTCAAACATAACTTCCGATGAACTACTACATATATAAAACTATAGTATATTCTGTGACCTATCCCACCGCCGCAGCAAGCGACTTGAATGCTATGATATTTATTAACTAATCCTTCCACGATATACTGCGAGCACACCAAGAACACTCAAACGGACGAGCCCGAGCCAGAACCGCTGGCCTCACCAGCATCAAATCTTGAAACGTCATAGTCTGCTCGTGCAGCGCCGCCCCTAAGATCCTTGCTCACTCGTGATCGACCACGGGCCTGCTCCTGATATCTGCGTTTTGGCTTGACCCCGGAAGGGCGAACGGCGCTTTTGCCTTTGCCTTTGACCTTCTTGGGTTTCATCACGGAAAGACTGATATCTGGCCTGACGAGGAGAGTGAACATGATTGATAACAGTACCAGGCCACCGGCCGTTGCGAAAATGGCCTTTGGGAAGGAGGCTACAGTGCTGCTGTAGATGAGACCAAAAATCATGGGCTACAGAGCCTATATGAGAATACATCTTTGCCTAGAAGGATATCACTCACTCCAAGAATAGTCTGGCCGATGGCTTGCAGGACAGCGAGAGCGCCAAAAAGCTTTCCAGGCTCCAACTCAACATCATTATCGTGCTCCTGAGCCTCGCCTGTACGGGCAGCAGCTTCCTTAGCAGCAAGCGCACGACCCTGGAGGGTGCACAATGCGAGGCTTTGCATGGCTGGCATCACCCCCGCACCAATGGACGAGAGTGATGTTGCACCAACAAACATGGCCTGCGACCACCAAACATCACTCCCATCGGGAGAGGGCAGAGGCGCAATGACAACAAGCGCATGCGAAAGGAAGTCCATAAGCATGGAGTACCGCACGACGCGCAGATCGAATCGCATTTCATTGAATAGGTGAGACTTTGTGGGTTTGGGCTTTGACGTGGGATTCGTGGGTGTGTCTGTAGAGGAAACCGGAGCACGAACGGGCTTGAACTTTAGAAGAAGGACTGCTAATATCAGGACCGGGAGATGTCATCCAATAGGTTGACTCACATGGCAGGAAGACGAGTAAGTGCCAAGCACGGCAGGCTCCCATGAAGGAGATATAGTAGCTTAGTTGTTCGGCTGCCCAGTCATAGATATGCTCAGCATATAAATACTTGAGCTGGAATATCCCTGATGCCAGCATGTGCGAGAAGAGCGACATGCTGATGAACGTCAGACCCCAGTCTTTCCGCGTGCGAGAGGACACAACTGAGTCTCCAGTGGCGCTGGCAGCTACAGGTACAGGTACATGGGACGGAAGGAAGACAGCGAGGGGCGATAGAAAGCTTCGGATGATGCGAGTTGCAATCCATCCATTGGAGAGCTCGTCGACCTTACCTATAAAAACGCTTCAAATTAAGTACGAGACAAGGTAGCCAACTCAATGATACACGTACCGCTAGGGAATTCTGGATCACTTTCAACAGCTCGACCCTTACCTTTCCTATTTGATGCTCTGCGAGACGCGGGAAGAGATTCGGGGAACACAAAGAGCACTAAAATCAAGTTCACGAAAGAACAAGTAATCGCCACCCAAAAGACAGATGTGACGCTTTGTAGTGGGTGATCGACTTTCACTGAGATTTAAGCATTCAGCCGATCAAATAGTAACCTAACGTACTATTTCCAGCACTCAGGAAAGGTATCGGATTCCTGATCAACCATGCACCGATTACGGGTCCGAGAGCAAGTCCGATAGAAAGGACGCCAGTAAAACGAGCGAAAATAGTTGCGCGGGAACCAGGAGATGTGCAATCGGCAATGTAGGCCGTATTAGCACCGGTCAAGGTCGACCATCCTCCAAGAGAGCCTTCGATGATAGGTGCAAGGATGAGCAGCTTATGCGAGTGTACAGCCAGGGGGCTGTGAGGTGTTGATACAAGAATAAATGTGAGGTCCCTTTATGATTCGACTATCAGTAAGATGCCTCGGAAAGAAGCGAAATATGAAACGTACATAAGCAAGAGTCCGAAGGTGGAGATAGCGAGAATGGGTATGCGGCCGTGCCTTTCCCCAAACTGGCCCCACCAGCCGGTTGTAAGAGCCGAGAGTGCGCCCATCGTTGTGGTCATCATAGTCTGCAGGCGTGCAGCACCTGCTTGAACGGCGGGATCTGAAACACACTTTTTGCCTGGTAGCACACGGGGATCTTCATCTGAGTCATCGACATCGCGCTTTGCGTGGATTTTGCCTGAAGTGTGGATAGGTGATGATGCTAAATGCACGGAGATCGAATGGGGTTCTACGAGATGGACTACGTAATGGCTTGAGTTGAACGAAGAGTAGCTCGGTACCACGCGGGTGTGATTATAGTGCTCGTATACACTGTGGCATGATAGTTGTGTAAAGACTTCCACACGGGACGCCAGCGTCATGCCGCGCTACACAAGTGCACGATGATAGTCAGCATATTTCTCCGTGTGATGACAAGTCAGAACGTACAGTAAGAGATGCAATTAGTGCAAATGGTACCAGCCTGCCCGAGACTCCGTCAGCCGGATTACGGACACCGATAAGCTCAGCGAACACTTGCTCACCATAATGGGCGGGCACGATAGAATGGCTTCTTGACTTTCTGTGCAGTCCCTATCAATGGGTCGCGTTCCGTTGGGACTGCGGCGGGCTCCAGTACCGGCGTTAGGTAGTGGTCGACGGGCGGTGGTGAGCGCGACGGAGAGAACACAATGTTCTCCGTCGATATGATTGGATCCGTGGTTATTCTGTCGAGCGGCATGGTAAACGACAACTACGGAAAGTCGAGTGCGGGGCGGAATGGCATTGGGAGTGGATGAAAATGAAATAAGCGCTATTTATAATTAGTGGGAATGCGGCACGTTGCTAGCAGCACTGAGACTAGCACACGCATAGCACACGACCTGATGCTTACGGATGTGTGACATGTATAAAGGCCACATGCACAATCCGCAATCACTGACATCGAGGTGCTTAGATATCATACAGGCTAACAATATCGTAGTCCAGATTCCAGCGGGCCGGCTATGCACAAATCGTTATCACTTAGTAGGCTAGGGCCCTGCCGCGAACATAGATCTTTGAGCGCTTGAACCATGAGGCCAATAGAAAGTTGATGAAAAGCTTGTTAGGATTCGGGTCTGTACAGCCTGAGACTATCGCCGTATCCATGCCGGCCGCATGGGGTTTTCCTCGTGTCCTCCTCGTGGAACAACCGGCCGAGGTATTTCTCCATATGGAATCAAGTAATTGGTTGATTTCCAGAAACGTGAGTACTATTCGCCTCTGTACTTTGTCTCTACGCCCTGAAAAACGGGGTGGCTCAACTTGTTCATAACTTCGCCGTCGGCTCCAAGACGCTTGGAGGCAATGGCATATGTGCATCAGCCGTGGCATGAGGCCGTAGGCTGACCCATCAGAGAGCTCGTAAACGCTTCCTCGAGGCATGCCATCATTGAAAAGACAACTGTTTCACTGGCAGCGCCTCAAGCTGCATGGGAAATGAAAAATTGCAAGTTGCAGCCAACCGGTCCACCAGGTCTCGTCGAATCTCGTAGGCTATTAAACACGCATACATGACTCCAATTGATGGTTGTGGCAATGCGAACAGAACTGAAGTAGGCTGTCCGCGACTGACGACTTGGCATAGACGCCAAGTGATCCATCAAATTCGAGTCATCGAGGATATTGGTCGATCAATGGAAGATTCGCGTCAGCTAGGTATCTCCCTTCCTTCCAAAGCCTTATACCATAGATCTAACATATATAAGCAAGCATTTCCAGCAGTTCGTGTCCACCCCATCACACTCTGCAGCGTTGACGCACGATCTCACTAGAATTCTCATTCATCCTTGGCGTTCAGCAGTTCTATATGGCAACTAGCTGTACTTTTCATGGATTGGTTGAGGTTCGGAATGCATCTCGGCATCTAGGAGATTTCTGATAAGTGGCGGCTGTTATCAGTGGAGCAGGCGAAACAGTTACGCTAACAGCATCCGTGAAATCATTACCATTATCACACATCATGCACGTGCTTTCATTGCACACGCCCATTCGCACTGCCGGATGTTGAACGTTCATAGTTCACTGTTTCTCGATGAAATTAGCGAGGATAGGTGACAGAACCTGTCTCTTCTAAACAAAACGACCAAGATTGACAAAGTGCTTGCTTTTCATTTTATGTTCTGAATTTTCGCAGTCTTACTGATTGCCTCGATCGATGGCTAGTACTTAGGCGCTTGATAAGAGATGGTCTGCGTGTTCCCACTCTTACGGATCCTTATGACCCAACACAGATATTCCGTCACTTCCGATGATCAATCTGACTCCTCGTGCATGCCTCATGTGGCATACAGTTGCGTATACCCATTGCCCAGTGAATCTGGATCGTCTAGATACTGACTTCAATTCGGTTAGAATTCACCAAGTTCACACACTTCAAGGATTATAAGGCTACACCAACGCTTCCAAGTCTCCGTCACATTTACCTTCTCCCATGGATCCTTCAAAGATAAGAGAAAAAATCGGCCGTTTTCGAATCCTCGTCGTAGGAAGAGCGAACGCAGGAAAAACCACCATACTACAAAGAGTCTGTAACACACGAGAAAACCCAGTGATATATAATAGCGCTGGAGAAAAGGTACATCTCTTGATGCTGGTAAGAGGCTAGTAGTGATGACTAACCTATGGACGTCAGATAGATCCTGCAGTTTTAGAGGCATCCAGAGACGTAAGGCGTGCTCTTGGTTGATGACATGAACTGACGTGCTCTTAGCGCGGATTGCACGACATTGAGAACGAAATGACGTTTGAAAGCAACCCAGGTTTCATCTTTCATGATTCACGCGGGTTTGAAGCAGGCGGCGAATCTGAATTTGACAAGGTAAAGGCTTTTATCGCAAGCCGTTCCAAGGAACCCAGATTAAAAGATCAACTACACGTTATCTGGTAACTGTAACTGATCAATCGCAACACGCATTACCTCACGATTTCAACATAGGTACTGCATCCCGATGGATGAGGCATGCCGGTCATTCACCAAAGGCGAAACAAAGTTCTTCTCTCAGTGCGATACTGGAAACAGTAAGCTTTCACATCCAATCGTCGTTGATGTTCGACTGATGCGCAGAATCACGATCCTCAGTTCCAGTGATAGTATTGTTCACAAAATTCGATGCTCTCTACGACGAAGCATACGCCCGGCTGAAATCAGAGGGAGTATCCATGAAGGAGGCTGGACGACTGGCGCCGAAGCATGCCGAAGACTCATTTGCGACCGGGTCGCAATTGAAGTTTCTATACTCCAAGGACATTCGACACCCTCCAAAATGTCATATATGCCTTCCTAGTAAGTTTTTGATCGTCGACTTGTGAATCTGATATTTTTTTGACGCCGATCTATCAGACATGGACAGTGATGATGCAGATTGCGGGTTACTAATCGAACGCACAGCTGGAACTTTGGACAACGAAGTACTGAAACAATTATTTGTCTCGACCCAGCAGACCAACTTGGAGATCTGCATGAAATATGCGGTTGAGATGTAACTACCCATGGTCTCATTTACCTGCTGCGAGCATTAACGATTGATATTGTCCAGATCACTTCTGAATCTTATGGGCTCTGCTGAGACAACAACATCCGACGGTCATAAGAAGATGATAAGGGTATTGGGCGCATGGTTTCCACATATTTGGGTAAGATTATCAGAAAGTTCAAAGGTTGCTCTCATTTATATTGGCTGTTTACTTGCAGGCAGTACGTCTGTTAATCCTCCTTCGAGCTCGAGCCATGCTGATCGAAGTCGTTGCCCGCCGTTCGCAGTATGTGAGTGTGTCGATCCTCCTTCGAGCTCGAGCCATGCTGATCGAAGTCGTTGCCCACCGTTCGCAGCGTGTGAGTGTGTCGATCCTCCTTCGAGCTCGAGCCATGCTGATCGAAGTCGTTGCCCGCCGTTCGCAGGCTGTGAGTGTGTCGATCCTCCTTCGAGCTCGAGCCATGCTGATCGAAGTCGTTGCCCACCGTTCGCAGGATGTGAGTGTGTCGATCCTCCTTCGAGCTCGAGCCATGCTGATCGAAGTCGTTGCCCACCGTTCGCAGCGTGTGAGTGTGTCGATCCTCCTTCGAGCTCGAGCCATGCTGATCGAAGTCGTTGCCCACCGCTCGCAGAATGTGAGTGTGTCGATCCTCCTTCGAGCTCGAGCCATGCTGATCGAGGTCGTTGCCCACCGTTCGCAGTATGTGAGTGTGTCGATCCTCCTTCGAGCTCGAGCCATGCTGATCGAAGTCGTTGCCCGCCGTTCGTAGCGTGTGAGTGTGTCGATCCTCCTTCGAGCTCGAGCCATGCTGATCGAAGTCGTTGCCCGCCGTTCGCAGGCTGTGAGTGTGTCGATCCTCCTTCGAGCTCGAGCCATGCTGATCGAAGTCGTTGCCCACCGTTCGCAGGATGTGAGTGTGTCGATCCTCCTTCGAGCTCGAGCCATGCTGATCGAAGTCGTTGCCCACCGTTCGCAGTATGTGAGTGTGTCGATCCTCCTTCGAGCTCGAGCCATGCTGATCGAAGTCGTTGCCCGCCGTTCGCAGGCTGTGAGTGTGTCGATCCTCCTTCGAGCTCGAGCCATGCTGATCGAAGTCGTTGCCCACCGTTCGCAGGCTGTGAGTGTGTCGATCCTCCTTCGAGCTCGAGCCATGCTGATCGAAATCGTTGCCCGCCGTTCGTAGCGTGTGAGTGTGTTGATCCTCCTTCGAGCTCCAGCCATGCTCATTAAAGTCATTTCCCACTGTTTGTAGCGTGTAAGTGTTGATCTTCCTTCGAGCTTGAGCCTCCCTGAATTAGGCTATTGCCCATCTGTTGATAGGCCGTGAGCGCATTGGTCCTTTTTTTAGTTGAAAAATTCCTGACCAAAGCAATTGATGATCTTTCGGCAGGAGGTCAGTACTTTGATCTGCTACTAACATCGAGTCACTGATCGAACACATTGTCTATCCGTTGGCAGCTTGTGAGTATCATCCTCTGTCGACTTCCTGCCTTCCTCACTGATGCAATGCTGAACTTTGTTAGGCTGTGAGTGTCTTGATTCTCCGTCGCCCTCGCGCTGTACTGACCGAAAACATTGCTACTCCGTTAAAAGATTGTGAGTTGATGATCCACTATCGAACTCCAGCCATACTGACTGTAGACATCGCCTATCCATTTACAGGACGTAAGCGCATCGATCCGCGTTTGAATTTGAGCATCACTGACCAATTACATTGTCGATCCCCGTTGACAGGTCGTGAGTGTATCCATCTGCCATTGAGCTCGAGCGTTGCTACTGACGACATCCTTGATCCGTTGACAGTCGGCAAGTCTTTTCATCCCCAATCGAGCTCTAGCCTTGTTCACAAAAATGACATTGCTCATCCACCGACAGAAAGTCAGTATGCTGATCATCCGTCGAGCTTTGCTTACGACCGAAATCGCACATCCCTTAACAGACTGTGAGTGTTTATATCGGAGTCTTTCTCGTGAACGACATCGCTGATCCATCAATAGGACGTTAGTTTCTTCATCCTTCTTCGACTTCGGGCCATGCTGACCGAAGATGGCACACATTGGCAGGATGTGAGTGTATGGATCCTCAGCAGGAGTGGGCGATATTCAACTTTCCATCGTGGTTCGACCAGCTTGAAAACCATCACGCTGTAGAGATACAGTCTAGGTTACTCTCTGTGGTATGTCCAATTGGTCGCAGATTGTAACACATATCTCATGTTATGAATGTGCCAGATCTCTAGCTCATCACCCTTGGAGAACATTGTTCAACTGGGTTCTGGTGAATTTCAAGGCTACATCGCGATAAATCTACTTATTATCGATCATTTAGCCGCTGTCATTATCTTCGAAAACTCTTTCTACGTTTTCGACAAGCGACACCATCTTCAGGGCGAGGAAGAGTCTGTTCCCTCGTTTTATGTCGCTCTCGAGCAGTACATGGCATCTCCGCATGCAGCCGCTGTCAGGGAAGGTGTGAGCGCTGCTGTCCAGGCGTATGAAGAAGCCATGACTACTGCCGCCCACGCATATGAAGAAGCTGTAAAAACTTTTGTCTACCCATATCAAGGAAACTTGCCTGCTGGACAAGCCAGCGCTGCTCTGCCTACACCTGCCAAGGTGTCCCACTACACTGCTTGGATGGCCAAATTACCGTTTAAGCCCTTCAAGAGGAAGGCAAAAGAAGCTATTGAACATTCTCAGCAATCTATTGAACATTCTCGGCAATCTTTTGAACGTTCTCAGCAATCCTTTGCACGCTCCAAGGAGGAGGAGAAAGAATCTTCGTGCTCTCAGGCAAAGGCGGAGTTGATGAAGGCTGTTCTTGAAATCACTTTAAATCATCGCCTGCGTATGTCTCACCGGCCATCATGTTGTGGCAGCCATCCCGCTGATCTGCTTGTCTTCAGCGAGACCTTAATGTCGGGCGATGCAACACAACGTTCCAGTTCGGAGTGGAGCTGAGATACTGTGACTGTGACTGTGGGCTTCTTGAATGGTCTGTCGAGGTAGATTCAGGATGTGGGACTGTACGAAATGGTTACATGATCACGCAATATGGCACTTTGTCTGGTAGTGTTTGGAGAATGTCGGACACCGAGTTACTGATCAAGCTGCACGGGTTTATGACCATTCCTTTGATATTTTATTCATCCTTGGGATACAAGTAGCTACATTGGCCAATGATTGTTTTTCTGTTCTTCCCTCTCTGGACCTCACATCAACGTTTAATGGGTGCCAACTCTTCCGATCGAAGAGCCGGCAGCGGAACAACGGATAAATCCTTGTCAATTTGTCCTTCCCTTCCTCGTGGGAGGCATTCGAGAATAAACTGAGGAATTTTGGCGGCTTATCTTCGTTGTGGCACCGTTATCGGCTGCTAAGGGGGAAGATTCATCTTGCCAGCAGTCGGGAAAGCCTGATACAGCAATGACAAATACGCAGTCATATGGGCTCGGAGGGAAGGGGCACATTCCTCTGAGTGCCTTGAAGGCGTAAAAGTGGTGGAATGCAGAAATTCTGTGTGGATATGTCAATCACAAAAACAGTGTGCGTGAGGGAATCTTCAAGGTACGATCAGGAAGGCCAGAGCGGGTACGGTTATTTGCATGTTCAGTTGAAGTCGTTGTAGGCAAGGAATGAATTGAATTTGAATCATTCTATATATCACAGAATATTCTGGATAAATATTTTCTCACCCTTTTCAACCATGAACAAATGTCCCAACCAAATCACACCATCTGGTCGAACGACAAAGACCTCGGTTTAGTTGGCTTGGACGAGGTAAGCGGAATAAGCATTGTCCCACTGATCAAGGACGAAGAGATACAACGGGCGATGGTAGTGCTGATGAGGGTAAGATACTGCTGACCGTACAACACGTTCAACATATGGCTCTAGTGCAGCCAAGATCGAAGTAGCATCTGTGGGACTGCGTCACCGAAGTCAAAAAGCATCATTGAGTCGGATTCTCCGGATTGTATGTGGAGCAGCTTGAGCGCATCAAGACTCTGTCGCCAACCTTGAACTCCGTCTCGTCAAGTACTATCCTGTAGGTGCTGATGCGCTTCTCCTCCACTGATCTGATAAACTCGCCAAGGAAGCTGAGACGGCAATGTATGCATGCCAGGCATGTAAAGGGGAGTGATTCGCCAGGTGTGTGCATTCTGAGTGGCGCACAAATGCAGCATTCCAACAGCAGGCAGCGAGTGGACGGGGAGACATTCGCGGTGGTGATGAAGTTGAGCGATGTTTGAACTGCTTTGAACTCCGCCCGACTCCCACTCTGTAGACTGGACCGTCCCCTTGCTTTACGTTGCTGGAAACCATGTTATTGCCTTGCCTTGTGAGACATTCGCAGTGTCATAAGTTGACTCATGTGGTTGTCAATTTTTTATTCCTTCCTTTTTGCTCTTTACTTGCTTGCTGGACATTGCTGTTTCTTGCCTTCAGAGTTTCTGATTGATTGCTCGGTGAGTTCTCATTGCAGTCTAACGTTCGCTGACGCGTGCTCCTTTGCACCCAGACATCATAACCTCATCTCCTCTTTCTGTTTTATTCGGTCCATCTTGCTCTGTTCTCCACCTGCTCGCTGGACATTGCCTGGTACCTTTTTTGTCTTCCGAGTTTTCGGTTTCGTCCAGACGTTCGCTGATTCGCGCTCCTTCACAACCAGACGTCGATGCCTGTGTTCCTGACCATGAAACCGTGTGTGGTCATATGCGTTTTGGAATCCCGTGATTGTCCACCTCATAATGTTGTATGTTGTTTACGCTGTTGAGACCTACCAATTCTACTATGGGTGCATGTACTTTTCTGAACTGCACCTGTCTATCTATGTCTCTTTCACCACTTCTGTTCGCGGTTAGAGAATGTGCTAAGTCCTTGTCGTTTTCGTCGTCTGACATGTTGTATGTGTTGCTCAGATGTATCTGTTACGTTTGATGATCTCTTCGTTTGTGTTGATATCGAGGGCCAGCGCAGGCTGTTCAGCCGTGGACACTTTGAATCTGACAGTTACGCTCACTGTTCTATCTTTCCAGCATTTAGTCTACCTCCGCCGGTACCAGAAGGTCTTGGCGCTGCCTCATATGCAGCTTGCATTCGCATGATGAACCATCGTGGTTTCGTTACGCTATGAAGAAAATTTGCAGTTTGTCTGTTTCTGCTTTGACCCTTATCGTTGTTGGAGGAATTAAATACAATCGCGGTGTAGAGGACTGGGGCTCGGGTGCGTACGCATCGCCATGATAGAATATCCCAGAGTCGATGACTTTCACAGTCATGGCGGAGGCCACGGCGAGTTGGGCGGACCGCCTCGATAAACCTTATTTTTGACAATATTCATTCCAGCTTGCCAGAATGGTGCGTAGTGTTGCCGCAAGTCGACGCGGTGTGATGCGGTGCTAGCGAACTCGAACAAGTAAACGATTCGAGTTGTATCGAGTTACACACCAGTGCAACTAGCGAGTTCGCCGAGATGTTGTTCGGGAATTAAGTCCACCAATCAACGGGCTCAGATCTATCTCTTTCTGGTTTAGCAAGTCAAATTTATTGGCGCATAAATAGTTATATTTGGTAGAAACAGAATTATATATTTCTACAGTCATGACTCATCATGGCTACAATATCGTGAACGCTTGATGAGAAGGCTCGCTCGCACGGCACGGAGGAAGCCTGTATGGGTAAGATGTCGAGGGCGACTTTGTATGAGAGTGGATATACTCGTTCCGCATCCTAATCACGATTAGCGCCATGTGTGAAAACAATGAGTGCGAGACTTATGGGCATGTACATGGTAGTACAAAACTCATGTGTAAAAAAGTAGAAATTTTTTGATTTTTTATGGACCGACGAAGTAAGTAGGGCAGACATATTGACAAGGTATAACGGCGAGGTGTAAAGCACTGGAGAAGTGCTCAAGATTGCATGAAATACTCGAGCTACAGTCGGCAAGATTATAGAGACTTACAGTAACATTGATAAGATACCAGGGAAGCTTATGGGAAAGTCTTCTCGATATGTCAATCACCAACTCGCAGTGCAACTCGATGTTTACACCGCATGGGGCAGTTGCCACGAGTTGCGTAAATTTCCGAGTCGAGTCGATGTTAACTCGATTCCAACTCACACCGGCGGCAACACTAATGGTGCGGCGGTCTGTGGGCCGAAATCGCTTGAATTCATTGCTTTGGAAAGATTTGGAACACGGACAAGTTGTTCGTGGGGTGAAGAAGAACAAGGAACATGTCGTATATAGATGCTGCAGTAACGGAACTGAAAAGACTCAAGGCTGAACTTGTCTTGCTATAGAAGTCAGGGAACTCGGCTGCGCAGAGAAGAAGCTCTAATTGAAATTGTATCATTGTCCCTGTACTCATAATGTAAAGTGTACCAGTAGTTATCAGAAGTCATATGTAAAGATTGCGTCTACGAAGCACGCGTGCTAAAAACGATCTGCGCGGCTCTTATTTGCACTACCCCCTTGTCATTCAGAGGATGGTGATGGGATTGTCAACGCTTCCAACAACAGAATATGGAGAGCCATTCGTTCCATTCACCGGATAAGTAGTGTCCAGTACAATCACGTAAGAGGCATTGAAGTAGAGTGCAAAAGGAAGCTAGGGCCAAAAAAAATCAACTACCACACGTGGAAGACGTAACTGCCAAAACTAACCTGAGTTGTGAATGAATCGAGGAGAGGAGTTGCCGAGCTCGGATTGAGGGTACGACGAGCAAGTAGGATAGGAGGTTCGAAGCCGTTGTTACCCACAGGGACTTCGATGTAGTAGTCAGTGAATTCGGGATTCACGCCAAATTGAACAGCGCAGCTAAAATTTGCTGCCACAGTAAAGGTCTTGGATGATAAAAAAATGAGACTCGGCAGGAGCCAAGATAAATTACGAAGAGACTCACTTCACCGGGAGAGAGCGTGGTAGGACTGATTGTAACAACGCCAAACCTATCAGCCTCGGCACAAGCCTGGGCAGCTGCTGGAGTGGCTACAGCAAAGACAGCTGCAAGGGTAGCAATTACGGTTGGGAAGGAAAGCTGCATTCTTGCAAAAGTAGGGAATGATACTTGCTTCAGTAGCAGTTAGCCCTTTTATGCAAACTCAAGAAGGCAGTGATGGTGTCAATTACTATTAGTATCCCGACGGATGAGTCGTTAGAACATTGCGACCCGCATCACAAATTGAAGGGGCAAAATTGCCGTCCGAGAAAATGACGAAATAGACGTACAACATTTCAAGTATCTTGCGGGCGTACTAATGATCGAAGAACGACACCAGTTCGAGATAAAGCCTAAGGCCAAGGCCAGCTTCAAATAATTAATACTGCGGACATTTGTTTTCGATGTGTGTGGATGAGAGGCTCCTGCAAAACTGGACACTTCCAAATCTCCTGGGGTCACCTGCATTATAGTTGGGCGTCGGCTGTAACTTGTTTTGGAATGCTGCGCCACAGTACTGCTGCGATTGGAGCGGTATTTGCCGCGACGCGACCTACTACTGCAACTTGCTTGTTGCTGGCCACATACTCTGAACTCTGCATCAGTGCCTTGAGGGACTTTACTACATGATTAATATAAACTGACTCTGTTATTTTTGTCTTGCAAAGACTAAATTTCTAATGCGTCCCATTTCAGACTTCGGCTTTCTGGTTTCTCGGATGATGATCCGAAAATCCATCACTAGTGTTTATTACGATGCAAGTGATGCGCAAAATGACTGCTAGAAGACCAGGTATTATACAAGTTGAGTTTATTTCCAGCAAGTAAGTATAGCGTTGCAGTACCTTGTCGCGGTCATCGCGGGCACAGTAACATTGCAGCACCCCAAATATGGCAAGAGGTGACCGCGAGGACCATGATGACCGCGACTCATATACATACGTCGTCATCAATTTCCAGAAACCAAGGTACCTGTAACCTGCCGCCCCAAAGAACCCACTCACACAGAACAAGGCACCTATCACTACCCGCGCCAAGTTCAGGTGAAAGATGCCAATATTAATTTCTTCGAGATCTGGATGGTTGGCCTGATGGAAGTTATGCTCGCCTGTTTTCTTGGGAGAGTGCCCATCAGACAGATTTCTTAATGGAACGCTAGGCCAACGGGAACCAAGAGACGAAGCGACGTTGCTGAGCGCTGAGATTTGGCAAGATGGTTTCGAACATGACGCGTGACGTACGTGTCTTGGAATCATTGTTTGTAACGAGCCTTGCTAAATCATCACACGCCCTGCCACACGCAAAATTACCAGTCAACTGCACGCTTCCTGTGACTACGGAAAAGATCTTTTGAGTCTGTCGTAGCTGCCAATCCTCATGCCCGAGTTGCAGGCTGTACACGGGTGTTGTTGCTGGACTGATAGGACCTCAGCCATCAGTCCCCGAAATATCTTCTGTTCTTTACAATGTTGACGGCCTCTAGGCAGAGCTGTGATTATGATGCAATCATATTAAATTTGAGGTACTACGCTTTCTGACTTTCGAGACGATCCTATTAACAATCAGCTTAGCGCGGGCCAGGTCCAGTGACAGCAACAACAGGTGTCGAGCAACGGATGCCAGGACCTTGGAAGCGAAGAAAGGTGGCACTGACCGCGTCTTGAGATAATGCACGCAACTGCGCAGTCACTCGTTAAGAAGACATAAAAATAGCATTGTATGTGGAGGAATCAGACTACAATGCATTATGAAAGATTGTTTAGCAACGAGGAAGATGGTTGTTGAAACAGTATATGGAAGACCTGACTTGCAGACTGGCCAGGGTTACCTCTGTGAATCGATACCGCCTGACCGTAACTCTGGGAGCGCAGTGGATATACCATATAAGGAATCGAAGCACACTCGAATCCAGGCTCGTTTAGAGGGTTTCAAAGCACTGGGAGGTTCCAGTGAGTGTAATTGATGCGCACTCACCGACACCATTTGGGAGCACCGCAGTAGTCGCAATAGTGGTGCGGCATTTTCACGGCGCCCTTTGGAAACTTGTTGTGGAAAGTATAATACGCATTGTGGTTCCGTGGAAGAAATCGATGGTGGTGGCAGCCACAGGCTTTCTCTTTGTTTACCTCACCTACATAAACTACAGGTAGCAGCAGCTTGTCTGGCTTCAAACCCAACTTCAGAAGAACACCTGAGCAACTATCGTATGGCTTCTGATCAAATCATGGACACGAGCGTTCAATATGTTGTAAGCAAGACTTATTTTTGCGTTGCCGTTCACTGATATCTATCACATTCGAATCTCGAAAAAGATGACAAGGAAACGAAAGAGACCGGCTTACGACTCCCAAGGCGATGAGGCGCTCGATTTGCTTCATTCCGAAACTTCGATGGACATGCGCGAACCTTCCTTACCTCCTATTGTCACCCTTCCTCCAGCTAGGGACACTGCTGCGACAAAGGTACAGCTTTTACCATCAAAATTGAACACAGCTTGATCAATCCACATCAGAAGGCTGTGACGGTGGACAGCTTCATTCGTCAAGTCATGACGAAGGGGCCCGGGCCGCAGCGAAAACGGCAACTACGGACCGTAAAGTTGCAAGATGCATCCATTTCTACGGGCGATGCAAATATTCAGTCAGTCACTAAGAAGCCCGTCGGGGACGGGAAACCGACGACTCTGGCACAGAGGCTGGCGCGTGCTGCCATCCTCTCCCACGTGGAAACAAAGGAGTCTCCTGCCGACGGTATATCCTCCTCTCGTCGTCCTCTCAACTTTGTTTCATTCCCGAAATTCGCAACGCCTCCTTCGCCGAGGAAGAAACATACTGCACGGTCGGCTTTTCCTGGTTCTGAGTCTTCTGCGGTCATGCTGCGCAATAATCGACGCCAGAGGGCAAAAGTACAACCTACTTTAGAACATCCTGGTTGTCATCCTCTGAACTTGGTTCCCTCACATGAAGCGCAGGCCGCAGGTGCCTCTGGAGCGCGGTCTCATTCTGGGACTTCCGCAGACGTGCTTGACAGTAGTCGACACAAGAGGCCAAAACGACAACAAATTACCAACCGTCCTGGCTGTCCTCCTTTGAAGTTTGTTCCAGCTCATGAAGCAGAGGCCACAACTGCTGCAAAGTTGCCGTGAGTTATCTTCTTTCAGACCAGATAGGGACGTTCGAAACATGGCCCAACAGACGCCCTCCAAAACGACGGCCTACTTCCTACCGTCCTGGCTGTCCTCCTTTGAAATTTGTTCCCGCACACGAAGCAGAGGCCGCAAATGCAAAAGTTCCGTGAGTTATCTTCTTTCAGAACAGATAGGGACGTTCGATAGATGGCCCACCAGGCGCCCTCCAAAACGACGGCCCATTCCCGACCGTCATGGGAGGGTTCCTTTGAAGTTTGTTCCTGCACACGAAGCAGAGGCTGCATATGCTGCGATGTTTCCGTGAGTCATCTTCTTCCAGCACAGATAGGGACGTTCCGAAAATGGCACAGCAGACGCTCTCTACAACCACGGCCTACCTCCTACCGTCCTGGCTGTCCTCCTTTGAAGTTTGTTCCCGCACACGAAGCGAAAGCTGCACATACCGCTAAGAGTGAGTTGTCTTCTTCCAGGGCAGATAGGGATGCTCGATGGACAGGCCCGACAGATGCTCTTGACACCGTGACAGGGGCTTCTTGAACTTATAATCTCCCATGTCGGACCGAAACGAACCTTTGGCGATTTCCTTCCATGACGAACAATCTGCCCTCTACAATCACAACGGAACTAGTTGCACCTTCTCAGAACAACAAAAGGCATTTAGAACTCGCACGATGGACGAACTACTCTACTTTGTAATACTTACTTTTGGTCGCAACAGCAGGCGGCTAGCGGACGGGGAGACATTCGCGGTGGCGGGCAGTTGCTCAGGCTGAACTTGTCTTGCTAGAGAAGTCGGGGAACTAGAGAAGAAGCTTTAATTGAAGTTGTATCATTGTCCATGTACTCATGATGTGAAGTGTACCAGTAGTTATCAGAAGTCATATGTAAAGATTGCGGTCTACGAAGCACGCGTGCTAAAAACAATCTGGGCAGCTCTTATTTACACCACCCCCTTGTCATTTAGAGGATGGTGATGGGAATCTCAACGCCTCCAACGACAGAGTATGGAGTGCCATTTGTTCCGTTCACCGGATAAGTAGTGTCCAGGATCACCACGTAAGAGGAATTGAAGTAATTTGCATAAGGAAGCTAGGGCGAAAAAAATCAACTACCACACATGGAATGCATATGTAACGGCCAAAACTGACCTGAGTTGTGAATGAATCGAGGAGAGGAGTTGCCGAGCTCGCATCGAGAGTACGACGAGCAAGTAGGATAGGAGGTTCGAAGCCGTTGTTATTCACAGGGACTTCGATGTAGTAGTCAATGTATTCGGGATTCACACCAAGTTGGGCAGCGCAGCTAAAATTTGCTGTCACAGTAAAGGTCTTGAATGGTAAAAAAAAGATCAGACTCGGCAGGAGCCAAGATAAATTACGAAGACGACTCACTTCACCGGGAGAGAGCGTGGTAGGACTGACTGTAACAACGCCAAACCTCTCAGCCTCGGCACAAAACAGGGCAGCTGCTGGAGTGGCTACAGCAAATACAGCACCAAGGGTGGCGATTACGGTTGAGAAGGAAAGCTGCATTCTTGCAAATTAGGGAATGATACTTGCTTCAGTAGCAGTCAGCCCTTTTATGCAAACTCAAGGAGGCAGTGATGGTGTCAATTACTATTCAGTTAGTATGCCGACGGATGATCGATCTAATCAATGAGTCGTCAGAACATTGCGACCGCCATCACAAATCGAAGGGGCAAAATTTCCGTCCGAGAAAATCTGATAAATGACGAAATACACGTACGACGTTTCAAGTATCTTGCGGGCGTGCTACTGATCGAAGAACGACACCGGTTCGAAACAAAGCCTAAGGTCAAGGCCAGCTTCAAATAATTGATACTGGGGACTCATCTGTTTTCGATGTGTGGATGAGAGGCTCCTGCATAACTGGACACTCAAAGGGGTCGCCTACATTATAGTTGGGCACCGGTTGTAACTTGTTTTGGAACCAGGCACTATGTATGAAAATGCTGCGCCACAGTACTGCGTGCGGCGACGGCGTCGACCTGTTATATATGTTGCGCTTTCACTCATATGCACAATCATCCGATATCTGCTCATGACGCGTGTTTCAAGAATAGCTCAAATAAACGCGTGAAGGATATGCAATAGCAAGAAAAGTCAGGCCAATTTGAATTAGAGCTTCGATTTGTGTGCTGTTGTTTATGTACTCAGCTCACGTATTATCCGGTAGTGTTTGAATTTCTTCCATTCATTCAGAACACAGCCTATAGCTACCATGCAAGCATACCTCGCGGAAAAATACATGTCAGGGCCTAAAGCAGATGCTATCCTATCTCGAACAACCGAAAAGAAAAAGAAGAAACGCAAAGCCGACACCACAACCACAGCATCTTCAATGTTAGTAGACGACGACCCCGGGTGGGTAGGCGAAAGTTCCAAGCGCAACGATGAAGAAGAAGATTTTGCAGAGGCCGCTGTCGCAAAGGACCGTAGCTTCAAGAAGCGCCGTGTCGAAGAAGGTTCTGGCTGGGCAACCATTCGTGCTGGTGAGAAGGAGACAAGTCCGCCGATACCTGCGGATGAACAGCCTACCGTCTTCGTCGAGGAGGAGTCCGAACAACCGTTTACTGGTGGACTGTTGACCACAGCACAACTCCGGAAAGCTCTTCCCAATTCTCAGCAGAAACAAGAGGAATTGACTAAAGAAGAGGAGGAGGCTGCTCAAGAGACTGTTTATCGCGATGCGTCTGGCCGGAAGATTGATACAAAGGCCGCTCGTGCGGAAGCTGCTAGGAAGAAACGAGAAAGGGAGGAAAAGGAAGCAAAGAAAATGGAATGGGGCAAAGGCTTGGTCCAAAGACAAGAAAATGATGAGAGAAAACGTCAACTTGAGAAGAACAAATCACTTCCGTTCGCCAGGCATGCAGACGATAAGGATCTAAATGAAGAACTGAAGGCTAAAGACCGTTGGAATGATCCAGCCGCCGCTTTCCTCACAGTAAGTCCCTTTACGCCCATGACTTTTCGTTGCTGATAGCGTATGGTCCATCAGAAAAGTAGATCTAAGGGTCCCCGCAAACCCGAATATACCGGACCACCGCCTCCACCAAACCGTTTTGGCATAAAGCCAGGGTATAGATGGGATGGTGTAGGTACGTTGTCACAACCCTCTCCATTTTACTAGCAATTCCTCACATTGCTGACAGATCGCGGCAATGGCTTCGAGCAGAAGTATTTCCAGCGACATAATGAGAGAAAGCGGAACACAGCAGCAAGTTATGAATGGAGCGTGGATGACATGTAATGCCGTCCATTTTGGTGGCTGCAGCTATCCTTGTATGCTCGACTTCTAGTTCAAGGCGCTGTTTTTGACATTTGTGGCGTTTTAGATAAGGTTACCGATTATTCTCCTTGGTCGAGATACCACGAGACCTGCCCTTTGAAACCACGTGAACTGCCTGGTGGTAAGCTATTGGCAGATAATCCGTCAGCGTGGTCTGTGAGTCGGAGGGCACCTTGACGTGCTTGATAGCTGTTGGCTTGCCCCGTTGCCACGTGTTACTATCTCCAGTCGAGCAAGCAGGTCATTGATTCCATACAGAGAGTAGGGGTACAACGTGGCAAATGTGGATGCGGTATATATACAGTGTATCGACAACAAAGCACAAGGACCATAAACTAAAACTCCGTAGGCGTGAATGAATATGTGCGTCTAACTAATATTCATATACATCTGAAGCTTCGATCTCCGTGGGTTCTATGCGACGAGGCTCAACCTGCCGATGACCCATTTGTCGAGGCTCCACTCGTACTGACCGCATGTTTGGGTACGTCAGGATCAAATAACGATCGTCCATACGTGCGCCAACTTCTTCAAACTGCCGTTATAATATTAGCCGACCATAGCCTTCACCGATGAGGCTCATCGAGGAGCAACGGTATGCGAACGTTAGGGGCTCACCTTGGTTCCCTCTGGAAGAGGAATAGTTCTAGAAAACTCCTTTTTTTCTCGTTCCCTCACTAGCGTTCCTCCTTCATCGATCTCAGTGATCTTGACTGTTTCCCATGTTACAGTCAGATGACTGCCGCGATAGCTAACATGGGCATTGTGTTTTTTGATGCCCGGTAGGTTAAACGTGGCCGTGACCTGTGATCAGTGGAGGTAAGGCGTGCGCAACGTACAGTAATCACACGTACAGTACGACCATCACGGGACTCTCGAAACGAGACACTGAATAAGATGATCCGTGAGAAATCCAAGTGAATCGCCAAAAAAATAAATAAAAAAAGTAGCTCACTTTGACTTGCGCCTCTTGAGAGGTTGAGGCGACGTCACTTTTCTCACCCCCACAGGATCTGGCGTACGTGATGGGGGAGGGGAATGTACGCTAGGCGTCGGCGCCTTTAAGGAGCTGACTTTTGGAGGTTCCTTGGCCATTTGGCGCTGCTTCTGTTGCCTGAGGGTGTTCCACAGCTCGTTGATAGAATTGATGTCTTTGGTAGCCGCACCGCCCGAATCCTCGGATGAGCGTCTGGGGATGGGCGGAGCTTTTGCGGCAGCTGCGTGGCGATCAAGAATTGTCGAGGACGATGAGTGTCTAGCACGCATCGGATTCGGACGGGGCTGGTTCTGTAACTTCTGTTGATAGACCCAGTCGACGCCGTCATAGCTGCAGAATGAGTCCATCGCAGTGGACTGATCTCGGGCGTCAAACTTGGCCATGCTAGGTGGCAGACGACGTAAGAAAAAAACGATCTGGGGATGCTGTGTAGCGGCTAGAGAGTAAATATGTATTGGACCTGGGATTAATTGAAGTGAAGAGGGGGGGATGTGATTTGATGTGCGTTTCGAGGTTGGTTATTATCAGGAAGACGTGCGGATAGCTGGCTGATTGACACGAGGTTGCTAAAAGCAGCGGACCTTGACCTGATCGCGGCCGATAGAATTGGAGGAAACAAAACGGCTGGCAGGATCCATAACAATTATTTTCACCTCATGTTGGCAGGGTGAAACTTGGCAGATGCCAGATGCCAGTGTAGCTGAGCGGGGGCGTTCCAGGTAGTAGTAGTATTTTACAAGTACCTGGCTAATGCCGTGACAGCCCTGCTGTAATACAAGGGTCCATTTACAGCACTCATCTTGTTCGCTTGACGCTTCCATGCTGTAAACCCCGATTCATTTGTGGAGAAAATGAGGTTGCCTCATGCCACACGTTCGCAGGAACGGGGCAGGTGACATTTCTGACTGCCGCCAGTACTAGTAGTATCTACTAATCTGACTGGCAGTTCTCTGGCCACATCTGCCATAGCCGACTGCCAAGCTGGCTAAACCAAACCTTGACCATACGAAGCGAGTGAGCTGCACTAGTAGGTTCCAACTTCATCGATGGCACCTCCCCCTCACCGGCCACGCTTTTCGAGCGCTGTGCATGTGATGACTCAAAGTTGATACCAGTGAGTCTTCTTGAGAGAGATGAATCGGATGAACACGGAAAAATAGTGAAAATGCGGTGAATCGTCATAATGGGGCCCCAACGTTAACACTCGCGTTATCCGGATGGTCTTGAAGACTACATATACGATATTATCCAGATATATGCAGCAATCAGTTGTCTTCAAACAAGGCCCTCTCGTGACGTATACATTGAAACCTCAACGTTCAACACGCATGAGTCTCTTCCAAAGATGCTACGCGGATTTAATGTCTGCATGTCTGGCAGTGAATGTTCTGGTCTTGTATTAGTGTGATGACGCCACAGGAGCAAAGACTGATAATCGATCAGCGCTGCAAGTAAATAGACTATCACCCCGCGGATATCACGGTGGCGCAGGGACTTTGAATTTCTTATTAGAATACCCGGTCCCACCTCGACCCATTCCCAATCTTTTCCGCTTGATTCCAGTCACAATTGGTCCGGCATCCCTTGGTACTGGTGACTGCAGACAATCTGATTGAGAATGTACAGCCAGTTGGGCCGAAGATTCTACCTTGGCTGGGCGATGGGATGTAACGAATGAAACTGAGTGGTTGATAGAACCACGTGTCAGATCTACTGGCGTCAGTTTTGGTTTTAATTGCGGCCCGGTTGTAGCTCGATCCGATCGCTTGGTTTCAGCTATAGTGGCTTCAGTGGCTTCCGTTGCGCATAACCGTGGACGATCTGATCGAGGGTGTACAGCCAGTTGGGCCGAAGATTCCACTTCGGCTTGATGACAGAATCCAACTGACTGGAGACCCTTCGTCGGGTTTGCTGGTATTAACTTGAGTTGCTCCACAAAGGGCACTAGACGGGGAACCTTGACAGCAGTTGACGCTTCATCCCCGCCCAAGCCAGTTCGTACACCTACGGGATCATGACGTGAGCCCTAATCAAATAGCCATGCGGGGGACTGACTCTGAAACGCAGGCACGTAACCAGGAGGGATGTCTCTGGTAATAGGAAGCGGAGGAGCGAGTTGGTTCTCTGGATTCCCATCGACGTTCGTATGGCTCAGGTGAATCTGTCTTGCGGTCGAATTACTAAAGAAGGAATTAGTTGCAATCTTCAGACTTGTCAAACAAGTGATGACACACAACATTGACATTCGCCGCTTTACTTCCAGTTCATCAGGCATGCGTGACTTTCTGTCCAGAATTTTTGCTATAAGACGGAGGTCTTGAGTGGAGTGCGTGTGAGGTATGTCGGAGAACAACGGCTGCAGAGAAAAGAAACCAGTTCTAGGCAGTGTCGTTTACTTGTTTCAGACATATCTTACCGGAGAGTTGGAACAGATTTTAGAGATGAATTCAGACAAGTCTCTGGATTTGAAAACGCCAGCGACCTTGCGCTTTGAGGTGTGCGTTAGGTAAAGTGATGTCTGCGCTCGGGTACATGCAACATATAGAAGGCGTCTGATTGATCTGGTCAGAGCAGATGAATGTATAAAAGGATATGCTTGCCTTTCTTCGTGAATGTCGTCTGACCGGTAGAAAGGGAATGTTCCATGTTCCACTAATAATATGATTATATATATGTACAGGATGGAACAGCAGAAGGGATGGTACAAACCTGCTGGGACAAAGACAACTGGCCATTCAAGGCCCTTCGCAGCGTGACAAGTTGCAATAGACACCTTCTGTTGCAAATGATGAGTAATCGGAAATTTGACCTCGAAAGACAAACCTCGTCATCGTTTTCGTTCGACTGATCACCTGCAGACGACAGCATTGATGCTTGCAAGAACTGCCTTAGCGGGGTATCTCTGTGCAGCTGGTTAAAGTTATGTCCAAAAGGAAATGAATAAAGATAAATTACTGCAACGATGACTCATCTTCATCAACGACAGGAACGTTTAGAGCGTCAGCAGTGGCATCGCTCGCGAAATTGATCAGTTCTTGAATGTTCTCCCATCGTGTGTCCCAATCAGGTTGCGACTTCTTCAGATATTCTTGGTACCCGACGAGTTCGACCAACTTGCCAATCAACTGGGCTGGTTCCATTCCATCAGTGGCAGACGACCTCAGCGACCGTATAACATTCACGAAGGATTGGACCTTGCGCTTTACAGACGGTTTCAGATCCGGAATTATAGAGTCGTTGATGCGTTCGACAAGAGTCAGCGATGAGATTCCGAGTTTCTGTGCTCGTGAAAGAATTTCCCCAAGGGACTACCGAAAAGTGCAGTAGATAAGCCGAAGAGGCAGTAAATGATTATAATCGATCGCCACCTTGTCTCCAATTCCCCGTGGAGGAATGTTAATAGCGCGAGAAAACGCTGGCTCAAAGTGTGGATTGTCCGCGAGCTGGAGGTATGCCAAGGTATCTTTAATCTGAGCAAAAGGATATCGTGTCGTGATCTAAAAGAACGCGTAGCTGATCACTTACTTCTGCCCGTTCGAAGAACTGGTGTCCACCGAGCATTCGATTGGGGATACCTTCCATTCGAAGCGCGTTCTCAATTGTTCTGGATATGGCATTGAAACGTACTGCAAATTATTTGTAAATAGTTTGAACGTTATGAAGGAGAGACGTACGGAGCACCGCAAAGTCTCCAAAACCTAACATCCCTCCCGACTGCGCTATCATGCGGTTTATCTCCCATGCAATGAAAGCGGCTTCGTCATGTTCTGTAGGGAACGAACGGAGCATCGGAAGAGGCCCAAGTGGATGATCTGTATGTAGGGTCTTTGCAATCCGCGATGTATCTTTGCAAGTGTCGGTAAACATATTTGATACGTCTGTACAACTCACCTTGCGATATAATGGCGAGGCTCGTTGCAAGGATAGATCCGGCTGAACGGTAATTTTGCTCAAGCATGATTTGTGCTACGTTCGGAAAGTCTGGAAGTCCAGTCAAATTCATCCAATGCACGGCTATATGCGTTGCCTCTATCTTACCATTTTGCATCTTGCCAAGATTTGTAATATCTGCAGATCGCCAACCGTATACTATGTAGTTGTGAGTTAGATCAAGGTCAGGCAGTATTGATAACCAGAGCGTACTTGACTGATCTGGATCCCCAACAACCGTCGCACAACGACTAGCATCAGCGATACAACACATGAGCTTGTATTGAACTGCATTCGTGTCTTGGCTGGTGTAACTTCGGGTGAGTCTTGATCATCAATAAGAAACGAAGCTCACAATTCGTCGACAAGTATGTGCTGACACCATGCAGCATATCTCGGGTGTTGAGAGAAAAGCCTAACGCCAAAGAGAAGGAGGTCGTCAAAGTCTAAACTATTACTTTTGCGCAAAGTCTTCTCATAGTCACAGTATATCTCGGCAAAAACACGCTGAAATTCTTCGTTCGTTGAATTTGAGGAGAGAGCTTTGCTTAAAACATGTCGACTTCCTTTGCGTGGCACGACATCTTCTGGAGTTTCTCCTTTGGATTTGGCTCGAGAAATCAATGAACAGAGAGTAGCGGCATTCACTTGAATGTCTTTGGACGAGAGGAAATCGTCGTAGGGCTTCAACAATTTCGTCACAATTCGCTTGCTACAATAGAGTTCAGTACAATATGACTGCGTCATTTCCGCAACGTACCTCTCATCGGAATCGCATATAGTGAAGTTCCCGTCGAGACCCACTGATGTCCCATATTTCCGCAGAAAGAGGGCGCAGATCGCATGGAACGTTCCCAATTTCACTTTATTAACGCTATCTTTACCAATAAGCTTTACGAGACGCGCCCGCATTTCGTTGGCTGCCTTGTTGGTGAACGTAACAGCGCATATAGACGATGGGTCCATCCCATGGTGCAATATCATGTAGGCAATTCGTGATGTCAAAACTTTCGTCTTGCCACTTCCCGGACCTGCTAAAATCTGGAGCGGGAAGTCTGGACGATGAGTCACGCCTGTTCGATAAATTAATGCGCGAATAATGCTACAAGAAGCAACTTGAAACACACATCTAGTCTGAGCAGAGTTAAGATATTTCAAAAGGTCTTCTGCCATCTTTGGTTCTTTACTGAAGAATGTAGAAGGTTTCTTTAGCGTGTGAGCAGCTGAGCATGAGTGAGCATGTCCAATATAGGAGTGTATAACGCGTGCGGAGTGGACAAAGTCACTGAACATGAGACGCGTCTGTGATGGTCACGTGTTTAGATGAACCATAATGTTGGACTCGTAATCGACCTCTCGTCGACCTCTCCCACCATGCCATATTCACTTTATACGTGATACGTACAGTTAACATGACAGGACAGCAATACCAGGCCTTACCACGCTCAAATTATTAGAGTCGTCCGTAATTCGTCGTGGCTGATGCCCATATTTTCGGGATGTCCCATGAATTAGTCAGCGAGTATAGTTATTTCCAAAACGCGGGCTCTTCGCATACTTCCATTCAGTCTATAATATTATATTTGTTCGATCTCTGCCTTGGGGAATACTTTCCTACTACGTGATGAACCAACTACTTATTGCTTCGAAAACTTCACTACTTTCTGACACGCATCCTTCAAAGCATTGGCGAGAACTTCGAAATCCGAAATCTGATGTCATCGATAAGAACCAAGAAGATCACACTATCTTTATGAACAGGTTCTCACCTCGTTCCACACCTGCGCGCTACACCTTGTCCACCATTTCCCATTGTGGTAGTAATGAGCGGCGTACGTGTTCCACTCAAGCAACAATGTATTCAGTACCAGAGAATTGACTTCATCTGAATATTTAATGTCACCAGGAATGGGCAGTTCCACGTTGACCTGACTCGCAGGGAACATGAAACGCGGGAAAAAGAAGTAGAACAACGCATTTACGCACCATGTTCAAAGTGAGGTCACCCTCAGGGTCCATCACGCTGGTTCCCAGAAGACTTGCTAGGTGTTTTCCGCCGGCGATAGCAAGATTGTGAGTGTATTCGTTTATCTTGTGCTCGCCGCCAAGCCACTGTCTAAAATCCAAGGCTAATCGAGTCAGAACAATGATGCTAATGATGACTTCGCACCAACCTGCATTGATACTTAGGAATGGAATATAATCTATGGTTCCTGTCCCTAAAAATCAACGAGACATGAACGTTTGAAGCTATATAGTCGAGAGAACTGACATTGAAAAAGCTTCACAAAATCTTCTGGGCCATTGTAGTGTTCGTCTTCAGGTGAGTGATAAGTGTGTGGAGTGGGAAAAGGAGATTTGATAACATGATGATTCCTAGAACGTCTCATTAGACGTCGATAGTCGAGCAAGGTGGAAATATACCGTCTGGGAACATAAAGGACTGCACAACTTCTTTTCGCAAAGAGCCATTTGTGACAATTCTGTTTGGCTCAATTAGTCAGGAATGTATATCATGAGGGAGAGAAATGGACTGACTGATACCCAAAAGTCGGGCTTCGCCTCCGACAAGTTAATATCTACTTCTTGACCAATGGCATGCGCAGCATCGACTACCGACCAAACATCTGCATCCTTGCAAATGGCCACCATTTCTTTCCAAGGAAGACGTGCGCCAGGATTGGCTACGATGGCATCTATGACAGCAACAACCTTGCGAGTCTGTTTGAGATCGCCCCCTTCCGAGGTCACTTGGCGGAGATGTTCTCGCCAATTCTCCAGTATCTCCGCGTGTGAGATAGGGAAGCTAAGATCGAATGTGGACACTTGTGGGTGTGGTGGGGTATCTCCAATATACCTAATCGCTCGGGACACAGCACCATAAGTCGTGGTAGCTGTTTTTTTTAGGGAAAAGAGTAACATGAGTTGGAGAATTTCAATACAGTGATTCTTGACCTACTCCCAATGATGATATCCCCTTCATTCCAGTCAAAATTGCGGAGAACCGTATTTACGCCGTGTGACGTATTATTCACCAAGACACACTCATCGGTTTCTGCGCCTATCAACTTGGCCACTCGAGTCCGAGCTTCATTCCAATGGTGAATGCACTCTATGCGCAAGAATCTGTCTGGGTTGGCTTCGACGCGAGCGGAAAGTTTATCGCATGCAACTCTAACGGGTATGGGTAATGAACCATATGAACCTTCGATGCGTCAGCCACGAATCAAGGTACGGCATAAAGTTTGAAACATGATTGCGGTAGAACTCACCATGGTTGAGGTTGACATAAGATGGGTCAAACTCAAAGAGTTTGTGCATTGCGTGCCCAAATGAAGGCGGAGCCTGATTGGCTAGCTCTGCGGGATCAGTGCTAGGGGCTAACTCGGAGGACAACGTGTTAGTCATTGCGTCCGTAGACGCCAATGCTCAGCGCTTAGCAAGTAAGTAGGGAGCCTACGGTACCGTAGTCAAGCCTGGTGCTGAAGGTGACTTCAGGTGACTCAGCGTGAGAGCGCCAGACCTACATAGAAACGAGCGGATAAGGATCACCGCGAGCCAAATGTGAGTACTTGAGTCGCCGAAACCCCGAAGTTGCTGTGTCGGGGGATCGCGGCCGTGAGCTCATGCTAAGAACGTATGGAAAGCGGGAGTGATCAGCTTCGGCGAGAGTGATCAGCTGGACTAAAAAGGCATTTGTTTGGCTCTTCTCCTGCCAGACCCCCAATCACCCACTGAACGCGATGAAGGATTTACCGACTACACTCATAAATGTGGCTGTGCGTACAGAATGAGGTTAAGACATTGTATTGACGTGGTGCCTAAGATCTCTTGCCTTGCAAATTTGACATGAGAAATCATCACTCGCACATAGACTTGCATCAAATGGTGATATCAAAGGCCCTTGCTTGCTTCGACGAGCCTCTAGTAGCACTAATATTTGAATCTGACGGTTCAGAAATTTAAATCCAAACCCCCCAAAAATCCACCATCATCATGTATGCTGCAGAGTTCACCACAAATGCTGACCAGCACTATTGTGAGTATGCCAACTGTTTTAGCGGTCATCCTGGCACTGTACCTGCTATCACCTATATTGAGCACAAAGATCCAAGCAAGCCCGGTAAATGGCTTTGTGAAAAATGCAGCCGATACCAGCGCTCCAAGTTCACTACCAAGAAAATAAGTGATGCAGGTAAAATAATTGCTCGGTGTGCAGACTTTGTCACATTACAGTCTGACAATAATTTTCTTTAGTAATTCCAAATACCTCGAAGCATGGTTTCGGCCAGTCTGAATATGATGGTGCTGCAGTTCACAAGCAGACTGCAGAGGCGCAGCGTGGAAGTGAGTCGCCCAGTACAGTTGCATTTTATATTGAATACAAACCTTCATTTATTTTTGTAGAATCCCAACTTCCTGTTCGTGCAGTGGGGCTTAGTGTATCATGTGGGATGCCTCCACCTGCATTCATCCCAGGTCCTGTTCACCCGAGGCGCGCCTCAGCAAATCATCAATTTGTTCCTTTACCCAACTGGCCTGCAGCTCCTGGCCCCTCAGACATCCGCCGTGCAAATCCATTAGGGCCCAACATATCTATTTATGGTCGGGACCCTCAGTTTATTGTGTACTCAGACCTTCTTCGAACTCTGCCACTCAAGCCTGGTTATCAAGATGCGCATAAAATTTATGAAGAGATGCGAGACCGGCTTGCTCGACAGGCCTATGCTTCGAGTGTTCCCGAAGTGGTATGCGTCAAGGCATACCTTGCAGTGATGATTCCACGGGCTAAAAAACCAACTCTAATATCTGTAAGTGTTGCTCTCTACAATTCCAAATTCAACTTCACCGACTTCGCTGAATCTTCTATAGGATATAGTCGAGTCGATCAGCAACATCCCTTACCATATTGGTGCCAATGACCTTAAAACTTTGGTGTACCTCACCCTACTTCCCATGTTCATCAAGTGGTCCATGGGTCTTACTTTTACGTTTGAAGAGGCACGTTTGCGTCTTGTTAGTAGTTTCGAGGAGATTCTTCCCCGTCCATCTGGAGAAGACATCAATGCCATAGCATCCCACTTCCTCAAGACCAGGAACATGAAGCAGCAGTTCAACGCTGGCAAGGGGATTGAACTTCACCTCATTATTCCACATACAAAGTTCCTTGCCGCTGAGCAAAGGCGAAATGGTGAGGAAGTAGCTGAGTCCAAGTCTCGCGATGTTCGTTTTCGACATGGACTATTGGTACCTTACATGACTGACAGCATACATCAACCAGGATACACCTCATGCAACAGCGGCAAGTTCATCTGACATCCAACATCTTTCAAGTCCTGCATTAGTACTATCTGCGGTGTCCCCATCAAAAAATTTGCAAAATGGCGTCCAATGTTCGCCTCACCCTGTCAAGCGCAAATTATCATCGGTCAGTCATTCTTTCGAACTCTAGTACCAGCCTTATGCTCATTAGCATCACACACAGCCTCCTGTCCCATCCACGCCCCCTCAAAAGCCTCGGACTTTGGATGCTGCAGTATCTCCAGATGTTAGTGCACTTTGCCGTGCACTTCAAGCGCAAGCTATTCCCATATCCCAACCAAACTTACCCTTTCTCACTCTTCGCACGTTCAAGGCACTACTGCGGATAATCCCCCCCATATCACTATCTGCTCTGATTACTGATCCAACCACTTCTGACATAACAAATACTACTGCCCCCCCAATGCAGGCTACTCTTTTTTTCGATCCACGAAGCAAACCGAAATATGGAGCATTCAAAGCAGCACAATTCGGCTTTCTAGACAAAGCTATCCTTGGACCGTCTGGATCTGATTCAACTCGCATCTGCTTAAAGCAGTGCTACTACCAGACCGACAAATCCAAGCGGTTTCCTTATCCCGATTCTCGGCAACTACAGCTGCTGCAGCCAGAGATTAGATGCAGCATATGGGCAGGAGCACTCATGGACCGGGTTCAGCAATATATTGCCACGGAACTAGTGACTCGCAGCACACCTCCCTTCAAGATTCCAAATATCCGATGGGTGACGCGTGTGCTGAAATGGGTGCCGGAAGAGTTGGCATGGTGGCTGCAGTGAGTACTGCTGAGCGCGGAGGCGTTGACGGTGGTGCAAGTTCCTGTGCGAGTTTCGCAAAGGGTCACGCGAATGGTCCAATGAGTGAGAGCTTCGGCTGGGGTGAAGTGTCTGTTAGTGTGATGAATAAATAATGAAAAGGAGTGAACGAAGGAACAAGAGCGTGATGGACTTACCAATGATTCAACCGGGCCATCAAGCTTAGGGTTAGGGTTGGGAGTTTGCACCTGCACGAATTTTGGGGGGGGGCAAGTTGGAGAACTTGTACGTCTCACAGTACTAGTACAACTTGCTACTCCCGAACCATTGGCGTCCGTGCCAGCTTCCAAGCTGCACTGTATGTATCACCTCCAGTTCGGAGCTGAACAAGTTGTACATTCATACATGTACATAGATGGTACTAAGTCTTTTCGCCAGTCTAGGACACCACTCCCAGCGGAGTTTAAAGCTTCCGTGGGAGATTTAGCTCGAGTTGGACTCACCTCGACAGCGGCAGCACTACAGTGGAGAGATGCTGACAACCTTAATGTATTACCAAAAGTATATCTAGGCATTTCTGCTACAGTCCCTTCCACTGTCAGACTCGGACTCAGAATCCGTGAACTCTGCAAACTCTGGTTGATCTTCATCATCCTGATCCTCCCCTTGTGGTCCCCAGTCCTGAACACCATGAAGTGCTTGTGTTGGCGGGTTCACCATGCCTCCCATATACTGATAGCCAGCAGGTCCTACTAAGCCAGCATTTTGAGGGAGGTCCTGCAAGCTCGGAAGCAATAGAACATCATCATCTTCAGGTTCCATAACTCCCTGTGAAAGCAGGACTGTCAGGTCATCTTCACCTTCAATTGCAAGGAACTGCGCCAGTAACATCTGATACACATTCCAGAATGAATCCGACGATACTTGCGGTTTGCCGAGTGAGGTATAGAGGTATTGTGCGCGTTGCTCGAATGAAGGTGGGACAAGATCGAAGACAGGATGATCAGAGGGAGCATAAATTGCTTCAACCTCGTCAAAGAGTGCACTTGGCACTGGAACCTTGAGAAGAGTAAGTAGTGTTGAGCTGCAGTCATGGATGACATACTTTGAACGATCAGTCATAATGTTGGGAGCACAATCCTGCACTCGTCAACTTGAACGTTCGAGTTGTTTTGAATTCCGTCACAGATTGCGCTGTCATTGCATTAAGGTACGATCAGCACCTGATTTACTATCTGTAACCATTGAGTCTACCGTCCCCTGTTACTCGTCCGAAAATTTTCGGCTCCCTGGGATTGCGTCAGTTCAAGGTACGAGCAATTGCTCCTTCAAGCCTATGCAAGACCCCGAGGAGCCCATCTTCGTTACTAATGCCTGTTGACTTTACAATAGCGCTGACGTGGCTGTTCATTATTATCTTGCCTCCACGGCCAAACCTGCGCACGCTGCTCGATGCTCCAAATATCGATGTACGTCGTTGGTGTCCTCGTCAGTTAATGAGGCTGCCTTTAGCCTTTTGAAATGTACGTACTAACTAATCCAACTCTGAAGACTCTCACCAACTGACATATGTTTAACTACATCTTCCTAGACAGTTATGATCCTCCACCGGCTTTTCACTGCTCCCACTCGCTCGCTCGTTGTCCTCACTCTCTCACACCCACTGCACCATGTCCTCATTCATCGGCTGTCTTGCCGTCTCTGTCACGTTCGACCTGGAATTGCGGCCTTCTCTCATCTCATCTCTCTCGCTTGCTTGGCCGCTCAGTTCCAGGCTCGCGGTTCTCTGACATTCTCACCTCATCTTATGAAGGCCGCGACCGACGTCGAGTTTAAGGTCGCGCGCGCTCTTGATTCTGATTCCTGCCCCCCAAATACTTATCTCATCGCATCATACATGTAATCTTTGCACCATTAATAAAAATTGCACCGCCGGGCATTGTATAATCTACTCTACAGCACCTTGCAATGTACTGAAAGTGCTCAGTTGATCTCGAGTGGGATAGATATGGTGATGTACTGCGCATACAGTGGGAGGTGCAGCACTAAACGATGGGGAACGAGCTCGATGATCCATAACGTGTGCACCTGCAGTTAGTGCATAAGTGAGAGTGCTGAATGTCGATACTGGGATGGCGCCGCCGGTGGAACCGGTCATCAGAGACGAGTTGGGAATGAGTTCAGGTTGGGGCTCAACAGGTGGAGGAGTGAGATGAACACATGCGAAGCTTGTGTTGCCCTCCGAGGGCGAAGACCTTGTATATCTGACTGAAAACCATTTAAGTGTTCTAGATAATAACATGAATATACTAGTATTGCTTACCTTGTCGAGCAAGAGCATGTTTTGCACGGTAAGCATGGGTAGATAAACGGTCGCTGGAGTTGATGCCAAATGCATCGAAAAGGTCCAAACTAGCGCTGATGTTTGTGTCGTAGTGAAATCCTCGCATGATTCCTCCCAATAGCGTAAGACCCACACCATCACGATTGATATTCCTGTGTGCTTGCTCGTTTCCATTGGTAGTAGTTGGTGAGGCCTTCCAAATTTCGAGCAGGATGAGACTGTTTGGCTGATAGAGTGCTGGTAGCACAAACTTCGTGCCCTCAATTTTATCTTTAAGCCATGCTGCCGGTAGTAATCTTGCCTTAGAAATACTTCAAAACATGAATTAGAAAATATCACAAACCTGCAGCCTTTTTTCCACCTTTCTTTATCTTCTTCAATGTTCCCTGTAGATCAGGATGAGGCTCCGCTGATGCGATCGTCAACATGGCAATTTCCACATCTTTGGGAATTTGACCACGGAGACTACGGATATTCCGTTTATAGTGCGCAAGACATAGACGGTAGAAGCGGCGCAGATGGTCATATGGATCCAGGTCACGAAGTAGAGCAGTGGTGTCATAGCGGCAAGCCTGTATTGAGTCTTTACACAGGTATACGCAATACATACCTAGGCCTGTGGAATTATTGAATATATTCAAATTGCAATTCACGTTGACTCGGATTCCAAGAAAATATACTTACCAAGACCTTGACCTTTATGTCCATCAGCAATGATGGTTTGAATCCCTTCTCTATGCATGTATTGAAACTGAACAGCACAACCTGTGTCCGCACTGGCAATCTCGAATATTCGTTGGAAGAGGATGAAGTGTGCTTGTGCTGATTGAGATGTCGTGAATGCTCGAGCACCAATAACAGCTACAATACATGGTCATGGCCATCAGCTGAGTTGAGCAATTTGGTATTGAACTTACATTTCATGTGGGCAACGTCCCAAGACTCAAATTCAAATTCCTGCCAGCCATGTACACGTTTGAATGAAGTGTCGATCGAGAGCCGTTTTGCTTGCATCAGACGCCATGACATCCGCTTTGTCATACAAATGACCAGCCGCAGACTACTAATCGAAGTTGATGTGGTGGCCGCAGGTGGATTTGATGCTGATTTGGTGGATAGCTGATGTGACTCCGCACAACGAATATAGCGCTCGTCAATGGGCAAAAGATCGTGTTTTGTTGCCAAGTGAATAGCACCTGCGAATCCTGTTCCACTTGGAAATTCATTAAACCGCAAAGTGTTGATGAGGCGCCGAGCATGGTCAGAGTTCCCAAGAGACGGGTGAAGGTCTGACAGTGTGGGATTGCGGGTTTCCTTCCAACTGAGGTGAGCTTGTAAAGCTTGTATGAATGCAGAATCAAGTAAAATCCGACGTGGTGTTGCATCAGCAAGTTTCCAGCTGAGTGTGAGCAGCAACTCGTAGAAAATGGCTTTAATAGCTTCTGGAGTTTTGACAGGTGCAGGCGGAGGGTGGCTGTGATTGTTGGTGCAGATAACGAGGACTTGTGGGCAGGCAGTGAGATTGTATGGTGTATATATGTCGAACTTTGCCTTGCATGGAACTGGCCAGCTACGAAGTGTTCCACGAGCCAATTTTCCTTCATGATTTCGATGCCAATATGCTGCCCAACAGATTAGGATATATGCTACTTCAAATGACAGAAAGTAACTCACGACAACATTGCTTCTGCTCAGCAGGGGAGGCAACAAATGTGCACGGCATGAGAGGACCATATCCATCATTTTTTGCTCGTGTTTCATGAAAGGAAATTGCCTTCAGGTCGTTCTCTATAAGTGCCCGCAAGTAATCAGTATTGAATTCGTCCAAATTCCGGAGGACAAGATGGGTGCGAGCTCGAGAAACAGAAGCATTGAAATTTTTGCAGCTGCAATGGATCATTAGTCTATGTAGTACACACTCTAGCCGTTTAAGTTGAACTGACTGAATATATGGACGGCCAAGATTATTCACAGATAACATGAGGGGAGCCCCACACCCCCTGGACTCTGACTCGGAGTGAAGATCAAAGCTGTCTAGTACTATCTCAGGACTTAAATCCAAGTTTGCATCGAAGCCACATCCCCGTTCAGAGACAGCACAAAAAAATGCTAGAGTCTTGTTGAAAACCTCTGCCTCTGCAGAATCATCACTGTATCCAGCCTGAGACAGACTCCAAGTCGGAGATGCAGCATAATTACTGCTGAAACTGGCCTCATTGAATGTACATACCTTGAGGCCATTGCCTGTATGTTCTCGTTCTTATTAGTATGATAAAATCAATAGTCTCAGACATCATTAATGTACATACACGATGACTTAAGCTGGCGACAACGAACACCTTTGCCTGCATCATCTCGGAGAAGCAGGCACACTGCATTTTCACGCCCACCATGACCTCCACCAAGAGAATATTGGAATGCTGATTGAGGCTGCACGAAGGATATGGGATCAACAACAAAACGGTGTGCAATGCTGCCAGGTGCTGTTATGGGATACTCGAGGATAGCATGAACAGGGTGATCAACAATTGCGCTGACTTTGGTGGCTCGATTCACATAGTTGGCTCTCCGTGAAATTTCCTCGGTGGTAAAATAATATGGAGCGGGAGACTGATATCTTGGATATGGGGGAGTGGAGATGGTGTCGAGGGTTGAATCCACGTCTGGTGTATTTTGGTGTGATGACGGCGATGACACAACTGAGCTTGTGACTGAGATAGGGGACAATCCTGCACTGTCCAATATCTGTTGCACTTTTTCAAGTGCTTCAAGTTGTGAACAGGTAAGACTCATTGAGAATTAGACAGAAGGAAAAATGGGGGGCAGATACTAGCATTGAATTCAAATAATTGCCTGTATATGTGACAGTTGGACAGTTCATCAATGACTTGCAAATGGGCACCGATGCACCCGCACACTTAGGAACCCACTAATTTCGGGCTCTTGCAGTTCATTGAACGGACACTTGCATTCAAAATTTACCTCGCATAACATGGCCAAGGGATTCAGCAAGGCTCTCTGTATAAAGGTCAGCATCTCGCTCATGATATAGTACAGTAGGCCAGGCTAGCCATCATGGATTCAATTTTTCGCCCGTGTATCGAGTACCAGCGTGGAAGCACAGAACTCGTCATCTTTTCACGTGAGGTGAAGCAACTTGTCACTGTTGCATAGTGTGTAGCTCACTTTGACTTACTGCCAACCACTGACTTAAAGTTATGTTTGCAGCCCAAAGTCGGGTCGTTTCCGCATTCGTCCTTATGGCTTGGCAGATTACTTGCAGCGTCGAGGGCTTTTCATAGAATGTTTCTGCGGCATGCTCTCAGACACACCTTGTTCCACCAGGATTGTGGACTCTGCCGTGAATGGGCATGTCTTGATGCAGTGTGCTAATGAGCAGTGCGGATTTAGAGGTTAGCATGTTGCACTGGTGATCACGTCCTTTGTACTGACACGATTTTCACGATTTCACGACAGCCAACATCACAGATATTTATCACACATCTTTTTTTACCTCTAGTTACGAAGAACTGCCAACACTCGGTATGTATTTACTGTTACCTAGATGCAGGTGTCAGTATTAATGGTCTGCTCATAGTTGCAAACCCCCAACCTAACATGAATCCAGTTCATGATGCCTTCCACCAGCTTGCTCCTAATGAGCATGACATTGCGCCCTACTTCCATGGCTATCTCGGATCCCATGTCTCAGTTTGGCCCGACTTTCGACAACTCCGTGGTTTAGTTGGTGCACCCTCAGCAAATCCACGTCCATTTATCCGACTAGTTCATCGTCGTGCTGGTGAGTTGTAGCACAATTTATAGAGTATCATTCAAAAACTAATTAATACAAAGGATCTATTCAAGGTGCTGCTGCTAGTCAGTTGTCAATGGCGGCTCGTCGTGGACAACGTGTATCCACACGTCTCCCGCTCGGACAAGACAGTGGCATGGTTGTGATGAACAGGCTCTCAGGCCTATGAAACAGGTCTTCTTGCTGACCTCTCCGGTGAGACAGGTGTAAGTGTCTGGGACTGGGACGGGCTTTTCGAAAGATGTGACCACTGTGGAAGGTATTTTGTTGCGACGGTACTTCGAATGCATATCCCGCACTGTAGAGCGTGAATAGCGGCCATGATATATATCCTATGTGTCAATAAAATTTTGATGCATCATTCGAGGTGACGGGGGTCATTGAATGGCTGTACACGCAGTTTGAACGGTGATTGCTCGTACCTTGAAGTGACGCGGCTTCTGAGAGCCGAAATTTTTCGGACGAGTAACAGGGGACTGGTCACTCGTAACCATTGGAGGACTCATAATTTGACAAGCAATACATCTTGAATATATCACTAGAAACATTAATATTAAGTCTCTCTCAAGCAGTGGTTGGGGGTCTGACAGGTAAAAGCCAAACAAACACGCTTAGCGAAGCTGTTACGAAGCTGATCACTCCCGCTTTCCATAAGAACGTGATTAAATTGCATAGCATACAGTGCGGCACTAATAAAAAAAATCGAATGGGAACTTAATGCAGGAGCTTGCACAAATTAGCGTACAACATACAACCGAGTAACAAGCAGGACAGTATGGAAAACAACGTGTCACGATAACTAAGCAGTTGAGACCAAGTTGGAACGATAAAACGAAAGCAACGATAAACATGCGAGAAGAGACGGGCAAGTAGCAGTGAAGCGAGTTGACGCAGGTGAGTCATGCGCTGAGGCCTTCCAAGTTGGCTATGAACTCAAGCACGTTTGCCTTGGCCTGCACAATTGAGATAAGCACGATGCTCAACACGACGGCAAACAACTTGCAGCATCGACAAGCTTAGAGCGGGAGGCATAAGACTCCTTCTGTTTCGCTGTAAGGCTGTTCCAGTGCGCGGCGAACTCGGCAATAGTACCTGTCTTGTGCTCGGCTTGCCATTCAATACCACAGAGATTACGAGCCGTCGTCGAGTCCGAACTGGGCTTGAAGATGTTGTTGGGATTCGTCGGCGTTCTTTTCTTCTTGCCAGGCTGGACGATAACTCCCGTAGATAAAGGTGCTGATGTTTCCATGCTCGATGATGGGTCACTGGTAGCGGCGTTGGTGTTGTTAGCGGTGGAATCTCCACGAGCGAGCCTGCAATTGGTTCAGACTTCTAGTGTCAGAATTAGAATCAAACAAACTGGTCCTGCGGGTAGACAGTAGGCTCGAGACCAGCCTGGCTTGTAGCATAGACGAGACGTTAACCTCTCCCAAGGACGTAGATTTGAAGTCAGACTAAGAAGTTGCATAACCAATATTGCCAAATATCAACAAATTCTCATCCGATATGGGGCAGATCTAATCAAATTACCTGCAATCAGAACTATCACCTGGCACCAACCTGGCATGTTTGACAATTTATCGCACCGAGCAAGGTTAACCTTGACTTGTTGACTGGTTTCACTCAACTCGCTTGCCTTACTGACGACGAGAAAGTGTCCTCATAGTCAGACGAGCGACGACATAGCCCATGGGTCATGGCTTCTACCTATCAAGTATATTTTAAGTATATCTTATCAGCAGCTCTAGCCACATGACAACCCTAACGCTTCTAACTTATCAGTTGAATCGTGCAGGCGGTCGGCCCATTCATCGATCCAGTCCTTATTGACTGATCTCTTCCTAACGTGAAGATCGACCTCTGTCTTGACCTTTATTCCTCTGAGAATGGTATCCGCATTTTTCTATGGCACGTTGATGCATCCAGAAATATTGAAACGAGTCATTGGAAACGACGGCAGCCAACTTCAAATGTGTCCTGCTCTCTTGCCGGTTAGTCTGCCAGGAAATCTTACCGATCCTCACCCTGACACATCCCCGTTCCAGGACTACACTAGACACCAGCTCAAGGTGAATGATGATGTTTCCTCCCGCTAGCACCTTGATCTAACACACCGAAAGAATGAGGATTATCCCGGTATCCTGCCGTACTCGCAAAGTCGAGCGATGTTTGATCACGACCTCAATTCGGAAGAGAAATCGGTGCGAGGTTCTCTGGTAACCGGTCTATCGGACGCAGATGTCCAACTCCTTGATATCTTTGAAGGCGACGTGAGTCCTGCAAGTCACTTCGATAACCGTTGACACAAATCAATCACTCCTCGCAGCAATATACAAGAGAGTTAGTGTCTGTATACCCACTAGGACCGCTGGCCAACATACGGGACATACCACCGATCGAGGTGAAGTCTCTGTTGCCCACGACGCCTCACCCGATCCCTGTGCCATCTGAATTGGCGAACCCTGTAGAGGTAAATACCTACGTATGGTGCTTTCCCTCTTCAGACCTCCGGGCACAACTGTGGACGTTTGAAGAATTTGTGAATTTTAACGCGTGGAAGTGGATCGGGTCAACTGACAACAAGTACTATGATGAAGTGGATAGAAGAAACGCTATGGAGGGTATATATATTGATGCGAGAGGTTAAGCTTTCCCGCACAAGCAGTCAGATATATGTAGTCGGTCAAACCCGCAATTATGATACATTGAAAACTCTCACGGTTGCTAGACAAACTAACGTTCATGATTTGAATTTGACAGTGGACAAGATGTCCATATGGTCAGGGGACAGTCTCAGGACTTGTTTTTCATTCGTAGTTCTCACCTTCTTTCTGGCTTTTGTGTTGATTACCGGAGTCCTCCAAGAGGTCAAAAAAAATCGTGCTTTCGATCAAAAGATTGGTAGGTCCTTGGTCTGAGTCAACCACTACTGTCCACGTAGACTCACTTCGATCAAAGACTTCCCGGATTTTGGCCACTATAATGGAAATTTTATGAAGAACATTCCCCATAGTGTGCTTCCAATAGGTCTTTCATTGCTTCATGTCATCAAGTACAAGAGACTTACAATTGTAGCCAGGCGACCAGAGGAAACGCATAATCGCAATCGGAGACATACATGGCATGAATAGCTCGTTGACGTGAGTACTTGCTGTCTAATGATCAAACAACTCATCAACATCGTTTCATTGTGACAGGGATTTACTTGACGAGATGCACTACGACCCGAAAAGAGATTCGCTCATTCACGTCGGGGACCTGGAGACAAGGGCGACTATACACGACTCCATTGACGTATTGTCGTTCATGTCATCCAACAACATCTTGGGCGTCAGAGGAAACAATGACCAAAAAGTGATCGAATGGCGCGCTTGGATGAACTGGATACTATCTCATCCGGGAGGTCGGGAGTGGCTTTCTGTCATGGACAAGCGATGGCCTAACCTCGACGGAGACAAGCGACTCCAGAGAACAGAGCTTGAAAACTGGGTCGAGACGAGCAAGTACGCAAGTTGGAAGAAGATGGTGCCTACTGGCTGGCATCCATTGGGCAAACATTACAGGGTCGCTCGCGCCATGTCTCCTGGACACTTCGAATATCTAAGTTCGCTTCCCCTTGTGCTTCATTCTCCCACTGCCCATGTGGTTTTCGTCCACGCCGGTTTGTTATCTTCCCACCCGAAGCTCCAGGCTTCCGACCCTAAACAACCTCTTTCCCATTGGCCTACCATACATGACCAACATGATATTGCAAAACTGCGTAAACAGCAGGAGCTTGCAGTCCTCACAGAGATTCCCGAAAACAAAGATCCATGGACCGTGACGAACATCAAAAGTGTTATGGATACAGGAATTGTGTCTACCAGTCCCAAGAAGGGAACTCCCTGGTCCCAATTGTGGGATGATACAATGTCAAAATGTTCGGGAAATTCGGGTACCAATGCGGGCAAATCATACCAGCCAACCTCGCTTCCATGTTATCCGTTTACTGTTATCTACGGACATGCTGCAGGCCGTGGGTTAGATATCAAGCGATGGTCGATTGGTCTGGACACTGGTTGTGTGAGCGAAATAAAAATTCTACACACATAATTCGACTAATATCATGTGCAGTCGTACGGCCGTCAGTTATCAGCTGTAGTCCTCGATGGAAGCTCTTTCTCTTCTGCTACACACCAGTTCGGAGACAATATACATGCACAATTCCCCCAATCACAAGAGATCATTTTCGGAGACAATGGACAAGCGCGCATTGTTAGTGTATCATGTGCATAATTATCGTACCAATCCTTCATCCAGCTTTCTTCCTTGACGAAGGTAAGTCATTCGAATCTCGAAACATTGGGATTGTATTTATAATGCAGAATAGATTTATAATTTCACACTTTATGATTCCACCGCAAGACAATGATAATTTAATAATCATGTGCGTGTCTTCACGAAGCATGCAATAGCTTGTTGAGGACGGAGTCAGGTTTCCATACACATACCTCGGCTTGTTCTGTGACAGATCAAGAGATCATGTCTTCCATATGATCTGCAGAGTTAGCAGATACGGTTCTTGCATCGCACTCTGTGCCATTGTACCATGATCCGAATCAGCACTGTCGAGCTTCGAAACTTGAAGCGTAGCCGATGTGGTAAACATAGTCTTTGCATAACTCATCAACGTTTTATCGCAGGAAAGGGATATAGAGTACGTATGAGCGTTTACATAATTGGTCGCTTGACTTTAACCTGTGAACCAAATGACGGATATATTAATGTTACGTAAGATGACGAGAAAATGCGGTCAACTTTCATTAATATTAACACCGTCTCCTCCACTCAGGCCATGGCCAGGCACAAAGGCAACTTATATGCTTACTTATTGGGCATAGTTCTCGTTATCTCCATCTTTTGGAGTGTTGCAGGCGATCTACGAAACAGGGTTAGTTTCTGGCCGAACCCCAACTCCAGTGAGTCCAGCCTGAGAGCCTTGGTTCTATAGATAAGCTCACCTAGACCTACAGAATTCCCTGATTTCAGCCATTACGACAATTTCACACATACCCTATCTGATGAACAATTCCCTACTAGTGAGTTGTCGACTTTTCTTTATCGATCGAAGACGATCTCCAATGTATGGCAGATGACAAAGACAGGAGGATAATCGTGATAGGCGACGTGCATGGCATGAATGAATCTTTAACGTATGCGCTCTAAAAAAATTCACATCATGTTCGACGCTCACGCTTTTTCAGCGCTTTGTTAAATCGAATATCCTATGATACGCAGAAGGATATTTTAATACACCTCGGCGACCTTACGACAAAGGGACCTGTGGAAGACTCGTTGGCAGTTTTATCGTTTATGGAGAGCAACAACATTCTGGGCGTTCGTGGAAACAACGACCAACAAGTTCTTGAATGGCGTGCTTGGATGGATTGGATTCTTTCTCAGCCGGGGGGCAGAGACTGGCTGGTAGAAGTCGATGATCGTTGGCCTGATTATGAACTCCCGTTCGGGAAAGGAAACATGTTTGCATTCGACTCACAGCCTCCGTTGATGGAGAAACATAATTGGGGAAAGAAGGTCCCCGAGGGTTGGAAGCCTTTGGGGGACCACTACCAGGTTGCGCGAGCGATGTCCCCCTCACAATACAGTTACTTGCGATCTCTCCCTCTTGTCCTTTACGCACCAGCAGGACATGTCTTCTTCGTTCATGCTGGTTTACTCGCAGCGGATCCTAGCCGGAAACTCACGCATTATAAACAACCACTGTCGCACTGGCCATACATAGAGCAACGCGAGCATAACATTCCTGCTATACGCAAAGCACAGGAGCTCGCGTTACTCTCAGATATTCCACAGAATCAAGATCCATGGGTCGTCCAAAACATAAGGAGCGTGCGCAAAAAGGGTAAACCCACGCGCAGCAGCAGCAAAGGGACCCCGTTCTCTGACCTTTGGAATGACGTTATGAACAAATGCTCTGGTTTTCGTACTTCCAAGACTCAGTTTGGTTCCAATACACGACTCATAGGCTACCAGGAGAGTCAACTCGCTGATCTCCCTTGTTATCCGTCGACTGTCGTGTATGGCCATGCGGCAGGTCGTGGTCTAGATGTCAAGAGGTGGTCCGTCGGCTTAGATTCCGGCTGCGTATGTTGACTTCCTCGAAAATAGGACATGCACTGATCGTCTTTGCACAGTTTTACGGCCGAAAGCTTTCAGCACTAGTACTTGATGGAAGGTCATTCTCTTCAGGGGCTTCAGGGGATCACGCATTTGATTTCCCGTCCGAGGCAACAACCGATCAGTTGCATGCAGAGCCTTCATTACCAGGGGCTGTAACAAACCATACGTTCGACTCCCCGTCCAGTGCAACTGATCTTCGAATCAAGTTTGACCACGCAGGGGAAGCCCGCATAATCAGCGTCAAATGTCATTAATCATTCGCCATATTCGTCGCATATTGCGGCATATTCGTAATCTCGGTATCAGATCCTAACGTAAATTGACATTTTGCCGATGCTCGTGGCCGGGAACGAGATTATCGACGTTCCTCGGCCCTTTAGACGTTGCTTTCTTGTTATCTTTGCATTCCAGGTCCATCACGAAACCCGCGCTAGTATTACTGTTATGTAACACCAGTATCTTGATCTTTCCTTCGCGCGCAATATGCAAACTTAGGACAAGATAATCTTGTATTTCCACGTAATCTTGGATACCACACTCAGTCAACATACATGATATAATATACATGGTACAGATATGATTCAGGCTATGAAAAGTATGTTTGTGTCCTGTATGGTAGGTGGTAAGAGACTGAGGAGCTCGTAGAAAAAGATACTGACCATCGGGTGAGAACTAGATAGCTATTTCAAAATAGTCAGAAAAGCGCAGCATCATGCACAGCTACAGACAAACCTGTGGTTTCTGACTGTACTTTGCCCTTAAAATATCACTGCCGACAAGTTCATCAGAAGCCGGATAATCGATCCCGAAAGATGAGGCACTCACCGGATGGAATTCAGCAGCTGCTGATAACTTTGTTGCGGGTTGTCCCCTGCGGAAAACGTGTCCAATTAGGAGCTGATTATGACGCTCCAAGATTACTTACTGAGTGCCTTGATGAAAGCCTACATTTGAAAGATGCGTGAGAGGCTGAAGTGAGAAGCGCGGATGAAGGAATTTACATAGCTCATAGCGCCTGTGGCTCTTCCCGCTTCTTCTGTGTCCGAGCTGGTCTGTGAATCCTTGCAGCCACTCCATGAAATCTACATTCAAGGTGAGCGTGATGCAAAGCAACTAAAAATTCACGCACGCAGTCGGCAGGACTCGTCTTTGTAGTCATACAGATCGTCTCGGCTTTGTGTTTATCTACTCTGGCAGTTTTGATCAATCCTGTAACGGAGCTGTACACGCCGCTCATGTCGCCGCGAGCGTATGAAGTCACAGCGGACATTAGACTTTGGCCGGCCTCTGCAGCGAGATTTGGTTCTTTGATCTTGCCTTCCGTGGAATACTAATGCACAAAAGTAAGATTACGATGAGGGTGGAGAGTAAGGGTGACGCACGACGAATGGGAGATCTAGATATCAATTAGATTGGAATTAACATGAGCACTGGAAGGAAATAAGAGATCCATTCATACCCAGAGCTGACCCAGAGTGGCAGGACTGCGAGAATATTAGTACATGGCTATCATTTCAGGTTCCTAGCGAGAAGAACTTACATCGAAGATAGCGGTGAGACGACAACCCGGAGGAAGCCGCTTCACCATGATGTCGTGCATCAACTGAAAGGTGGTCATTAGTGGAAAGTGGAGAGGGAGGACTACAACGTGGACACACATCATCAACAATATGACCATTCTCTTTGAAATCAACTGGGTAAATGACTATCCCACAAACGATTAGCATATGCTGCCTGTAAGATGAGTGTCATGTAATCGTTACCTTCATCATATCCATCTTCTTCATCGCCATCGAGGTCCTCCGTCTGTCCTCCGTGCCCGGAATCTATGTGGTGTGAGTGACAATCAGGTAGTTGACAGTGAAACGTGCACGTACAATGGAAGAAGAGCGAGTCATGAGGGCGGGCATCGCGAACGAGCCATTCCATTGCGCGTAACTATCGGCCCACATTAGTTAGCACTAGTACAGCTCTGTAAGCAGCTTACTCACTATGTTTTGCTGAGTAGGAAGTTGGCGTTGGTCTCTCGCATCGTCAGTGAGTATGACCATATCCTCCTCCTTATACCCAAACTGAGCTGGAAATAATTCATGACATACTACGTGCATTCCGTAGCGAATAGACTTACTAGCCAAGAAACGCTTGATATTATTTGCATCATTAATGCAGCCATGTAATTCTTCTGACTGGCCGAGGTAATTGATTCCAATCTATTTTGAAGATAGCCATCAGATGTGAATGAGTGTCAGTCCATGCGCACAACATACACATAAGGCTTTCTTCTTGCCGTTACACTGAGAATATTGGAAAGAGGATTGCTGCATCTGATTGGGTCCTTGCATTTGAGGGCCATAAAACTGCTGATCATAGGGTGGCCGCTGTGGAGGTCCGCCTGTTTAAAAGATCATGATGTGAAGCGACTTTGTATGTTTCATCGATCAACCCACTTGGAGGAGCATATGCGTAGCCACCGCTCACTCTGATGGATGTTAAGGTATCTATCAATATAAAGATCTTGGGAACAACGCACTGGGGAGGAGGTGGACCGTAACCACGAGGGGGTCCAGGCGGCGGTGGATAATTACCAGGAGGACCTGGGGGTGGCAGGTGTTGTGGAGGGCCTTGCCTACCCGGAGGAGGCGCGAGGGGTGCACCATATGATGAGGGTGGAAGGCCAGGCGGCAGTGCGTAATGGGTGGGAGGACCTTGAGGGGGCGGATAGTTGCCAGTAAAGTGACCTGGATGACCACTATTATGGTGGTGTCCAGGATAGTTATCTCTTGATACTGGTGGTGGTGGTCCAAAGCTGTGGATCGATGATGTCAATATTAGGTGAGACACACAAAGCATGTTTTACCGGTTACCTACCCTCTGGGTGCCAGCTGGGAACCGTGCGAAGGAAACGGCGGTGGGACAGCATACGTAGGGTTGTGTACAGGTGGATTGGGAGGATGAACACGATGATTACTGTAACAATCAGCGTATCAACTCAGCTCAGCTAACTATTCACTACAATTGACATACGGGTTTGGGAAGCTGACGAGGAAAGATGCGATCGTAAATTGGATTCAGCGGCTCTCTAGAAGGCGTTATCGACGTGCTTACTGAAGTGGGGCGCCGTTAGTACCACTCTGATTGTTACTGGTCGGATAACCGGAATGCCCTGACCACATGCTGGATGACGATTTATGAGTGACTCGACAAGTGAATTGTGAGAGATCAGAGAAACTTGGATTCAAGACGGCGGCAACAAACCTGACTCACACTCAGGCTGCGCCCATAGCATTCTTGTGCACTGCCACTGCGCGCTTGTCCATGTTTAGCTTCTACGTCGAACTCGTTCCGATTATTGGCACATGAATCATCACAAGTGTTTGATATCCTGGGCTGTTAACGTTGTTAACTCTTGCTGGAGGCTCAGTAAATCCACTTGGAGTATAATGACCGCCGTGAGGAGTAAGATGAAAGTTCAGAGGATCATCGATAACTTGGTTCCTCTATCAAGACAAGACTCAATCTTTCTCACCGAGCGTGCTTTATCGAGGTATGTCCGATCAGACCGAGTTTTTCCTTTTGCAGTGTAACTGCTGAAGAAACTAAACGCTGTCGCTCAATTTGCCCAGAGTCTGATATATCCGATTATCCACACTGCAACGTGGTCAATTCAATGATCTGACGCGACTCCGTTGCTAAGCACGCTACAACAAACTCCCTTTCGAATAACCAACTGTCAAATGATTCAAATCGAGCATAATGCAACGTTGGATTACCGACATCGAAAAGGATGGTCCGACTGTTTCCGGGGCTAGCGGACCTTCAACTTGTGCCATTGGTCGATAGTTCTGTTCACTTACTATCGCAGTCTCAACCAGTTATTCATCTTGTTGGATTGATATCAGAGCGCTCAACCATGAGGATAAAGGTTTTGCTGACAGCAATACTATCATGCGGACCCATAAACGGGTTTGTGGCAATTTCGGAAGCGTATCCATATCATCACTCATTTTGTTCCGGACCCTACCTCTCGGGTTTGTTGCGTGGACGGCCAGGATCCCCCGCACCGCCCCACACCCCGGACAGGTTCTCCATTTACATCCTTTGTCAGGCTTTTGATTGCTCCATCAAGATCTTTCCCGAACTTATCCCGTGACATGAGAAATCAATAGTGGACATGCAGACACTATAAAGGAGAGCTGCATCTGTGATTGAGTCCAGTGAGCAATCCTTTTTTCTCAACAACAATGGGTGGAGGCCACGCTGGAGGCGCAAGCCCTTATGCTGCAAAACATCGTCAAGCACTGCAGGGCCAGTCAGGATGGGTAATTTCCCTTGAATAATCCTATCTAGTGCTGCGTACTCAACACATTACGCAGGCAGGTCTTGTCCACAATCGCAGAATTTTTGCCAACGCAGTCTTCGCTTCTCTGGGTGGTTTGCTCTATGGTGCGACCCTGTCACTATGTTCTTCTTCAATCTCGTACTAACACGCTGCAGGTTATAACCAGGGTGTATTTTCCGGCGTCTTGAGGTGAGCTTTCATGCCACCTTTTATTCGGAAATTGTGATCCTCAAATTGTTTCAGTATGTTTTCATTCGACCAGCGGATGGCGGACGCCATCACAAATCCTGGAACCAAGGGTTGGCTTGTATCTATTTTAGAACTCGGAGCTTGGGTCGGTGTTCTCTCTGCCGGGTACTTGGCTGACAAGCTCTCCCGCAAATACACCATCATGCTTTGTTAGTGTGCTTCGCTTTTTTGAGGGAGTGTAGCTGATTGATTCATGCAGCTGTCGGTGTATTCTGTGTCGGTGTCGTCGTTCAAACTGCGGCATTCCAGCCCTCGTCGATATATGGTGGTATGCTCTCAGAGTCTGTCCAAAAATTGGCATCTAAATCTCATCTCAGGGCGTTTTATCACTGGTCTTGGTGTCGGATCGCTCAGTATGGCGGTTCCTCTGTACAAGTATGCTATAGCATTCCCTTTGTATGTCTTTACTGACACTTTACCAGCGCCGAACTTTCTCCTCCTGAAGTCCGTGGTAGTCTGGTTGCCCTGCAACAACTTGCTATCACCTTCGGTATTTTGATCTCCTTCTGGATCGACTACGGTACCAACTATATTGGTGGTACTGGAAGTGGGCAGAGCGAGATTGCATGGCGCGTTCCATTGGCTATGCAGCTTGTTCCTGCTATCATTCTAGGCGTTGGTGTGATTTTCATGCCTTTCTCTCCAAGGCATGTCTCAACTCCTGCTACGACACGTCACAAAACTTATGGTGTCCAGGTGGCTTGTCAATCAAGGTCGCGATGAAGAGGCTGTCGCCGTCCTTGGCAGGGCTCGCCGCCTTCCTCCGGACTCTGACCTGGTCCAAATCGAGTTCTTGTGGGTTATAAGATCATTGCTCTCTTGATACTCCTGATCATAGTCTTCCGTAGGGAAATCAAGGCCCAGTACCTCTTTGAAAAGGAAATGAATGCTTTGAAGTTCCCTCAATTCCAGGATGGGTCGTTCTCATCGAATTTCAAGCTCGGTCTTCATGCCTATATGAGCTTACTTACCTCGCGCAGTACGAATTGGTCGCATTGGTATCAATTATGAACGCTAATGTTACTCTCGCCAGCTCTCTTCTACCGTGTCGCTGTTGGCTCAATGTGAGTCGCTATTTTCCATCGGTAGGACTCATCCCAATGAATTTTCAGGACCATGTTCTTCCAGCAATGGACCGGCGTTAATGCCATCTTGTACTACGCGCCCAGCATCTTCGCTGATTTGGGTTTGACGGGCAACGCAACTAGTCTTCTTGCCACGGGTGTTGTCGGTGTTGTGTATGCCTCACCACATACTTGCACGTACATAATTGACACACCCCAATCAGCATGTTCCTCGCAACTATCCCTGCCGTCATTTGGATCGATAAGGTCGGCCGTAAGCCAGTGTTGATCTCTGGTGCTTTCATCATGGCTATGTTAGTATTATATTCTTGCGCATGAAATTTGCCATTCTAAACATTTTACAATAGATGCCATCTCGTCGTTGCAGTACTGACCGCGTTGTACCACGATTCTTGGGCATCGTGCGTCTCATCCAAATTCATTATCTCCCTTGCACTTAACATCTCACCAGACACCCTACTGCTGGTTGGGTGGCTTGCGCTTGCGTTTGGGTATTCTCAGTCGCCTTTGGTTACAGTTGGGGTCCGTGCAGCTGGATCCTTGTTGCTGAGATTTGGCCGTTGAGTATACGTGGCAAGGGTATTTCTATTGCTTCATCGTCCAATTGGGTTCGTTCTAGGCATATTCGTAGGAAAGTTCACTGATCGTCATGGCAAACAGATGAACAATTTCATTGTCGGCCAAGTAACGCCATCAATGCTAACTCATATTGGCTTTGGGACATTCGTGTTCTTTGGCGTGAGTTGTCTGTTCATTTACTTCTTTCAGTATCTCACGAAAATTAACAGTCCTTCGCCCTCCTCGGCGGCTTCTTCATCATGTTTTTCGTACCCGAGACCAAGGGACTCACTTTGGAAGAAATGGACGATGTATTTGGAGACCGTAACGGTCTTGCTGTTGCGGATGAACAACGCCAGAACGCCATCGCGGACCGTATTGGTTTGACCGCATTTGGCCAACGCAAAGGCGGATCTGACAACGAAAAGAGCAGTCACGAGCTCTTCGACGATGAGGGAAAAGCTTAATGACCATCGATGGATGGCGCACATATTTCTATGCACTCGATATTTGACACGCTGTATTACATTGTTCCACAAAACATGCACCCTAGTGGTGAATATGGAGATGGAATAATAAATTGAATAATATTAATGTGAATGAGCACCCTCACTGGCAGTTGACATGTTTTGCTCCGAAGTAAAACCTAGTAAGACATCTGGCGCTCACCGGTGCGGCGCTCTACGGAGCTCTATGAATTGAACATCCAGGACAGACCGCTGAACCCGGGGAGCCCCAGCCTCCGCGGATCTCCATTGCTCTCCATTCAGGTCTCCAATTAAAGGATCTCCTGGGGTATCCGAATCTGTTGCCTGAAGAGCTCGTGTAACTTTTTTTTAGCAAGAACTTGAATAGGTCTTCTTGCAGATCTATTGCTATGGGGTACCATGTATTCGGCGATCAATACCGCTAAAATCAACACTCGCCAGCAGTTACCAGCTTGTATTGCTGGCAAATACTCGGATTCACCAGGAAGGTCATTTTTCTCGCCATGATCGTATCGTGATCATCGAGAACGCCCGAAATAAATATGCTCCCCACATGATGATATTTCCTCGTTCCCGTTTTAAGTCGTGGGTTCTCCGCCTCTCCGCGGGGTCAGCGCGGACTGTGGTAAGTATGCGTTGTCACTCGTGACGAGTTTCATCGGTTTTCATCGGATGGTCCTCTTGAGCAACTGCTACGTCCGGTATTTCAAAATTTGGCACAGCCCCTTGGAAAAGGTGGCCACTTTGCTTGCTTTGCCTCACTTATTAATTTGAAAACCCTCGTTTGTTCGACTGGTGGGATACGAAGTTCACTAACAACGATTTCCTAAGCAGTGGAATCCGAGTCTGAGCTACTGGCACGACAAACCACAGGCTGTAATTTGGAAATGGCCAGCGCGATACGGGAGGATACGGCGTGGCTAGCGTTCTGAATCCTTCGTTATCAATCGGCGCGTGCCACGTCTTGTTCTTTGGCAACTTGCACGCCATAGAATTATTTGTCGCCGCTCCTCGCTTTGATTTATGCAATTAATCTAAGAACGTGACGGTAACTTGCAGAAATAAAATTTTGTGGTTGTCAGTTGACACAGGTAGCTGGAAGTGCTTTTTCAGAGCACCATTAATGATGATGATTCAATCAGATCACTGAACTGAAACGTATCATCAACATGCCGAACCAACCCTCTCTGACACCGCCGACGTTGGTGCAGTTGCGACAAACAACGTAAGCACTCACCTCGCGGGGGAACACCAGTGGACCCTGGAATATAGAAAGATAATTCCTACAGGAGCACTCGACATGCACTGCCACTGGGGACACCAGCTTAGCTAAGCACTTGAAGTTTGTTTTGACTTCCGAGTCTGTTCAGTACATCATCGAGATGTTGTAGCAGGCTAGCCATGCTTCCACCTCGAATGCTACCGGACCGGATTTGTTCGAGAACAACTAGCCATGTCGGAGAGTTTAATGATTGGCGATTCTACTTTGCATCCGTGTTTGTGGGACTCTGACTCGCTTCTTAGACTGACTTACCCTCACCACGCCGTGTCATCGCAGTGTGGTGCATTTCAATTGCTTGTCAAATACCAGGCAGAGTGCGAGGTGCTATAAGATGTTGGACACATTGTAATTAGCCGAGACTGTCGTCCCTCGACCGTTACGCCGATCAATCGTTAGGTCAAAAGGCAGTGATAATCAAAGCTCACACTTGATCACTGACTCTTATGGGAACTCAGGTAAGCAGCGAGCTTACACACATACGGCTTATTAGACGCACATTCTACATCGATTCAGATATTGGAGTTGCACGTCCATCTTATTCCAGCCCACATTACATCATGATACTGGAAGCTCTTACTGGGAGTACCGACCACTATGCAGTTGGCATCATCACAGTCGTAGCGGTGCTCGCTGTGTTATACACGAGATTCTCGTTTGCGGGGAGGAAGGGCGCCCTACTTCCGCCTGGACCTCCCGCCCGTTGGTTCTGGAGCAACGCTTTGCCTGCTGTGAAGTGAGTTTTGGCAGTATCATACAGAATGTTAGAGGTTGACTTAGATCGTCTGCTCAGCATCGCCTATGCACTGACCAATTTAGTTCGAGAGTATGGGCCTGTTGTGTCGTTCCGACAAGGCAGCCAAGTGATAATTGCCATTGGCAGCGTGGAGGTAATCTGCAAACCTTGAGCTTTCTCCGACAATGACCCATGTAACAGGCAGCTGTAGACATTATGGAGAAAGAGGGTGGATCACTAGTAGATCGACCTCGTGCCATTGCCGCGAGTGAGATACTCTCAAATGGACTGAGTCTCTCCATGGCTCGTTACGGAGAACGCTTCCGGCGCCTCCGAAAAGCAGTACATCCTCATTTGCAGCCAAAGGCGGCAGAGGAATACCAAGATATGCAGCGCGAGAACGCGATGAAATTCATATTGGATATGCTAAATGACCCGACGGCCCACCAGAAGCACGCACAGCGGTATGTCACTACCAAGGCCCTTCGTGATACTTTCATAGATATGGTATCTCCAGGTATGCAGCATCAGTCATTCTTCGAGTAGCTTATGGGAAATCTACGCCTACTGCCAACACCGATCCCGAAGTTGTCCGTATCTACAAAGTCGCCAAGCATTTTCAAGCCACGATTCGCCCAGGAGCTTATCTCGTTGATCGTGTGCCCCTTTTGCGCTACTTGCCTGGTTACGGAAAGCAACTTTACGAATGGCATCGTGAGGAGGTTGAGCTATTTAGGCATCAGCTAAGGCGCGTCAAGAGTGAAATGGTGAAGGGCTCTTTGTTTTGATTTTAATGTATGTCACTTATATCTTGTTGTACGCAGGATCAAAACAAAGCTGGCCTCTCTTTCACCAAGGCACTATTGGAAAATACTGAAGAACACAAACTCTCTACAGATGAGATGTCGTATCTTGCCGGATCACTCTTTAGGGCGGGATCTGATACGGCAAGCCATGAAACTTATTTATCTCTGCGAACTGACTCCTGGTTCAGACTGCTGTTGGAATTACTGCTACTGTTATGGCTGCAGCATGCCACCCACTGGCTCAGGCAAAGGTGCATGAGGAGCTAGATATGGTGATCGGGTTAGACAGAGGTAAGGGGTCCAAAGATTTTGATTTCTCAATTATTTGATCACTCGTTGTAGCGCCGACATTTGATGACTCAAGCTCCCTCCCGCAATTACATGCGTTTTTGTTGGAAACTCTGAGATGGAGACCCATCGTTCGCATAGGTAAATTTGAATTTCGGCACGTTCTTGCACGATGCTGACATGTGCCTCAGGAGTTCCCCACTGTGCCACAAAGGATATTTTATGGGTCGGTGTCTTAATTTGCTGTAACCTACGTTCTCATCCTAGTCCGCGTGCAATCAGCGAGGATACTGCATTCCCAAGGGCGCAACAGTGTACGGCTGCCACTGGTATGGTGTTGCCTCACGATGTACATTGTTTCATTGACCGTGTTTTCAGGACTCTTTCTCGCGATCCTATTGTCTTCCCAGATCCTGAAATATTCAATCCCCAGCGCTGGCTTGATTCAGAAGGCCGCCTTAAGGAAAATAATATGAAGTTCATCACGTATGGCTTTGGTAGGCGGTAAGTCGCGCCGACATCGGTTTTCGGATGTCGATTAACGAATTTTATTTGTCATTAAAGTGCATGTCCCGGCCTGCACCTCGCAAACCGCTCGTTGTACATTACCCTCGCACTTCTCTTGTGGTCTTTCCGCATTGTTCAACGACCTGATGCACCGATCAACACTCAGGCTTTCAGTGACGCAGTCGTTTCCCATGCAGCGCCATTTGAAATCGACGTCATTCCGCGGGTCGAGGTTGCGAAGCTGAGAGCGATGATGATGGAAGGATGTATGGATTAGAGTGTTTTTGCTAAGTGACATATCAAGTCTTCGACAAAGCATTGTTCAATGGTTTGACCCACCGATCATTACACATGCTCTCAGTGACACAGTCAGGCCACGGAGGCGTGCATAAAATGTGTTTCAACTACTTCGTGCTGCTATCCGCACCCACTGATTGCTTCCCGCTAAGGTAGGGCTACTACAAAATCAACCAACTGTGACATGGTGTGACAGCTGATGTATGTACTTTTCACCTGGTTAGCCCAATTAGTAAGCCTTATTAGGCTTAATGATCTTGTGCCTCGCCAACTATACTTAGGCTTGGGTGTAGTAATATCCTGACACCAGCATTAAACCTTGCCCCAAATCATCTCCTACATTCTCTACACCACTACAATAGCTAGTGCCTATCCTGCCCATCAGGAAACCTGGATTTTCCATGATTTGGCTGATATGTCTGATAGCAGGCCCACCAGGAAAATCAAACAATCAGCTCATCAGATTTTGTCTGATTTCAGGCAGGTCCCATTCTGAAATCAGACCATTCAGGTCCATCAGACAGTTAGTTGTTCAGACATGCATTTCATCTAAATCATCATGCTGATCAGACACCTCAGCTGATCAGATTGACAGGTGCTCAGAAATCTCAGCTTATCGTGGCTCTCATGATAAAGATAAAAATAAAGGTTTGAACCATACATGTGCACATCAGGTCACATGACAACATGCACATTTCAAGTGCAGCATAACCACTAGGCTATGAGAACACATACATTTCTAAGTTAGAATTCATATATATACCATATTTACTAGACTTGGAAATATTTTTATTTCACTTCTTTGACAACATTGTTATTTTTGTTCCATGTCTTAATGAAAGTTGTAGTCCTAGTGGAGACAAGTCTATGGCAAGTCTTGGCTTGTCAATTGGTAGTCATTTGAGCAAGATATAAGCAAAATGAAAATGAAACATCGGCGAATTTGTCAAAATGCAAAAATTAAAAATGAATAAAATCCTTGCATGTCTTAATGAAAGTTGTAGTCCTAGTTGAAATGAGTCTGTGGCTAGCTTACCTTGCCAATTGGTAGTCATTTAAGCAAGATATAAGCAAAATGAATATGAAACATTAGTGAGTTTTGAATAGAAATTCTGAAGTTTTGCAAAAGTTGAATACTTAGATTATCTGACCTACTACATGGCAATGACACAGCTCTGTAGCTGTGGAGTGTCTGCATGATCAGATAGGCTGGATATCTGAATGTTTGATCTTACTGATGTATCTGACTGACCAATTAGGCTGCATATCTGTGTTTATGATTTGTCTGATGAAGCTGATGGTTATGAAGTCCTGACAGAACTGCAATCCTGTGTGGGTTGATATGCTTGAGAGCCATGTGATCCTGAAAGGCTGATATCCTGTAAAGCCTGTTATGTTTGAGAAGCATGTCATCCTGTAATAATGATATCCTGCTGTGTCTGAAATACTTGAGCATCATGATGTTCTGATGAACTGAGAGTATGTTGTGTCTGACACTACTGTCTGACTGTGATTTTGACAATCTGGGATTATAATAGGTTTGAAATCAGACCAGTCAGGTCATACAGGTATGTCAGTTAAATCAGGGAAAATCCAGGTTTCCTGATGCCCCCGCCTTTGATTCCGGCACTTTCTGCAGGTGTGCCCACCTTTGTCATGGCTGTTGATCTGGTGGGTTCTCATGCCTCCTTCCTCACTGCTGCTCACTGCAGACCATCGCTCCTGCCTCTACAACCTAGTAGCCACTATCCTGGCCCTCACCGTGCTCTATAATGACCACTCCCTTCAAAACTCTGGCACTCAAGTGGTCTGTGCACCCTCGCAAGTTGCCCCCAGGCACTACCTGCCTGCCTCCATCATCGTTCTCACCTCTGCCTCCTTGTCCCACCAGTTCCGTCGCTCAAGTAGTCTGTGCGCCCTCATAAGTCGCCCCCAGGCACTGCCTGCCTGCCTGCCTCCATAATCATTCTCACCTCCACCTCCTTGTCCCACCAGTTCCGTCACTCAAGTGGTCTGTGCACCCTCACAAGTTACCCCCAAGCACTGCCTCCCTCCCTCCATCATTGTTCTCATCTCTGCCTCCTTGTCCCACCAGTTCCTCATGTCTCGTGGGCGAAGTCACTTCAAGCTCAAGGGCCTTTCCCATTCAGTCATCGCACACAACTTTCGAGGGCGACAGCACCCATTTTAAGGTAAGTCCTATATATTTTACTATCTATCACTTCCAATGATGTACAGACGCCATATGATGATGTCAATCAATGCACCATTCTACTTAGGTTTCTATTGGGACATGTTGGAGGGGCGGGGGGCGGAATATTGAACCAGCATATGAGTATGCAGGGCAACCATATATTTTCAGGTACTTAAGAACTACATACACACAAGTCTATTAACATGCTACCTTCATACTACCTTTGCAAAATGAATGACACATAACTGCAAATTGAAACTATAGAAGTGAGGGAGATCTTACTCCAACAGTGTACTAGGTGCGGGGCCGAACAATCTTTCAAAGTCGGCCAACATGGCATTGCAGTCAAGGGTGTTGAGGTTTATATCCTGATCAAAGGACCCAGAAGCACTGAAATCACTGACCAAAGGCTGAGGAGATGTGGTATCTGGAGAGGCAGAAGCAGTAGCAACCACAGATGGCGCTGCTGACTCATGGATGGCCTCATCAGATGGCGCTGCTGACTCACGAATGGCCTCGCCAGATGGTGCTGCTGGCTCGCAAATGGCCTTGTCTCCCTCCGCATCACTGTTGTCATCACTAATGGTCTCTGCGCTCTTGAACTGCTTGCACTGAGCAGTAGACTTCCTCATCTCTGCATGTTTCTTTTCTTTGTCTGATTGAGGTTGATGACGCTGGTCAGCTAGCTCGCCGCTCTCAAGCTTCTCTTTGTGCTCCTTACAGAGTTCCTCGAATTCTTCATCACTCAAGGACTTCCAGTACGTTGCACCAGACTCCCACTTGCACAAAAGCATTTGAAGGTCTGGAAGTGCGCTCGATACCTGACTAAGGTTTGTAAAAGGAATCTTCTTGGGCCACTCTTCCATGATGACCTGGTAGCATTGGATAACATTACAGTAATAGTAGACCCATTGCATCTTTGCACAATCATCACCAGTGATCTGTTCTATAGAAAAAATTTATTTAAACCATTGTCAAGCCCAAATAAAAACTACTCATGAAGCTTGCGGTTGATAATGTTGCAGATTTCTGAATGTGTCAGAGACATGTTGCTTGTGGTTTTTTGCAGCACCTGAATGAAATTAGCCTGAGAACACAATAGTAAGCAGGACACTAACCTTTCATCCCTTGGACTGCAAAGCCTTCCATTTTGTTGACTAAATCTTGATTATCAACCCCCATGACAGTACCCATGAAGTTTTTGATGCCTTCGGTGGCAAATACAAGACCACAGAGAGGAAGGTCTGTAGAGCCATGGGTGGTGTAGAGAATAGTCTCTGTGCCCATATGACAATGTAAACTGTTGAGCTAGTATTCATGGGGCTGTGTCAGAGAAACAGAAAGAAAAACAAACAGACTCAGAACACACCTCATTTTCCACCACCTTTAAAGTGTGCATGACATCATTAATCTTCAATTTCATTGAGGTATAAACACTAGTAGTCTTTGTCTCCTTGAATTCAACGAACTCAGTAAGCAGTTTGTCTTGTTCCTCCTTTGAGAGGGCAAAGTATTCGTCCTTGTTATCGCATACAAATGATTGGAGTGCAGCTTTACCTAGGCTATCTGAAAAAAAATCATCTGTGAGCACAATGAGGCATGACAGTGTGATAATAAAATAAACTCATGGTTCTCTTTGTCCTTGTTCTTCTTCCAACAGAATGCATTCCATAGATTGAGCTTTGAGCATTTTGACCGAATAAGTCCACGACCTATGTATAAATCATTTTGAACACGGTAGATATTTTTATGATGGGAAGTAGCAATATTTTTCGTAGCGTTGTCCAGTTGCTTCCAAGCATCGTCTAAAGTGTTCTTGAATTGAAGGGACTTAGCACATCAGTTGAGCCTAAGAGCGGTGCGAGCTTCCTTGCTAAGCACAACCTTGGGATGTTGATGAATGGGTGGCTGAACACGCCTTGTGCTTGAACCTCGTTTCTGAGAATAAAAGGACTGCATAACCATTTGCTACAAGGGAAGCAGTAGAGACTAGTTAGCGATGAATGGTTAAGTTTTGATTCAGCTATTTAACACTGTAGCACTCGAGCTCACGCTAGGCTCGTATTCAGCCATCTCACGCATCACGTCAAATGTTTGTCACTCGATATTCACTTCCTGATGCAACCCGACACATATCTGCCGAACCCGACACTTCGACCAATGGACCCAACACATTGGCCGCATTGGACCCAACACACCCCGCACACTTGTCCTATCCATGTCTTGTCTTGTCAGCTAGCCCCACTAGGTGCGTAGTTGATCATTTCACACATTACTCACGTCGTAGCCAGCGCTATTACATGTTTTCCCATAGTCTGCAGCGCCTCATGTTTATTTACATGTACATTGGACCCGAAATTCTTTGGCTGCTACTTTCACCTATAGGGTTCCAGTGTAGAGACTGATATCTCTGTGGCCTTGCAGAGGCTATATATGTGACCTGTCTCAGAGTACAGTTTGATGCACAACTTGTGCCAATACCTTTCCAATCATTCCCTATGTGAAGTGAAACTCTCCCGCACCAAGCGCGCGCTACCTTCCCGCGCATCGGCCGCCCCAAGCGCAGCATTCTCGCGCATGCATTAGGCGCGCTCGAAGCGCCCTATGTCGCACGTCCATCCATTGTCCAAACTAACCTCACTGGTACGTGTTCATATCATTTTCTCCATATCAGACCATATTCTATTTTAATGATTGCTCAATTCTCATGTCATAGACTCTTATTACATACCTTACCTACTCGCTTTGGCTCCGCTTCAAGGGCGCATTTTTAGACATATATAAGCGCCTGTAGTTCATATTTTACATCATCGAATCATATAGAAGCTCCCTGCACCTCACTATCAGTGTAAAAGCTCATCCGTCACATGCCATAGTCAGTATCTATTGGCAATAAGAACATCCTTAACGTCTATTACGAACCTCTGCATGTAAACCCACCTTGCGCTTTTCCCGCGCTTCGCACCGCTCAAGCGCTACCTTCCCGCGCATCAGCTGCCCTAAGCGCTTTGTTCTTGCGCTCGCACCTCTGGCGCTTTCCCGCGCTCTACGTCGGCCGACGAACAGCACCCCTTTGCACCAACCCCTAGATCTCTGCTGCACTTGCTTCCCCTTTAGGGTCGAATGCACTTGTCACTACAAGCATAGCAGCTTAGGCAAGCAGACCCAACACATAGTTCAGAATACCACCATCTGAATAATTGTTTCTACACCATATTTCTACGTACTTATATATATATTGGTTTCCACATAGCACATTGATCATCCAAGTAGTAGGGAGCTGTTTCCCAATGCCTTGTGGTCAAATCCGATAATTCGTAGTTCTTAGTTGACATTGTGAATATTACCGCACTTTCTATCCGAAACACCTGTCCTTATTGATATTCCACATACCGCTCGCTATACCCGACATTCATTTCTCAAACCCGACGCTAACCCGCTGAACCCGCACCCAAAACCTGCTGACCCACTAAACCTGAAAACATCGGCCGACACTTTGACATTGGACTCGTAATTATACCTTCGGATTCTGTTTCTCATGCTTGGACTTTTGATAGTTTATTGATTGACTAACTATAGACTTATTTCAAAAGCAAACCCCTTGTGCAAGACCACTACAACATTTTTATTGCTGACACTTACTTCGTATAGTATCAAGCATTGTTGTATCTTTACAATGCACCAAGGATATAATTTTTTGAAGACTGGCATTCTCGAGTGTAAGGCAAAATGACTCATTATTCCATACTAAGCAAGGGCAAAACATTTAAGATCTACAGTAATAACAAACCAAAAAGGTAAAGCACACACAGCAACACGAGAATGCTGAGAAGCTTGAAAATGGAGGTAAGCCATGATGATCGGTGCTATGTGGACATTAATACAATTTGCTTCAAAATTTGAGAATGGAAGACAATTAACTTTCAAGCTAGCGGTGGACTCAGGATTTATACCCACTTGTAGGTCTGCAAGAAGAGCACTGGACAAAATGGCCGCTTTTTTGTACTTAAGGTCCCATGCCAGTGACCTTAATATGGCCTCCCAACGGCTACTGCATACGGTTCCAATCAAAGTTTGGAGCTTCAACACATTTTCGTCACCCAAGTTCAGCCGATCAAGTGCGGCATCTGTGTGAGGCCCAATGCTAATAAGCGGCATCCCAAAAGTTGTGGGATCACTAGCAACTTGACTCTGTGTGTGTGTCGCCACCAGTGGGCTAGACTTTGCAAACATATGTATCGGCTGGACAGCATTGATGGATCTCAGAGCATAAGGTCAATGGTGTAGTTTTTTTTGCAGATCCAGCAGCCAATTCTCCTCCATGACAAATGGCTGCAGAGCTCGAAGAATCCAGAGAGGACTGCATACTGGTGGAAAAGACCTTGGGGGCTTGTGCAGAGCACTGGATGTGAGTTCCTGTGGCAACCATAGGTGCAGGAAGGTGTTGTGGCCCATTAACACTAATATGAGCTGCAGGGACTTCAGAGCTGTGTTAGCAATGAAACAATGAGATAAATGATGAATTACTTACAGTTCCTACAGGGTTTCATATTTTCAACAGCGCAGCATGCAGCAAAGTGCTGGAGGTGAGGTACCACAAACTCCTGTGCAAATGCCTGCACCAAGACAGCGACATCTCCACTAATTCTCTGCACTGTTTATTGTAGCTCATGGGGTGTGATATAGATGTCGATAGGAATTTGTTCGGGTGAGATATTCAGGGTCGCTTCACCACCAGCACATCAAATGATGAGGGATATTCCACCATACAGGCGGTCTTGCAAAGTGATCTGAAACATATTGTGAGGTTTAAGAAAAGAAATATGGGAACAACTGACTGCATCAAAGACGTCTTGGAGGGCTGTGTCAACTAGCTCACTGTGAGTAAGGGTCCTCTCCATCTCATTCCCATTGATTGACCGATTGAAACCAATGTATGATGGGTGAAGACCCCCTGTGGTCCTCATCTGGTAATGTGTGCTGTCAATATGAGCATCGTGCCTAAGTAGAGCCTGTGTGGCAGCTTGCCGCTCATTATTGCTGAAACCTGGTGCAAAGGTAGGAGTATACAAAGCGGCAAGACCTGATGTAGTGAAGCGGCTGAATTCCACCAGTTTGGCACCTGGAGGTTTGAAGGGCAGTGAAGAGGAGGTTGGTTTCATGGGCGCAAATTTCTTGATGCTAGGTGCAGCAGAAAAAGGAAGTGCGGGTAAGTTGCAGTTGAAGGGTCTATTAATGCATAATGACTACTAGTCATGGTATTATTATGTACACCGGTCGGCGACACTATATGTAGATATCTACAAGTGTATGTTACATTATCACATTTCTATATCTATGAGTGTATGTTACATTACCACCATTTCTATATCTACGAGTGTATGTTACATTACTGCCATTTCTATATCTATGAGTGTATGTTACATTACCGCAATTTCTGTATATACTACAAGTGTATGCACAGTTCCATCCGCATCAGCAGTTGTACACTACATTATCACGTTTCCGCCAAGTTTCCAACATCATTCATGGAACAATGGATTAATTACAACCAGACATACAAAAATACAACACTAATGATCTAAAGGTAAGTAAGAGGTATCCAAGTGCGGTAGTAGGTTGTGCCCAAGTTCAGTAGTAAGTGGTGCTCCAGTTAGTTGATAATCGACTGTAAATAATCAGCCATGTCCTCCGTTAATGTCTCTTGTTCTTCAGCGTCAACATCAGCATCAACATCAGTATACTCAGGATTAACAATGGCCTGGAGATTCACAAGATTGTCAGGTCGCCCTATGAGATACATCAGTATTGAATCCATGTGCTCCAAAAAAACGTACCACTGTGGGCAACATCAACATCATGAGCAAGGCATATACCAACACCCCTCACTCCGGAAAAACCTGCAAGTTTCTCAATGCGATCCAATCGGTAGTGATGCACTGCATTGATGGCTGTGCATGAATGGTATTGGTGCTGGAGCTCATGGGCAAGCTGTGGATCTGAGATGAGAATGTCCTGTACAATGGCAGACATCCTGAGCTCTTCATCATGCATGGAGGTGCACAGGCATCGAACTTCAACATTCAGATGAGTGATTTCCTCATGGGCTTGGCAATGCTTGAAGAATTTGGTAGTTGCTTGCTTCTCGATGACCCGGCTTCGACCAATCACTGGTTTGAATATCATTGCGAGAATATTGCAGAAGATCGAATTCGCCTAGAAAACCATAGTCAGCAATATCTTTCCACGAAATCTTTGGTCGCGGTGGCTTGAGTGCTACAGCTTGAGTGTTGTAGCGATTAATTGCATTATGGATTGCATCCAAACGATGTTGTAGAGTTTTTCTAATCTGCTGCCGTAGCTTGTACCCTATCAAAAATTATTTTTAGTGTACGTATTTTGATATAAACAAACTTGCCTGTTCCTGATAATGATAGTTTTGAGAGTTCAAACAGCCTCATCACAATGAGGCGCTCTAGCTCATCTAGGGCAGTGTGATACTTGCCCAGGGTCACTTCCTCCTTGAAATGCTGGTACTCCGGTCCGCCAATCTCCCACCGCTGATCAACAGCCAATTGGACCTCAATGTGCGCAACAAGTGCCTCAGCATTCTGTAACTTAGTGTAGGAAGTGTCAACTTGAATGTGAGCTTGTGTGAGGGCGCTATTGATCTGCTCCAAGCTACCAGTGGGAATACTAGTGAGGGCATTGTTGCCAACTTCGTGGGCTGCATCCCAATCGGTTCTAGATCAATCAAATTATCAAATCCTTAATTATGGTATGGAAGCTTTACTTACCGTCGTTCTGTGGGCTCGTTGAGGACCTCAACATAGCATATGCAGAGTTGGTCTCTAACTGGTGGCAGCTTCAAACTGTCCAAGTGATCATATTCTTTGTTGTAAAATTGATGGAAGTCTTCATCCATCAGAGATAACTCAGCCTTGATGGTCACGAGCTCAGCAGTGAGTGTCTGAATCGCTTTCAATGCTTCTCGATAATGATTCCAAATAAAAGTGCCTAAACAAATCATTATTTGCATAATAGAAAGACTTGAGAAAAAAATACACACTGAGTGTGGCATACTTATCAGCATCCCAGAATGAAAAATGCTCCTCAATAGTCTGGCGCCGGTGGAATGGACTTGCGTGTCTCATACTATGAGCAAGCTCATTTGATGATGAGAAAATATGCTCACACCCTTTGTACTCAGTGTGTCCAATTCCCGGAATGTACATGGGATGCCAGTCGAGCTGGCATCTACGATTATGAGCATGTCCATGAAACACACCACCATGAGCCGAAAGTCCAATTTGCATGCTTGTGGACCCAAGGAACTATTACTTAGTGTCTTCGAAAATGTGCATTCAATGTCATAGGCACATCCTCCACTCTTCCCATATACTGCAAGGAGTTTTTCGATTATGGCTAGTGGATATTTTGCCCTGTTAAATTAGCTCAGTAGCAGCAAAGATGAATTGAGAAATAACTCAACAATTCCCCGCTCCGGATCATGTCACAGGCTAGAAGAACAAACCAGTGACGACATGCTGCGATAAAAATGCCAGATTCGCCAAATACTGAATACATTTTTTATGAGTCTTGGGTCCAGCATTGCGCCAGCGGTTGACGCACATGAATGTCCCACCGGCTTCAGTTCCAACTGTATCGTCCATCCAGTTATCATTGTTCGACTCCCTCTGCAGGGCATTGTCAGACTGTAGTTGCATGAAGAGAAACATCTTACTTCTCGTGTCCTTACTTCATCCTTGAACTTGTCTACATCGCAGGCATCAAGCCAGTAGTTAGACCATGCCTTACGAGAATCCAGGCGCCTTTTTGAGCTGTAAATTGTTGAGTCCCACCGTTTCAAACTGTTATTGCCATCAATAGATACCAGCCATTCAAATTCCAGTGCTGGCTCATCCTCCAGCTTATCACTGCGGGCATTTTCTCATTTTCCTCCACCAAACATCCAAAAAACATTGAATTAGAAGATAGAAATTTCTTTTTATTGTGTGTATCAAAACATTGAAAAAAAATAATGAATGTATTGAAGATTTTCTGTATGCAAGACATAATCTAAAAATGAGTCATTTTCCCTCAAGAAACAGTCTATATTTTTTATTCATCATTCCTCAAATAACAATTTACAATCATGTCAATTTTTTGGCCTCTGTTTTTCCAATGTTCTGTGTATCAAAAATCTCAATTACTTCATCCTGTTCACCATATGTTTGATCCAAGAACATTGAAAAATCATATAACAAATAATAATAAATATTTTGACAATGTTTTGTTAAGGAAAAGCAAAGAAACTTTCAAACTTTCATTTGTATATTTGATCAGAGGAAATTTATGAAACATGCCCCATGTTTTGTAAGAATAAATACATAATGTTTGCAGTATATTCCTCCTGCACAACACTTAAAAAACATTTATTATGTTCAGAGAAAAAAAATGAAACATGATTGCAGGATACTCTGCCTCAGAACATGCACAAATTATACATTGTTTTCTGCACACAATAGGTGGAAAATACAGCATTATCCTTGAAGGAACATGATGAATTTTTGCATCATGTCCCACACACAGAAAATCATTGAAACATAAATTATTATTTTTTCAATGTTTTGACAGACAAAATGAAGGTACACTGGTCCAAGTAGTGCTGCTAAGAACCAAGAACCATTCGGCGGGGAAATGAGAACAAAATGGTGTGACAATATAGAAGGGTTTTTTGAGAAGATTTTTAGTAATGGTGAAGCGATGAGTATAGAGGCAAGGTTGAGAGTGGGGGCGCAAGTGCCAAACCTGGGTCCAGTTCTACCAGAGTCGACAAACCCTGGATTGAACCTTTGCAAACTGTTCAGAGTGGTCATGTTTGGTTTTTTTGGGGTTCAAATGTGAACCATCCATGTCACAAGCCAACAACTGGACTGCTTGGTGCAGCACTGAGGCAGTCATGTACTAAATACACCAACTGCAGTTTCACAGGCAGAAAGAAATGCAAATTAATGCCAAGTGATGTCAAGGAGCAAAAGCAGCTGGTTGTGCATAAGAAAGGCTGACTTAAAGGATTCATCAATTTTCTGTGTCCCATGGGCCATGACATGTGTAAGGATTGTCTATCCTCTACACACGGCCCGCACCTCAAAAAGGAAATCTGAGAACTGTCATTCACAAAGTCCACGTGACTCACGGATGCGAGAAAGCTCTACACTTTGCATCCGAGTTATGTGGATACATTCTCTCACTTCTCCATTCTCTCTTTTTCCGTTATCTTACCTTGTGCTCAAACTTCACGATACCCTTGTTTCACCAAAGTATTTTCACCTCGCCATATGCTCCCCATTCTTATTTCAGCCTAGTAAAGTACTTGAAAATGTATTTATACTGCTCATGTACACTCATAACAACAGCAGAATCATATGTTGGTTCCCTGCTCAAAGCAAACTTTGCTCTACAGAAAGTCTTAGCCTCTCGAAATGTTTCGTCTTCACACTTGCACCCCTACTCTCAACCTTGCCTCTATACTCATCGCTTCACCATTACTAAAAATCTTCTCAAAAAACCCTTCTATATTGTCACACCATTTTGTTCTCATTTCCCCGCCGAATGGTTCTTGGTTCTTAGCAGCACTACTTGGACCAGTGTACCTTCATTTTGTCTGTCAAAACATTGAAAAAATAATAATTTATGTTTCAATGATTTTCTGTGTGTGGGACATGATGCAAAAATTCATCATGTTCCTTCAAGGATAATGCTGTATTTTCCACCTATTGTGTGCAGAAAACAATGTATAATTTGTGCATGTTCTGAGGCAGAGTATCCTGCAATCATGTTTCATTTTTTTTCTCTGAACATAATAAATGTTTTTTAAGTGTTGTGCAGGAGGAATATACTGCAAACATTATGTATTTATTCTTACAAAACATGGGGCATGTTTCATAAATTTCCTCTGATCAAATATACAAATGAAAGTTTGAAAGTTTCTTTGCTTTTCCTTAACAAAACATTGTCAAAATATTTATTATTATTTGTTATATGATTTTTCAATGTTCTTGGATCAAACATATGGTGAACAGGATGAAGTAATTGAGATTTTTGATACACAGAACATTGGAAAAACAGAGGCCAAAAAATTGACATGATTGTAAATTGTTATTTGAGGAATGATGAATGAAAAATATAGACTGTTTCTTGAGGGAAAATGACTCATTTTTAGATTATGTCTTGCATACAGAAAATCTTCAATACATTCATTATTTTTTTTCAATGTTTTGATACACACAATAAAAAGAAATTTCTATCTTCTAATTCAATGTTTTTTGGATGTTTGGTGGAGGAAAATGAGAAAATGCCCGCAGTGTATAGAAGCAAGCTGGGCATGAATTGAGCATGTATCAATGTGGCATGTCATGTTTGAGCGCCATGTGAAGCTGCTGATCCACATGGTGAAGGATTTCTAAATGAATGTCATAAGCAATTGAGAGTTGTACACTGAGGTACGGTTGGTAGGGAATCTTATGACAACATCATTAGCTAAGCTGAAAAGAGTTGTGTGGATGTACATCATGAAGGAAACATAGAGATTTGACTTGTGCTTGAATGCTGAACCTAGGACAAGAGCGATGGATTTGACGGTAGGTGGCAAGAGTGCGCAGCAATACAGCAACTGTTGGATAGATTGGTGCACACCTGATGTAGCTGTGATATATCAATGTCTTGTTGGGGTATTTGTGCAGGGACCGTGATTGAAGTGAGGAGTAGCTTTGTTCTGCAAATAAATTAGGGCATATAGAAGTGGAAAATTTATTTTACATACTGAAGACATTGACGAGTTCTATGTTAGTCAGTGAAACACTGGGAGAATCATCTAAAGGTGGTTCCAGAAGCTCATCGTCCAAGGTTGGCATGTTGTCTCCAGAATCACGAGAACGGTAGTTGAGGTAAGCATTCACAAGCAAGTTCAGCTGAAGATGCCAGTGTTTGGTTTGATTTTCTGTTCGGTCCTGTTGAGTGCGGAGATCAATATAGTGACTGGTGGATGGCATGAGCAAGAAGGTGTAGAGATAGGAAAATGATACATACTAGCCACTGACGTGCGCTATTTGCTCAGCGAGTCCTTCAAAGGCTTTGTATTCTCCACCTGCATGACTCATGTGCATCCCTTCCTCTCCTGGAGGTGCAGTGCATGGTAGTCCATCGACATCCATTCCACAGTCAGCCATCATATCCTCCACAAACTGACGATCCTTGTTTGTCATCTCTAACATGAGTAATATATGGTTGGTTAGAAGTGAGCAAAGTCAGAATGTAAAGAAATACCTAGGATTTCAGCCTGATGGCTTGCATCCACAGCTTCTTTGCATTGAAACTGCTGGCTAGCTGCCAAGAAACGGGATTGGCGCTGTTGCCCTCAAAAGTTGTGTGTGATGACTGAATGGGAAAGGCCCTTGAGCTTGAAGTGATTTCACCTATGAGACATGAGGAACTGGTGGGACAAGGAGGCAGAGATGAGAACAATGATGGAGGGAGGGAGGCAGTGCTTGGGGGTAACTTGTGAGGGTGCACAGACCACTTGAGTGACAGAACTGGTGGGACAAGGAGGTGGAGGTGAGAACAATTATGGAGGCAGGCAGGCAGTGCCTGGGGGTGACTTACGAGGGTGCACGGACCATTTGAGCAACGGAACTGGTGGGACAAGGAGGCGGAGGTGAGAATGATGATGGAGGCAGGCAGGCAGTGCCTGGGGGTGACTTATGAGGGCGTACAGACTACTTGAGCAATGGAACTGGTGGGACAAGGAGGCAGAGGTGAGAATGATGATGGAGGCAGGCAGGCAGTGCCTGGGGGCAACTTGTGAGGGCACACAGACCACTTGAGTGCCAGAGTTTTGAAGGGAGTGGTCGTTATAGAGCACGGTGAGGGCCAGAATAGTGGCTACTAGGTTATAGAGGCAGGAGCGATGGTCCGCAGTGAGGAAGGAAGCGTGAGAACCCACCAGATCAACAGCCATGACAAAGGCGGGTGCACCTGCGGAAAGTGCCGGAATCAAAGGCAGGGGCGGGATAGGCACTAGCTATCGTAGTGGTATAGAGAATATAGGAGATGATTTGGGGCAAGGTTTAATGCTGGTGTCAGGATATTACTACACCCAAGCCTAAGTATAGTTGGCGAGGCACAAGATCATTAAGCCTAATAAGGCTTACTAATTGGGCTAACCAGGTGGTACTTTTTAGCTATTAACTATGTCATTCCAAGTCAAGTTGAGTATATGTGATCAGTGGTTGTCACCAAGTTCTTGTAAAATACTGTCCGGAAGAGTGCGGTGACCTTGATATTTTCTGTGTGCCCACGCTACTTGCTTTCTGTTTAAACCTTTCTTCTCTTTGTTTGCCTCGCGTAGACCCAGCTCTTGATGTCTGCATTGAATATTTACAATGCTTGCATGGTTCCTCTTGCTGATCTTGGTGAGAGTAACAGAACTGGAATCCAGATGAGGTAATCAATGGCCAATGGTGGTGCAAAATTCTTGGCAATCTTACTCTGATAATGCCACAATCCCATCTAATGTCCATAAGTTACACTACATGCACTTTTCAAGGAATTGGCTCCCTGTGAACTGTACTATATAGTGTGCCCCATCATCCACAAGTTTCTGATTTTCTCTCCTCCATGTTATCCCAGAACCTTCATCAGTTTTGCAATTCTGTCATGCTTTCCATAAATTTGTCACATGAGGTTGGTTGATTTTGTAGTAGCCCTACCTTACCTCATATCATTCATTATTTTTAGGACCAAAAGCCCCAATCTCAATCGAACTCAGGAATCAGGTCACAGAAACAGTGCTGGGTTTTGCCTTCTCTCCATCAGCTCATACATGTGTCTAGGCAACACCAGTGCCACTTTATCTTACTCCTCCATCTCCACACCTGGACAACAGAAGCATGTTTGCACCAAGAGTGGAATATAATCACCATCTGCTGGTGCATCAATATTATAGACTTCAACAAAGGTGCAATGTTTGATGGCAGACATCAGTGGTACATGGATAGGCCATGACATTGATGGGTCAAGTTGTCAATACAGTATTTACTGTCAAAGGAAAGCTGCTGATGGTGATAGTTTCTGACTGTCAAGGTGCATTTTCATAAAATGAAAAATGTTATGATAACATTGGCAGGTTTCAAACCTGCACTGTCCAAAAGAAACAGATTTTGACTCTGATGATCACTCAACAATTTCATCTGTAGCAGATTTTGAACTCACACAGACAGATTTGGATTCTGTCATATCAACTGCTTGGCTAAGACCAGTCAGATGCACTAGCAATGAATCCATTCAAAAGTGAATTCTCAAGGTATTTTTTTCAGTTCTAACATCAATTTCTGCCATCCCCCTTAAGCCCAATCAAACGATACATTTCTTTTTCAAATGTCAGGGTGTGATTTCATAGAATAAAAACATTAGAGGAAGTCAAACTTGGCGATTCACGCACCGATTCGGACGGCGATTCGGATGTCGATTTTCGAGCGTCAGAATCGTGCAGAATCATGAATCACCCGGAATCGTTGAAGTGGCTCCAGAGCCGCTTCAACGATTCGTTTCACCTTGTTTCACCGCTGATATATCTACATTGGGATTTTTTTTATAAATTAAATACATAGTGATGAAAAACATATGATGAAAATAAAACTACAAACGAACAACGACGCCCGTCACTGATATCCCAGTTCTCATGGCAAAAGCAAGTAAAAACACACCTGCAAAATCCACTAGCGAAGGCAAGAAGAACTCGAAGATCACCAAGACCGGTAGTAAGAGAGGGTTGAAGGGTCGTGAAAATAGCGCGAGAGAAGAGGATGGTGATGCTGTGAGCCTCGAGCCACCCGAAATCGAGTGCGTGGATTCTAGTAGTGTCAATCAGTGTATTCTAGTCTTGCAACAGCCGTTGGGCATGTTGCTGACGTGGGGTGTAGCGAGCCATGATGTCACTAGTAGTGACTAGACATTTCATTGCATACTTATCTACATATATTTGATTATTTAAGTGCTGTCGACTCAGATGAGAATCATTCGAGAAACGAGTTGAATCAGTGATGAGAATCGGGGGTAGTCAACCTTACAATCGATTCATGGTCGATTCAGGTTGAAGAATCGTGTCGAAAATCGGAGTCAGAATCGAGGCGTGAATCACCAAGTTTGACTCCCACTATTATCATCTGCAGGTTTCAAATCTGCACAGTCCAAGAGAAACAGATTTTGACTCTGGTGACAACTTGACTAAAGACCAATGAAAACAAATGTCTGAGATGCCGTCTATGAGCAAATATTTGAGGCATGTTCTTATAGAAAAAAACAAAGTGATGTTTCACTGGTTTCAAACCTGTTGCACTCCAATTGAAACAGATTTGGATTCTGTCATGACAACTATTTGGCTAAATACAGCTATGATCAGCTTGCAAGCTGACCAACCATAAGCATATGTCAAGGTGTGCTTTCATAGAATAAAATTAAAAATGGTATCATTGGCAAGTTTCAAACCTGCACAGTTCAAGAGCAACAGATTTTGACTCTGGTGATCACTTGAAAATTTCATCTTTAGCAGGTTTTGAACCCACACAGACAGATTGAAATTCTGTTGTATTCACTGGATCTTCATTGGTCTTAGTCAAATTGTCATCAGAGTCAAAATCTGTTTCTCTTGGACTTTATGGGTTTGAAACCTGCCAATGACAACATTTTTATTCCATGAAATCACACCTTGACACTTGCTCATGAATGATATATGTTTTTTTTTCCTGTTAGAACACACCTCGACATGGACTTGTGTGCACTTTCCTGAGTGCTCCATCTCACTGGTGGTGTAATTTCATAAAATAAAAATATTATCATTGGTGGGTTTCAAACCTATGCAGTTCAAGAGAAACAGATTTTGACTCTGGTGTTTGGATATGAAGCATAGGTTGGATCCGGAGATCCGGAGATGTGGATATCAGATCTGGTGTCCGAATATCAGATGCAGGAGTATAGGGATCTGGACGGATAGAGGATTGGGTCTGGAGACATGGACAGGAGGTCCGGGGGTCCAGATGAGGCATGGGAATATTATCAGATGTAGGTTTGGAATACAGGATATGACACCAACCATGAGCATATATCAAGGTGCATTTTTGATGCAAAGTTCAATGTATGGCCAAAGTCTTGATGAAAACTCGGAATGATATGTACAAAAACAATTTAATTCTCTCCAAAGGTCTCAACTTGGTTGAAGGACAAGAGCAGATGACATCAAGTTTGATTCTAATGACCCAAGGAATGAGGAAGAATACACATCTATCAAGGCTGAGATTCAAGGCAAAGATTCAAGCTGTATTTGAGACCTTTCATCATCTTGTTGCTCTCCTCTCACTTTTTGAAAGTATTGTACTGCATTCTGTATTCAATTCATCTATTTAGCTGAGAAAAACCATTGTGAGTAACAGGGAATGGTAGACTTGCCTTGCATATTCACATCTTAATAACTAGTGTTAGTCAAGCAGTTGCTGGAATAGAATTGGAATCTGTTTTAAATCCATAAGTGTGGGTTCAAAACCTGCTAAAGATGAAATTCCCAGTGATTATCAGAGTCAAAATCTGTTTCTCTTTGAATGTGTGGGTTTGAAACCTGCCAATGATAAAATTCAACATATTCTCATGGTCGGTTGGTTTGCCAGCTCATCACAGTTGTTTTTAGCTAAGTGGCTGTCATAACAGAATCAAAATCTGTTTCCATCAGAGTGCAACAAGTTTCAAACTTGTTGAATGTCACATTTTTTATCTAATCATGTGTCCTCATAGACAGCATCTCAGACATTGATCTTCGTTGATCCAATAACAACATTTTTATTCTATGAAATCCAAAATAGTAGAATGTGATGAATCATGAGTTAATGCAAAAGACACATCATTATACAGATTACAAACCTGCTTAGTTCAAGAGAAATCTATTTTGACTCTGGCAATCACTTGAATAAGCATAATATAGAATCTTAGTCTTAATATCCTAATTCCTCAGGTCATGAGGATCAAACTTGAAAGTTCAATGTGTAATCTGCTCTTTGTCTTCTCAAGACCTTCAGAAATAATTATATTGTTATTGTACTTATCCTTCCAAGTTTGCATCAGGACTTTGGTCTTATATTGAACTTTGTGTCAAAAACATACTGTATGATCCTGTCATATCCCATAT